TTACACAACGCCATCTAGTCCCAAACTAAGCAGAGCTTGTACTATGGGTCCTAGACAACTGATATAAATACACATATACTTTTTTTTTGTAAATACATACATATTATACATAGAAACACCCAGACCAAATCAAACATTAAATGTTCATGCACACAAATGTTTGACTTGAGCGGGAATCGAACCCGCGACCTTTAGAATAGCAGTCCGTTACACAAACCACTACGCCATCCGGTCGTCAAGAAATAAATTATTATTGAAGAAGCTGTATTTTAGTTTTATTCTCTCATCAACCAACTCAAACCAACCTAAAATATCAAACACATCCAGAAACTACTCCATTAATCAACAGTAGATATTGTGTGTCTTGAGTCGTTCAATTAATGTGAAATTCACGCATGAAATGCCATGTTCATTAATAGTAAATACTCGTAGGATTAATTGCTTAACTCACTGACTTCATAAACAAGCACGTACTGGAATTACGAGCCGTTGATGACTCTCGCCACATATTAATGGCTGGTATTTCATTAATACAATCAAATATATTCTTAAAGACTTAGATAATTTTACATATAACACGCGTTACACTTATATTTACACTACATACATATACATTTTTGCCACATTCTTACCCACACACTCACGCACGCACGCATTATTGCATATTCTCATTCACGCAATACATACACAACACACACTCGGTCGTGACGGGCCTGTTGATCTAGTGGTTATAGTGACTGCTAAGCCAGAGGTCGTGGGTTCGATTCCCACCCAGGACAAATATTGTGTGATGAGCACGGTCATTTGTTCCGTGTCTGGGTGTAATTTATCTATAATATGTATGTATTTAAAAATACATAAGTTTTTTTATCAGCAGTCTGGTTACCATAGTACAGGCTCTGCCTGGTTTGGGAACAGGCGGCCGTGCGACTCACGCATACACACGCCCACACAAACACACGCGCCCACACGCTCTCTTATTTATGTACAACCACACTGCCACTAAGTAGTAGTTGGTATACACTCTCAACAATAACAGTTACCTGACATCTAGTACTGCATCAATCCAGAGCTGGAAGAGGCTGGTAATCTGTCATACAGGCCTGTCCTAGTACAGATACCAGTATCTCACATAGAACCATACCAATGTATCTAATGTAAGTTTGTTTTGTTTTGTTTTGCCGTGCCGTGGAGGAGCTTGCGTGCTTCGACACATCGTCCGCTGGACCGGTGTACACATTTCACCCAGTGAGAGAGGTTACAGAAGAGGGGGCACTTGTATCTCTTGAGTTTCAGGTGTCTATGAGTGAGGGTTATCACTTACCATCAAGTAACCCGTTTAGTCACTCACCCTTCCACGGCATTAAAAAGTATGTAGTGAGTCTCACACCATATCTAAATAAATACACTATTAGGTTTTTTTTTCTGCTTTTATAACAATTTACAGATTTTCAACCTTCAACTGGTACAAGCTTATAAATTTTCTCAGGGCGGCCTTTGGGGGTGGCGAGCAGTGCAACCCCCCGGGGCCTCGCATCCTGCACGGCCTCGCGCACTCGCGCAACAACCTAAGTAAAAAATTTGTAGGTTTGAATTACGTCTCGAATTGTAAAATTCATGTCACGCTACTAGCGCTCCCTTGTGTGGTAGTTTTCGAAGGTGTTTACGGTTTAAATTCGGGGTTTACCAGTGTTTCATATTGCCTGTCATTTTAACAGGCTGTCAATGTCCTCGGCTTTTTGTTTCAAGTTTCATGTATGTTTGTAAAGTATATATCAAGACTATATATCAAGTTCGGGAGATGTCTTTTTAACCAAAAAAGTATCATCATTAAAAGTAGTTCCACAAACACAAGGACCTCGCTATGTCCTACCCGCCCGAGGCGAAGGGCGAAGGCCCCAATTTTCTCATATTTATTTAAACATTTGATACAATAAAGAATTTATTAGAATATCTTCTTTACTTTAAAAATATTACTGATCAGATCAGTAATATTTTATTAATATATCTTTGTTTTAATATAACTCCGAATCATCAAATATCAAGACAACGGCTACCCAACATCAAAGGGACAATAAAAGTTATGCAGCTATACGAGTATAAACAATGTTTAGAAACTATAACTTGTATATTTTAAGCGATATTGAACTTAGAAACTAAATTCAATAACGCTTAAAATGTACAATGTTTGAAAATTTCCTCATCCATCCTCCAAATTAGGTTGAGCACGGGCTGAACTTGGATTTTTTACGTGGAGCGACTCCACTCAGACCTCCACAACTCAATTACTAGCCGATATCGAAGTTTCGTAGGAAGACTGTGGTCGAACTTTATAAGACTTCGACTACTCTTAACGATTACCACAGATGTTCGTATGACAACCGGGTACGACGGCTTAACTTGCTCTCCGAGGCACGGAGGGGTCTTAATGTGTTAAGAATGGTCACCAATCCAAAGACTGACCTACCTTCGATTTTAGTACAAGACTTAATCATGTCTGGAAACTATTACTGTATTTTCATCCCCAAACTGGATTTTTGGAACGAAGTTCCTTATCGCGCGTTGTGAAAGGGGGCTAGACGGAAAAAATTCTCACGAGAAGTTGTAACGACACTTTTTAGTTTGAATTGTCACTTGTCAGTCATTCAGTGCCATCTATAAATGTATGAATTGTTTTAATTAGAAACCAACTGAAAAATATGTAGGTAATGGCCGCTTTCATAGATGGCGTTGTAATTACAATCGTGTCGAATCAGTTTTACTCGATCGTTACAACTTCGTTCCTATTGGGTGTCCCACGACACCACACGGCTTTTTTTTATTAACTAAACCACTCTGAAGATATGAAATAAAATATTAAAAGTAAAATACCAACAAGTAAAATGTAAAAATACACTGTAAGAAACAAAAGAAAGCGGCCTTACGTGGTGAAGACTAAGTTGGCTTATTGTAAACCCTAATAATCCACTAATCCACTCTAACCACCCGTCCGTGCAGACTAAGCTTAGAAAGAAACATGTCCCTACTGGTATAATGAACAATTGTTGGTTAGTAAATGAAAAAAAAAACAATAATCCAAGTTTTTTAACGTTACAGTAGCCCTTGAAAATATCTATATATTAATTCGTAAGGAAAAGGTCTTTGTTTTCTGTTTTGTCTAGTAGGAATAATGATATATCCTCTTATTAAAAACTGGCTGGCTTGAACAACTTCGTGTGTCATGCTTTGATCTTTTAAAATCATAGCGACAAAATTGTTTTACTTAAAAGTCCGAAATTTTTTATAACTTTTTAATAGTAATAATTCTGTCCAACATGACTATTGGGTAACTTTACCAGTTTACGCAGCTCACGCATCGCAAGCTTTCAGAAGGAATAAACTTGCCTAGTTTTTGCAACAATATTCTTTGATGCTCCGCTTCTGTCTGTTATAGCGTAACATCATCATCATCATCATCAGCCTATCGCAGTCCACTGCTGGACATAGGCTTCTCCCATTGCACGCCACTTAGATCGATTCTAGGCTTCTCGCATCCAGCTCCTGCAGCCATCTTGTGCAAATCGTCATTAAACCTGGCCAGTGGGCGTCTTACACTACGTTTTTTGCCGAGACGCGGTCTCCACTCAAGAACTCGTTTTCCCCAACGGTTGTCTGCCGCTAATATGGCCAGCCCACTGCCACTTCAGCTTGCTGATCCGGTAGGCTATGTCGGTGACCTTGGTTCTCTGCGTAACATTATTTAGCCTATAGCCTTCCCCGAAAAATAGGCTATCTAACACTAATTTTGTTTTTCAATTCGAACTAGTAGTTACTGAGACTAGCGTTTTTACCTAAAAAACTCTTCTGCTTATAAATATTAGTACAGATAAATTCTATATCACCTACCTCTTTCACCAGCCTCAGTTTGCACAGTAGTGCAAACAAAACCTACTCAGCTTTACACCCATTGTCAACCTCACAGGCCAGTACTAGTAGTACAGCCAGTCCCGCCATTTTCCCGGGAAACGGAAGTAATAAACCATCCGGGCGTGTTCGATAAGCTCTAATGTCATGCCCGCGTTAATGCTGCGTTACAACTATGCAAATTTTAGCGCTGGCAACACGTTTATGGCGGGGATATTTTATGGCAATGTACTTGTTACTTAACCAATTATTGTAATTAAAAGGTTAGGTTACAGTTCGATATTCGTAGCGTGTAGTCAAGTACTGTCTGTCTAGCTTTTTTAAGGTGTATGTGGGGAAAAAGCAGACCTGATGGTAACTGACTACTGCGCACATGGACACCTGCAACTGAAGAGACACAGGTGTTATGCCACCCATTAAGTTCCTCCCGTCCGTAAGGGAGTCAGGATTTCGCGGGAAAGTTGACAAAAGACAAGGCTCGACCGAAGTGGTACCACGGCTTCATCAAGAGTGAGGCGTGTTAAGGGTTACCCCAGCTTAAACCTCCCCCTCCTGATCCTGAGAAGTTCTATTTCAATTTATTGCAAATATTCAGACTTATATTTTTATATGCACATTTTTACTGTATTTTATTTGTGTTTTATCACGTTTGTGGCGACACAGCGCCATCTGACAAAGACACACGGCACTACGGAGTAACTGCTAATCCTTTATCGCTATATTAATAATTCTCTAGCCGATTATAAAACTTCTCAAAATCAACCGTTGGGCCGTGGCCCGCCAGGGGTGATCAAAAAAACAACACCAACTCTGCTAGTTTAATTCTAGATAGGGCAAGAAAATTATTCAAATATTATATAATGGGGAGCAATATTCAAACAAAGAATAGTCAGTAATATTTAATTATGAAAACTAAAAAAAAAACTAAATAAACCTATTATTTATCAACTTAAAAGAAAACATCCTACTTGTATACAAACCGCACCTATAAGATACCTGAAATATCCTAAATACAGAACATAGACTCTTAGTATAAAGGGCCTGCCGATGTCAAGCCAAACCAAGATCGGTTCCTTTTGACCAACAGAAGTAACAATCTAATAGTTGAGTGCACAGAAGAGTGCGACGCCGCGCTTGATCCAGTGCGCCTGCGGCTTGTGCGTGGGCAGCTCGATGGTCATCACGTAGTTGGTGGAGTGGCCCGTGGTGGACAGCGTGCCGGCGCGCAGCAGCGTCTTGTACGTGGGGCACTCGTACAGGCCCTCCTTCAGCTTGTGGCCCTGCTCCGGCTTCATGTAGATTATAGCCATTTCTGGACAAAGGATTTATGGAGATAGAATAGAATATTCTTCATTGTACACTAATTACAATATCTTATATATAAAATTCTCGTGTCACAGTGTTAGTTACCATACTCCTCCGAAACGGCTGGACCGATTTTTATGAAATTTTGTGTGTACAGGTTTGCTGGAAGAAAACTTAGTTTAGGGTGAAGCTCGCCTTTGTAAATGACATTTCCTTGTTACTTATATATATGTATGTGTTCAGTGTGTACAATAAAGAATAAATAAATAAATTAATAAAATATTACCAAGACTAGCAGAATACCGATTCAAATTTCGGTCACAATAGGATATAATCACATCACAGTCAACCTCGGTTGTTTAATACTTTGGTACGAAACTTTATGAGAATTTTAAGTTCGTGAGTAGATCAGAACTGAATTTTTAAAGATGTATTTCACCGTCGTTTTACAATTTATTTGTAGCTGCTGATGTTCAGGTACTACGTATAAAATCGTGTTTACTACCCCACATTTAAAGCGCAATCTTTCATTTCATATTTTGCATAAACACTCATAAAATATATATTCTCATGATTTACATAAATAAACTCACGCTCTTACCCCCAAAGTGATAGGCAGAGTAGTATCTCATGATTCAAATTAATTTTAATACAAATATTCAAATCATCATTTAAGAATATGCCATCTTTCCGATACACTATGTACTAATATGAATTTACTTAAGTTCTCTAACACAACAAGTTGCTTATTTTTGGGGAAATAATAACAATGACAGTTAATAGATGGCGTTAAACTCAATATGTAACTTGTGTGTTGCTGTAAAAATTTGTTAGCTTTATTTAATTTAATTCCTTTCGGGGGTAATTAATCGGTCTAGCTAGGTTAAATTTTTAGAAAATTTACCAAAAAAAAAAATACCGAGCAAAGCTCGGTCATCCAGGTACTATGTAAAAATTGTGTTCAGGATTTTAAAAGACAAGTTTTTACTACCTTCTTATCAATAATATCATCACACATCTCACATCTGATTCCGAATTAGGCAGAGCCTATGGTCACCAGACTGCTGATAAACCTATTCATATATTTCTTAATACACAATTAAATTATAGTAAAGAAATAGTCTAAAAATTTTAATGTTTTTGTTATTAATATTTAACGTAACACAGTAAGTGTCCCGAAAACAGAACAAACTTTGCAAGAGTAGGTAAAATTTGATAAGCATATACTTGTTTGAACACTTAGTAGATGTGAAACCTCGTTTGTGTAATAATAAACTTTTATTTATTATAAACTAAAAAATAAAGGCTTCACAAAAGTCATTTTGAAAAACGAAATACTTTAAACAAAAATTAAATGTTACGATTTTGGACTTTAAAAACAAATACCAGTTACCTGTGTACAACTCTTTAGGTCTGCACTCCTCCAGGACCAGGTCAGTGGCGTTCCATCGCGCCCCTTCCAGGTACAGGCCGCGGACACAGCACCCGTCATCGGGTTTCTTCGCCGGAGCGCCCACTAGCGGCTGTAACATAGACCTGGGGCCTGGTAGCTGTGTCTACGATCGACAGTTTAAACGACTTCGACTGATATTCCCTTAATTCATATCTATTGTTAATGTTTATTGACACTTTATCTTTCAATAAGATGTTTTCAAAGAAATTATCATTAATTACTCAGACTAAAAATATAAATTATTAAGGCAACCATAATACTACTACTGCAATGGTTAATATTTTTATAAATTTGTTTTCATTTCATAACCTTACAAATATGGCTTAACCTTTTCATAAATTTATTTACCGTGTGAGAGCTATGATTTTTTTTTTTTATTTCTTTTAAAAAAGACAACTCCCGCATTAGGAATATATCCTGTGTCGCGGGGGACTTTACAAACATACATGAAACAAATAACACCCAGACTTGGAACAACAATTTGTGGATCACACAAAGTGTCGTCCCATGTGGGGTTTGAACCCACAACACTCGGCGTAGTAGGAAGCGGCGTGGCGACCGCTTAAACCACTACGCCATCCGTGCAGTCAGCACAAATGGGCCGGCTCGATACCACGGCCGGAGTGATATCACGGCCTCACAGAAAACCGGTGTTAAGCAATTCTTTCGTTGCCTTTCACTGAGTGAGTGAGGTTACCGGCGACCAAATCCGCCCTCGCGCTGACTCGAGCGGGAGGGACTCTAAGGGCAGTAACACACTTGTGACTTTGGAGTCGCAGGTGTCCATGTGCGGCGGTAGTTGCTTACCATCAGGTGACCCGTCTGCTCGTTTGCCCCTTCTACCATAAAAAATAAAAACTTGAACAATAAGTTTTATTCTTCAATTCCCTTCTATAACTTATTAGTTCAGTGGTGACTCCCTTTCTAGCCATATCCTCTTTCACGCAGTTCATCCATCTTTCCTTTGGTCGTACTCCACTCTTATATCCATTAACATCCATGCATGAAACTTTCTTCAGCACATTTTGCTCATCTCTATGCATTACACTCTATGGTGTGTAGACACGGAAATTGTTGCTAATTTTGAATCATATTAATTGGATGAAATGATTGGGTTTAGTCACAGCGATTTTACATGTGAATGTGATTTCATCATAGACGGAAATGGCATTAAAATCAATCATAATTCTATTTATGAAAGAGCGAGTCTTGTGCTAGCCTAATAATAATAATTAAGTAGCAGTGCTTTTGTCAATCAGTCACAGTTGTGATATGTTTTATAAAATGTGATTCTGCTTTCATTCTATCCCTACTGGTGTGTTTATTTATTTTACATCAACCCGCTCTCGACAATCTCTTGCTCTTGCGATTGGAAATTGTATTTGAGGCAATACAATGTGCTTGCTGAGAATTTTGCGTGGTTTTTTATATGACTATGCTGCCTGATTTTTGGTGAGTCAGGTAACTCCTCCATTCTTATCCATTGGTCTTACATAGTTAGTAGAATAGGAAAAGTGCAAAACTATTCCGTCGACATTCCATCGATACAATATTAAAATAGCAGAATTGAAACCCAGATCATCCGTCTATTTAAAAAATCCATTTCAGTGCAGGCAAATCACAATGTCGAACTGGGTCACCACACTATGCACACTGCATCCCCTGGTACTACTTTCAGGCTTCCGTTAATGTATTCATTCCTCAACTTGTCCCCCCTAGTCACATTACATATCTACCTTACCAGTCGTACCTTTAGTGCTATAAAAAACCGTACCTCGAAGGCATACGCCACTGTATCGATAGCGATGACGTGTTTCCTGGCGTAGTTCTGCAGGGCTCCGGTGAGGAAGGCCTGCGGGAAGTAGAACCCTGAGATCCAGAACACCTTGGGGATGCCCATGTCAGCCCACTCCTGCATGAAGGCGACGCGCTGGCAAAGGTCTTTGGTCCAAGCCGCTGATTAACCAAGAAAGAAAAGGAGTTCCGGTTAGAAATAATAATATTAATACCCTCGCACATCTTAAACACGGCAGTCTGGTTCCAAACTAGGCAGAGTCTGTGCTATGGTAACCAGACTGCTGATCACCATACTTGTATATTACTACAAACATACAAATCATAGACTAGCTGGTTCCCGCGACTTTGTTCGCGTGGAATTTGAAATGCGCTGCCCTAGTGGTGTAATACGAGTGCGACTTCAGTCCCTGAGGCCTTGAGTTCGATTCTCGGAGCGGCCAAAATTTTATAGGGTTTTTCTGAGAGGAAAAATAGCTTAAGTTACTTTTTATATAGACAGCTATCTAGCATTAAAATATTTTCAAATCGGTCCACCCGCAAACAGACAGACAAAATATATTAAAGTGGTTTTTAGGCAAAGGTATTGTGCAAATAACCGTGTCGGCATAAAAAAAACTATTATTTTGACATTACAAACAGACACTTCAATTTTATTTATTTGTGTAGTAAAAACAAACCCAGACACAGAACAAATGACCCTTCTCATCAAAAAATATTTGTCATGGATAGGAATCGAACCCAGGACCTCTGACATAGCCTACTAGACACACAGGCTTGTCAATTTGCAAGTCAAGTATCCAGTAATTATCTGATAAAGTGGCTCCCGGTAACTAACCAAGACTCTGAACCTAGATGGCTTCTTCACGGATACATTTTTAAACATATGAACGTACGAACATGAAAAGAATATTGAACATAAGTCCAGAAGACTAGAATCTGAACAATATGATAGAATTAAAATAAACTAGTGGTCGAACTTCAACCATAATTCGTTTAATGTTATAAATTGAACTTTATTAGGGTTCTTTTGTCAAAGACTATATCTCTATAATCAATGGTTACATCATGGCTATAATATATTTCCAAAGCATTTTATTTAAAAAAATAGCTTTATGCACTTCTTCTGCATATAAACTTTAACTGTGTCAAATTTCAAGTTCATCCATTGACAAAGGATTTATAGAAATTTCACCCCTAAGAGGGATAAAATTAGGGATGCATGGTTGTAGGGACATCGGCATTTTCAAAATTTAGAAACAGGAAATATATAACCTTGATTATATAATTTCTACATAGATAGAAACAGTTGATCACCAAGTGGCTTCAAAGAAGGATACGCCTTGGAACTCCACATGTGCGGTACAGTGTTCTTGGAGAGGCTGCCCCCCATGTTCTCCAAAGCCTCAGACAGCACAACGAGTCCTTTCAAGGCCTTCAGTAAGTCCCTGTGGATATAAACAAAGTCACATATTTGAACAAAGACAAAGTCAAAAGACGGGTTATCGTCTGCGGTATTTCCGGACCGATACGACCTTCAAACCTTCAAGAAAAGAGCGTACTCCTTCCTACAACGCGTTTGTGACTCCTGAGTTACAGACGTTCATGGGTGGCGATAGTCACTTTCCATCAGGTGACCGCCTGCTCGTCTGCCCCCTCTAACATAAGAAAAGTCAGTATATTGCTCTGCTGATGGATGAAGACAGATACGAAAGTGAAATGGGTTTTTTACCTAATAAACGGGTGACCTGGGCCTCAATTCTGCTATTTTAATATTGTATCAATAGACTGTCGATGGAATGTCGTCGGAATAGTTTTGCACTTTTCGTATTCTACTAACTATGTAGGACCAATGGCCTTGTCACTGATACAAATGTCGTTGATGTCTTTGTGACAGTTTGATCAACGGTACATTTTAAATTTATAAGATTTATATATTGAATTTTCAGGTATGGCAATGTCGTTGATATCAACATGGATGACCTATATTACTATACCGACAGTCTATTGACACTGTGAATTTATATTAGTAGAATACTGACATTTTGACCGATGTCAATGGCGCCGTAATGGTATCTCAATAGCGTGGCAATGGAATGATAGCGATCAATAGCGTAGCAGAATTGAGGCCCTGTTAGGCAGTAAGTGACTACCCATGCATATCTGCCACAAAACACAAGTACCACCCGTTGCCAGGAATTAAGGAGCGGAGGGGTTAGCTCACTCACTAAAAATCAGGCAGCTTGGTCATATAAAAAAACAACCCAAAACTCTTAGCAAGCCCATTGTACAAAATACAACTTCTAAAAGGTCAGAGAGATGAATCACTAGTTTTGTTTATTTAATAAACAAAAACGTGTTATTAAACAAGAATTTGTTTTATTTTCCAAGTAATCCGATTACCAGGCCACTTAAATTACGATCCGAACAATCGACAAAGTTCAATAAAGATGATCCTTTTACTACAAAAACTTTAACATAATTAAATCTTTCTAATTCCAAGTAACATTTGGAAATAACAATTTTTGTTAATTAACGTTGTAAAATATTAAAGAGAAGAAGTCTAAATCTAATGAATCTAATCTAATGAATTTGCTAATAAATTATTTAATTCCGATGGCGCGATTGACTACTTAGGAAAATTCGTACTCTCTGGACGAAAGAATTAACACCGGTTTTTATAAGGTTGAGATCACCCTGGTCGAGCCTGGCCATTTGCGCCGAAGCATGGCTCTGACGGTTGTGACGTCATGGGAGTGGAAGAACAAACAAACTTACATGTCGACGGTACCTTGGTAATTTTGATTCTCTTATTTCAAATTTATCTTCTGATTATCTTTAGATAAGTTATATCAACTTCCCACTCTTTATAATTTTATACTTAAGTCAATTATTGTTTTTAAAAGACAACTCCCGCATTAGGAATATATCCTGTGTCGCGGGGGACTTTACAAACATACATGAAACGGACACAAAGAACACCCAGACTCAGAACAATAATTTGTGGCGTGGCGACCTCTTAAACCACTACGCCATCCGTGCAGTCAAAAAGGCAGTATTAGTTGGAAAAAGTATCTAAATTTTTGGTGTTATAGTAGGCCAAAACCTCCTTTCTAAGGAGCGGCCCACGTCAAGCAGTCTTGTCAGAGGTGGCGGAAGAACGCAATTGCGATTCTCGCTCCCCTAACCATTGGTAAGCAAAGAAACACGGGGTGGTTTTTAGTCGATAAGAGTCCGACAGACCCCTTGACCATGGGTGGAGGACATCCACGAGGATCTTCACCGCGTTAACAAAAAATGGCCAGCAGCGGACTGTCATAGGCTGTTGATGATGGTAAGTATGTAGATATCAAAACTCGGATAAGAATCAAGCAATCTTTCAAATCCAAGTCAAAAATTTGACAAATATACAGGAACTTACCTCGATGAGCTTTTGATGACGCCCAACAGTCGGTTATATCTGATCGCTTCTTGGATCAGTACTGTGTTTAAGGACTCCCTGTACGAGACCGGGTACCTGCATAACATTGTTGTAGTAATTTTACTTTTACTTTCGAAACTGAGAAATTCAACTTACAAATTTACTAAAAAAAAGTTCTGGACTGATATGAATGAACCTATTGGCATACAATATCAAGGATGTTCATGGAATATCCAAAACATCGGCCTGTAGAAGAATGCTGAAATTGATCTGAATGATTAAATTATGTAATATGGAAACGGGCAAACTAAAGTCTTTTTGAATTTTAGTAATGATCGGGTCCTTCGAAAGCTTTGATCAAAACTACGATCGGACCCACAATGCTGCCTTGGAGAACCCTACTTAGAAACCCACGTAAATAGGTTAATAGGTCTAGTGTATCTATAAACTGCGGAGTGCGATAATACTTTAGACTAATGGCATGCACGTCCAAGGGTTGGGGCATGACATCCAGTATTTCTCTTGCAGCTTCTTCAATTATCTCTTCGATAGTGGCGCCACCTTCACCGGACACTTCCTGAGGCTGCAGGTTTAGAAGTGTCTCTGAAATAATAATAATAATATTTCGGACATCTAATACACAACGCTATCTAGCCTTAAACTAAGCAAACCTTGTACTATGAAAGCTAGATTGACTGATAGAATACTTAAAAACATGTTTTTTTTTTGTAAATACATACATATTTTACAAAAAAAACACAAACTGCGAAACAAATATTTGCAGATCATACAAAGATTTGGTCCGGGATCCCGGAACTCAGGAATCGAACCCGAAACCCCAGCACAGCAGTCGCATACGATACCACTACACCACTGAGGCAGTCATGAGTTACTGAAATACTGAGGCAGAGATGAAATGAGCCGAAACTATTTTCATAGCGTTATTTATTTTTAAGGGACCATTTTTTTACAAAAGCTACAAAGTCATAAAATAAGAAATGACTTGGAACCTGCGACTCAAGGTTGCAAGTGCGTTGTCACACCAACGTTGTGCGTTGTCAAAACAGTTGCGGTGGGAGTACGCTGTTTTTTGAAGGTTTGAATCGGTCCAGAAATACCCCAGACAATTTGCATAAGTTTTGAATAGTCAAATACCAATAAAATAATTCTTCTATAACCTTTAAAAAAATATCATAGACTTTGATGCGCCGCTGTCAAAGAGACAAACAGACAGACAAACGCACGAGTGACCCTTAAAGGGCGCAACAGTTTCAACCATAAGCATAGTATCAACAGAAAATTGAGCAACCCCTATGTAATAAGTAAGTATTTTATTTATAGTATATAGCGTATATATGTATGTTAGATTTATCCTAAATTAATAAGTTTAATAGAAACAAGTTAAATTCTCTGTTTTCTCTTGCACCTACAGCTTCATTTTTCTACATCACCCGAAGGTCGACTGGCAGAGAATGCCTTGGGCATTAAGTCCGCCTGTGTACAACTTGTGCATTAAGTTAAATAAATTAAAAAATTTATATTATAAATGCATAAGTTTCAATGAAATTTGGCATGGAGATACTTTAATTTTCGATAAAGGACATAGGCTAGTTTTTACCACGATAACCGACAAATACACGGGCGGAGCCACGGGGAAGAGCTAGTGAAATATAAAATATACGAACTGAGACAAGTTTGTGTCTCGGACATGGCGTAGCTGATGTTGGCGTTGGCGTGCAGCCCGAACAGGGATGGGTCGTCGTTGAGGGGCAAGGCGCGGATGTACTTCTGGTAGCCCTCGATGTTCGTGGATGAGGGTTGCTGCAACAGAATAATAAAATTGATAACTTCCCACATCTCATACACGGCAGTCGGCTCCCAAACTAGGCAGAGCCTGTGTTATATTAACCAGGCTGCTGATAAACATACTTATATATTTTTTTTAAAGATAACATCCTAGGTAAATATCCTATATCGCGGGGGGCTTTACTAACATTTATGTAAAGTACACAAAGAACACCCAGACTCAGAGCAATAATTTGTGGATCACACAAAGTATTGTCCATTGTGGGGATCGAACCCACAGCCCTCAACGCAGTTGGAAGCGGCGACAATGCAATCAATGGTGCAATCAGTCTTATATTTGTAAACACATACATATTATAGATACACCCAGACACAGAACAAATTACCGTGCTCATCACACAATATTTGTCCTGTGTGAGAATCGAACCCACGACCGCCGGCTTAGCAGTCGAGGTCACTAACCATAAGACCAACAGAATATGCTTCATTATAAGATACAATTTTAGTTTGTTAGTCTTTTAGAACAAAGCTTTTTTGCCATAGTTCATATTCCAACAGAGCCCGTGCTAAGAGTGCACTGGTTGTATGGATAAATAAATGTTTTTTTTATAGCACCTGATGGTAAGTAACTACCGTCGTCCATAAACGCCTTCAACTCCTGATTCCTCCCTACCCCCCAGAAAATGGGTTACAAGAGCCTAAACCCCTCCTGGTTTAGGCTCTCGTAACCTCACCCACTCGGTGAGAAAACGAAGTAACTACGCACACGGGAGTCATTCTAAATATATTATTAGTAAAATACAATACTTACTTTAATGCAGTCTTAAACGCATTTATATTTTACACTATCTCAAACACACATCCAGTCAAGAACACCAGCCACTCATCTGGAGCTTGGCAATCAGACAACCCAGAATGAGTATTAACCTGACCTGTTTATAAGCGCCAGCTTCGTCGAAAATGTAGCGTTCATTGAGAACTGCAGACGAATAGTAGTCAGCAAGCAAGTTCAGCAAACATCTCCGGTCCCAATCGTCCGTCACTCGCCCGCCATAGTTGATGTGGCCCGCAGTGTACGTCAGCATCTATCATTGAACGAGTACGTTTCTAGCTGATAAATAGTTGTTTTGACTCAGCCAAGGCACGATAAACAGTGCTGGGAGAGCCTAGTGTGAGTTTATTTCACTTCGACTCGCTCTCGACAGCAAGCGTTTTCGGCGTTGTGATTGGCCCGCACTCAACTTTTTACCAATCGCAACACCCAACGCGATCACCGTGACAATCGAGTTGATGTAAAATAAACTCATACTAGGTCTACAGGTCTGACGATTAATTAGGGGAACTCGTCTTTTACTAGAGAGGTCTTGGTTTCTTCACTCTGGAGAATACCTGCTACTCAAGAGACAAGAGAGTGGGTTTCCGCCCCTTAGAATTGAAAGAGGGGGTCTGGACTTCGGTAATTTCAAAATTCGATCAAAAAACGTAATAGGTTTTCTGTACTGTTTTCTTTGAAGCTGTAGTATTACTTGAGTCGAGATAGCCCATATATTATATGTCGAGGCATATTTATTAGTAAAGACAACTGCCGCACCAGGAATAAATCGTGTATCGCAGGGGACAAACATACATGAAACGGACACAAAGAGCACCCAGACTCAGAACAACAATTTGTGGATCACACAAAGCGTTGTTTCATGTGGAGATCCAATCTCCAACACTCAGCGTAGTAGGAAGCGGCGAGGTGGTCGCTTAAACCACTACGATATTCGTGCAGTCGAAGCATGACTCTCCCACGACAAAGTATTTCAGGGTATGAATAATTTTATTATGGCTCCTGAAGGTTACACTTTCCCGTAACCTTGATATCCTCTTCTAAGATTTTAAAACTCAAAGGAATAAATTCTGATTCTACTCAAAATGTTACTGCTATACTACTGTTATACTCAAAAGGAATAATTTTGTGTGGTGGTTGTTATAGCCTCTCTAAGAGTAAAATATTTTTTTAATTCGAACCAGTAGTTCCTAAGATTAGCGCGTTCAACCAAACTTTTCAGCTTTAGAATCATTAGTATAGATAATACTGACCTTCAGTGGCACTTCAGTGTACTCATTCAGGAACATGTGTAGCTGAGAGATGCAGATGCGCAAGTCTCCGTCGGTGAACTCGTAGGGGATGTTGAAGCCCAAAGGTCCGAATTTGCGGCGCTCCAGGACCACTCCGTGGAACAGGCAGAGGGAGAATAATAGCCACTGGAAAGGTACAATCATGTATAAAAGTTGTTGGTGATATTAAGAATACATATTTCTATGCCCGAAGGGGTGGGGCCAGAGCCTTGCTCCTGTAACATGAAGCAAGCCTATTGCTGACAAATAATAATAATAACGTACCTCACACATGTGACACACGGCCGTCTGATCCCAAACTAGGCAGAGCCTGTGCTATGGTAACCAGACTGCTGATAAACATACTTACATATTTTTGACTGCTGATAAACATACTTACATAATTTATTTGTAAAATGTATGCAACATTTTACAAATAAATTACACCCAGACACAGAGCAAATGGACAGTATCTCTTGGCAAGAGTTAGTGTTGCTGATTGCAAGGTTTTCTTTATAATGATTCTTTGTACCCTTTTTTTGAACATACGACTACCGCACTGGGATCCTCCCAGAACCCTGTGTCGCCGGGACTTTACCAACACACATTAAATGGAGACAAAGAACCCATTGCTTAAAGTAATGTCCCATGTAGGGATCGAACAAACAACACTTCGTGCAGTAGGAAGCTTAAACCGCTTAAACCACTACGCCATCCGTGCAGTCAACTTCTTTATAGTAAATGAGCAGATCGTCCAGCAGATGGCAACTTAAGCGACACATGTGAGTTGCCACACTTTGAATCCCTTCCACCTGCAGGAGCCTCTGGTAACCTCTCACGATTTTCTGTAATGCTAGTATCATTCCAATCGAGCTGCCCCATACTGTGCCGGAGCACGACTCTCCCAGAGTGTCTGTCTGTTGTACTAGTAGTTCGAGTATGCATAATTTCACGATGATTGGTTAAAAGTTTGACGTGAGAGCGTCACAAACAAACAAATCCATTATTATTATTTACGATATTTGTTAGGATGTGATGATTAAAACTGAACGTATTTGAAAATGATCCGTGTGGTGACGGATTAAGAATAAAGAGTGTCACCACCCCTAATCATCCCGTGGGTGTCGTAAGAGACGACTAAGGGAGAGCAGACGCAGAGCAACAGTACTGCAGAGAGAAGGAAAACTTGACACAAACCCAATACCAACCCGTCTGGCCAGCGTGGTATAGTAGGCCAAAACCTCCTTCCTAAGGAGAAGCTTATGTCCAGCAGTGGACTATTAAATGCTGTTGATGATGTATTTGCAAATGTTCATTTTCTATGTCCCAAAGCATCTCTGAAACTTAATACGTTCTTATCTCTTATTTGCTATCGGTGTAGTGACAGATTAATAATACGGAGTATCACCACCCCTTTTCATCCTGTGGGTGTTGTAAGAGCCGACTAAGGGAGCAAACTACGCAGGACAATAGCACTGCAGAGAGAAGGAAATGAAGCCTATGTCCAGCAGAGGACAAATTAAGGCTGTTGATGCTGATGATGACGTTCTTATACATTTTCAATGTGATATTGGCTTTATGTATTCAATCTAAGTCGAACCAAACATGTGTTTAAAAAATTTATAGCAATTACCTTAAACTGAAAAACTTTATTTTCTGTAGAATTTAAATAATCGGTAAAATCAGGCACTTGGTTTATATATGCCTTCAATAAGTTCGCCTTTACGCCTCTAGGGGGCTCCACTGTCATTTTGTATCCTGAAAATCAGATGAACTATTCTAAGCATATTTTATGACACAAGGGGCGAACGAGCAGACGGGTCACCTGATAGAAAGCGACTACCGCCACCCATGAATACCTGCAAGGCCTTTGAAGACAGTAGAAATACGCTCTTTTCTAATTAAAATGTGGTCTTCGAATTTTTATAACTTCACACCTGTCACACACGGCCTTCTAAATCCAACCTAGCCAGACCTTGTGCTGTGGTAACCAGACTACTCATAAAGATACTTATATATATCTGATTACATACCCCCTTTGCCCCTTAAACCATAAAAAAAAAACCTTATTTCTCTCTGAAAATTTCTCTGAAAAAGACAACTCCCGCATTAGGAAAATATCCTGTGTCGCGGGGGACTTTACAAACATACATGAAACGGACCCAAAGAACACCCAAACAATTTGTGGATCACACAAAGTGTCGTCCCATGTGGGGTTTGAACCCACAACACTCGGCGTAGTAGGAAGCGGCGTGGCGACCGCTTAAACCACTACGCCATCCGTGCAGTCAAGGTGTTTGTTTTTGTTTTGTTAGTCGTTTGAAGGTAACATTACACGAAGAGTAAAAGGGGTGACTCACCATTCTGTAGTAAAGCAACAGGGAAGAACGGCGAAGGCGTGGAGGTGAGCCAGAGGCGAAAGTCTTTGTGTACCAGCTCTGGAGCGATGTGCTCCACGTTCAGCTCCAGCACCGGCATCCAGGACGGGGACAGGTGACAGTTCTGTCCAATAACGTACAATATACACTAACAATGATAATTGTTTTTAATATTCTGCCACATTCACACAACGCCGTCTAGTTCCAAACTAAGCAGAACTTGTGCTATGGCTACTAGACAATTGATATAAATACATTATATACTTTATTTTTGTAAATACATACATATTATACATAGAAACACCAAGACCAAATCAAATATTAAATGTTCATGCACACAAATATTTGACATGAGCGGGAATCGAACCCGCGACCTATGGAATGGCAGTCCGTTATAGAAACCACTACGCCATTCGGTCGTCAATTCTGGGACATTTTGCACATAATCACCAGACTCAGGACTCAGAAGAATAAATATACTTAGTTACTTTGTTTTAAACAAAAACATATTAATAAAGTGGTATTATCATATTTAGGGACGATTAGTAGATCCTAGGAATAACGAAAGAAAAAACAAGTAAATATAATTGACGTCAAAATGCAACATTTTATTTTAAAATTTCTAAACAATAATAATATTTTAATTTCTTGCATAATTTCTATTTTTAAATTTCTAATTTCTATTTTAAGAGGCAACTAAGGGAAAAAACTACGCAGAACAACAACACTGCAGAGAGAAGGAAAACTTGACACAAGTAGGCCAAAACCTCCTTTCTAAGGAGAGGCCTATGTCCAGCAGTGGACTATTAAAGGCTGTTGATCATGATGATGATTTAATAGAAATGTGAATGTACTCTGTTTTAAACATAGAGATATAAAACTAGAGAGAACAAGAGCAGCAATCTTGCAATATAGACAACGAGAGAGATGGATAATAGACAGTCAAGTCTATCTCTTTCTAGCCGAGCTCTATGGTTGGCTGGGAAATGTGAGGAGTTAATAAGTAGCCAATCGCAGCTTAGCTAAACAGAGACAGAGGGAAATATCAGGCATCCATTTCTCCCGCTGCCTGTATCACTTCCACTTACACGCAGTTGTACCCCGCGTTCTCTATAGTTTTAAAGCATACCAATATTCGTAATGAGGGTTCCTTTAGGTAATTTGATAGCAGAAGTTATCAACTTAGAACATAGTGCGACCTTAAGAAGTTCTCGAAAATGTAGCACTTGCCTGGAAGAATACCCAGTTGCCGAAATCGCAGCCGATCTTCATCATGTTTTCGGCTAAGGGACCCTGACCTTGACCCAAGGAGATGCTCTCGAATCGCTTACCCATTTTCATTTTGTCAGCGAATTTCATTAAATCTGAAGTTGAAAAACTCAAGTCACAAACGGGGCTTATTTCATAATACTAATACATAAGATGCAAATGGGAAAAAATAAATTTCAAAGCTTACTAAAAGCTACTGAGGGCCTTTTTTTTCTGTGCGGAAATCTTCTAGGATACCACCCACCGGTGTCGGACTCGAATCAACCAAAAACCGCACGCCGTCGCGGATACCAGTTGCCGGGGAACCAGGTGTACCCTGATACCCGACGTACCTCGGGCCATCTACGGCGTGTAAATGACCCCCTCTTGTGTAGGAACCCCTATGTCCCCTTTGTGCTTCTCGCCACCACCCCGGCTACTGAGGGCCTAATGTAAGCTTATTTCACAACAACTCGCTTTCGACAATGAGCGCGTTCGATGTTGCGATTGGTTGAGATTTCAGTGCGGGCCAATCACAACACACCATGACGGTCTAGTACATATTCACACTCACACTAAACACACACATAAAAAACCACATCATATAGAAAGTGTGAACGGTTCATAAAATATGTAAGTATTCATATCATAAAACTTAAAGGAAACGGTTGCGAGACTGTTTAGAATATCATCATCATCATCATCAGCCTATCGTAGTCCACTGCTGGACATAGGCCTCTCCCATTCGCATCTTACACAACTCGTTTAGTATATACAACATGGTTTTATATACCAGCGGCGGGGTCAGTGCCGGTGGACAGCACGAAGATGATGGGCGCGAGCGGGTCGGACTCGGCGTAGAGCGCGGCCAGGTCCGCCGGCTGCGGCTCCACGAACCTGGCGCCCAGCCCCACCACCACGTAGTCCTGGGAATCAACCCACGCATTACTGGTTTATTATTTGTTTGTTTTTGTTTTGCTATCTTGTTTTATTACAGCAACAACAACAGTTTCACTTCAAAAACTAGAGTTTCACACCAACAACAATGACAATCCGGGAATTGACAGTGTGTTTAAAAATTGAAAATAACTATTTTATTAAATAGATCTATTGATAGAAAGTCTAAAATAATAGAATGAAGAAAAGATAATCACTAATTTATTTTATTCATTAACTTTTTATGCGTGAGTCACGTGATTGCAAACACCAATCAGAAAATGTGTCGTAATCGTACAATTTTCAAAGTTTGTTAACCAATAAGCTGTCTTTCTTATCTTGTTTTTAGTTGACGCGAAAATAAAAATAACAATTCGGTAAGTGATTTGCATTTTTGGCAAACTATTCAAGTTCTTTCTTCGTTATGTTCTTCTCAATACAGAAATGTTGAAATTTCTGTGTAAATTGTGTACCTAAATTTTCATACAAATTATAAGCTCTCGTCGCATGATGACGTCATACGTAGTCACGTGACCATATATGCCGCATCTTTCTGACCAGTTTTAATTATTTTATTAAAAAAATCTTTTGTTTGATTTAAAGATATGAGGATATGAACTAAATATTACCAAACTATTTTTGAAAAATAGTTAACCCCCGGATTGTAGATCATTTTAACATTTCAAAATACATATGTGTAGTCTCAAACTGTAGGTTTTACTCTTATGTATTTCAAGAATGCCTTCGAGTTTCGGGTTATTATTTTAATAATTATTCGGATAGTTTCAGACTCCAGCTCGGCCTCGGTCATTCGGACTTTTAGACTTTAAGATTCGGTCCGAAATTTGTCGGTAAGCCCGAAAAATACACATGAGTATTATCGCTATATTTAATAAATATGAAAAACAACCACGAAAATTATTATTCTAAAATTTACACGACTATGACATTAAAGATAATCCAGTTTATAACCATCACCTGGAAACCTGGTATAAGCTTGTCGGGGCGTAAACACTTTAGGATAAGTAACTTCTGGAATGCGTCCAGCGTACAATCTTTGGGGTATGGAAGCCTGTAAAGAAATGGCGTCGTTAATACAGTTTAAGACATTAGTTAAAACGATATTTTCTGTAGAAATATGTAGAAAATGACTTCATACCCTGCTGTTGTATAAACATTTATTTTTAATGTATGATTGTACAATAAGGAAATAATATCAATCAATCCATTAGACCAGAGATTCCCAAACTGGTCGATTTGGACCCCTTGGGGTTTGGTTTCCCAGGGATCGACATGAACGAAAACTGATTTTGGGGGTTGACCATATCTAAAAATCGACCCCTGTTAATTAACACAAGTTCTTATTTGAAACTTTCAAGATGCTGTAAAAGTTGCGTTACATATAGGTACTAACTTGTTATAAGACTGACTAATATGTGTATTTATTTTTTGAATTTTGGTAAGAAAATAATGTCAACTTTACTCATTTAAATTGGTATCATCATCATCATCATCATCATCATCATCAACAGCCTGCCACTGCTGGACATAGGCCTCTCCTTAGAATGGAGGTTTTGGCCTACTATACCACGCTGGCCAGACGGGTTGGTATAGGGTTTGTTTCAAGTTTTCCTTCTCTTTTCAGTGCTGTTGTCCTGCTTAGTTTGCTCCCTTAGTCGGCTCTTACGACATCCACGGGATGAATTGGTAAGTATTTTGCATCAATAGGAAAATAACCAGAGATTGGAATTTTAAAGTATTTTGACTTTGGGGGTCTGAGGTATTAGTTGATTTTGGAAAAAGGGTCTCTTGCCCATAATAGTTTGGGAATCCCTGAATTAGACTAATGCAGTCTACTCCCAAAGTGTGGTATAATATACCGAACTCCACCCTACCCCGCCCACACATTCAATTAAACCATCGACTTTCTTAAAAAGTAATAACAAATGTATTCAAAGTATTCTATAACAGTTAAGTTGCCTGATAAAGGTTATACAAATAATATTTAAGAACACACCCCTACAGAATTAATGACTGATTAAATTCCCACTCAGGATAAATATTGTGTGATGAGCACGATGATTTGTTCTGTGCCTGTGTGTCATTTATAAATAATAATAACAAAAGCAAATAAAGTATTTGGATTTATCTCACGAGATTTATAACCAAAAATCTCGACCAACACCTTAAGAGGCTCACGTTAGACGGCTGGATCAAGGATCTGATCCTTGACACGCTCCGTATAGTGAAGAGATTCCTATCATTGGAGTCCTAACGACCGGTGTCTTGGTCCCTGTACCCGTAGTTGTTGGTCCACTATATTTATATAAGTATGTTTATCAGCAGTTTGGTTACCATAGCACAGGCTCTTCCTAGTTTAGGACCAGACAGTCGTGTGGGAGATGGGTGAGGTTATTATTATTAACTAGATGCGGGAACACTACATTTTTCGCGATAAAAAGTAGCTTAAATAAAACACAGGTGTCAGCTACCTCCAAACCAAATTTTACCATAATTGGGCCACCCGTTTGAGCGTGAGGAAGTAACAAACATTCAAACACACAAACTTATGCCTTTATAATATAAATGTGATAATATTTACAACTTACTTATGTGGATTAACCGAATCGTAATAGGTTTTGTAGAATTTAATATTTTCCATAAAATCATTCAACATATTGTGCATGGAGGGCACAGAGCAATTCAGTTGCTGGATCTCCATCCACATGCGGTCTGTTATCCACTTCGGTTCTGGATTCGGTACTTCCTGTAATATTAAACATGTGGTTTTCCATTAACATTATTGGTTTTGACGGGCCTGTTGGTCTAGTGGTTAGTGACCCTGACTGCTAAGGACCACCCAGGACAAATATTGTGTGAAGAGCACGGTCATTTGTTCTGTGTCTGGGTGTAATTTATCTATAATATTTAAAAATATATATAAGTATGTTTATCAGCGGTCTGGTTACCATAGTACAGGCTCTGCCTAGTTTGGGATCAGACAGCAGTGAGTGAGATGTGTGAGATATTAATAGAGGTGCTCGTGGCTTACGTGACCGAGTAGTTAGCACTTTTCAAATTCAAGTAATTCTAGCCAGGTCAGTTTATGGATGGGTGACCAATGAGACCCCTCCGTGCCTCGAAAAGTCATCGGTCCTGGTTACCATACGAACATCTGTGGCAATCGTTACGGGTACTTGGAGCCCTAAAAAATCCAAAACAGTCTTTCTACAGAACTTCGATATCGCCTAGTACTTGGGTTGACGAGGTTTGATAGAAAATCGAAGTTCAGTTGTTTGTTTTCAGTCTACCACGACTGAAAACAGACTCCAACCTAATTTGGAAGAGGCTCGGAGGGTGAGGACGATGGGGTTTTCCGTTTTTGCGGGTATTTATTGACAGAATTTCTTGAAAGTTAATATAGATCTGATCTAATATGCCAAAATAGTCCCAACTTACCAGAATATTCTAGAGAGGTGTCGAACCACTCTGGTTTTTACGACATTTTACGACAAAGTTCAGAACTTTTTGTGAGAGTTCCAGAATGCTCGTGCTGTAAGACAAGCCTGGCCTATATCCTGGTAATATGGTGTGGATAATTTCTAATTCTATGTTGTATGTTTACTATTGTGTCATTATTGATTTTTATTAACTAATGGGGAATATGGATTCGGTGATCATAGTTGGATTTATAAGCGGAAATCTCAACCAACATCTCCTTTTTAAGGAAAGGCCTATGTAAAGGAGTGGACTGCTAAAGGCTGTAGATGATGCTGATTACCTAATGTTATGATTTCATTTTATGGATTTTATATTATTCATATGGGTTTGAATATAAAAAGCATGTTTACTTAGCCTAAAAATATGGCTGAGCTTAAATTTACTGTAACACCTATCATGTTTTACCCATATTTGCAAAATAATATGTATTCTATTTTATAATACAGGTTGATATAGGGTTTGTTTCAAGTTTTCCTTCTCTTTGCAGTGCTGTTGTCCTGCGCAGTTTGCTCCCTTAGTCGTCTGGCCACCATGGTATAGTAGGCCAAAACCTCCTTTCTAAGGAGAGGCCTATGTCCAGCAGTAGACTGTTATTGGCTATTGATGATGGCCTACTATACCACGCTGGCCAGACGGGTTGGTATAGGGATTGCGTCAAGTTTCCTTCCCTTTGCAGTGCTGTTGTCCTGCGTAGTTTTCTTCCTTAATCGGCTCTTACGACACCCACGGGATGAATAGGATTGGTGACACTCCGTATTCTTAATCCACCACAAGGAAAGAAAAAGTGGGTTATAAAGTGGTGCAGAGCTTTTTAAGTTTTGGAAGCGTACACAAACCAACATAACGTTTTTATATATTTAGATAACGAACATTTTCTATTTTCCCTCCGGATAAAAGAAAGTTGAACTCGGTAAATTTAATGATGCCTTTGTCCAGCAGGATCCTGGCGCAGAGCAGGAACGCGAACAGCAGCTTGTGGCGCTCGAACAGGCTGCGGCAGACGTTCACGTACAGAAGGAACGTGAAATGCTCTATTATTATTTCCACGCGCTCCATTATCTCCTCTGAAACAAAGAGATAATTCATTCCAATGTCATCACAAGATATTTGCTGAATCTAACTGGCCTGTTGGTCTTGCTTAACTGGCTTGTTGGTAGTTAGTGACTACTGATCCAGAGGACGTGGGTTCGACACAAACAATAGTGTGATGGGCACGATCATTTGTTCTATCTGTGTACAATTAACTACCGTATACTTTGTTCGCGTGGAATTTAAAAAGCACTGCCTTAGTGTGTTCGATTCCCGAACCGGGCAAAGTTTTCTAGGGTTTCTCTGAGAGGAAAAATAGCCTAAGTTACTCCTTATACAGACAGCCACCTGGTATTAAAATATTATCAAAATCGATTGAGCAGTATTAAAATATTTTTAGACATAGGTATCGTGCAAATAACCGTGTAAGCATGAAATAACTTTTATTTTGATATAACAAATATTGGTAGTCATTGGTATAAATACCTATGTATGTTCTAGAAATATATAAGTATGTTTATCAGCAGTCTGTTTACCGCAGTACAGGCTTTGCCCAATTAGGGATCAGACTGCCCTTTGTGAGGTGTTGAATTGCAGATGTGAGAATTGTAGAAAACTCACCATTAGGCTCGGTCTCCGCCATGGATCGAATGAAAAGCTTCACAAACCATTCGAGCGAATACTGGTACATGGGATCCACATTAGCCATATCAGACAGACAGAAGAACAGGATCTGGCCACGGTTGGCGACCGGCACGTAGTCTTCACGAGCAGCATCGATCTCTAACGTCGTACGTTCAATGTCTTCGACTTTGATCTGGAAGAAAGAACAGAACTTTAGCAAAGTCTTGCCGTGTAGAAATGGATTAAGAATACGGAATGTCACTACCCCAATTCATCCCGTGGGTGTCGTAAGAGACGACTAAGGGCGCAAAACAACGCACCACAGCAGCACTATAAAAAGAAGGAAAACTTGACAGAAACCCTATACCAACCCGTCTGGCCAGCGTGGTATATTAGGCGAAAACCTCCCTTCTAAGGAGATGCCTATGTCCAGCAGTGGACTATTAAAGGCTGTTGATGATGATGATGTTAGCAAATTACGGAGGCTATTATGAAATTTCGAAAATATTTGTGTGATACATCGTTTTATAGGTATTTATGAGCTGAAGAAAACAACTTGGATTTACCTGATTTTGGAATTAATGAAGATTCTTCGCTCCTACGTGGTCGTATATAATCGCAACACATCAGAGGTAGAAGTTACTTTTATTTAGGTACGTACCTATTAGTTGATGATAATAATAACCTACAAGCTTCAAACGTATTGGACCTGTTTGAGCAGACGATATACTGTAAGGAGGTCCCAACACAACGTCCCTAGGTCCTTAAGTACCAAACGATTGATACAGTATGCGTACTTGTTTCTTCAATCGTTTGGTCGTATCGTCGTTTGATGTATTGTTTTCGGCTGTCGCCATAACAGCCATGTTTAGTATAGAATATCTCTGAACTAAATCTTTTTATTCAGCTCAATAAAAACCTATCTAACCAAATTTCATAGAAACCCTGGCATCATTCTCTGTTAGTAAGAGTGAGTATTTGAGGTTCTGACCAATATCTCAGCGCTCTTTATCTTGATGGCCTCGAGCGTGAGTATGAGTGGCAGGTCGTCGACGGGCGAGCCCTGGCTGTTGGAGAGGCCGTAGAGGATGTCGGCCTGCATCTCCGCCAGCTGCGCCGCCATCTGCGCGCGCGACACGATGAGCTGCCCGCGGAGCTCCTCCAGGTCGGGCCGCTCCTGCGCCACCACTATCGACAGCAGCTGCTCCGCTAGACCGCTAAGGGGAGATACTACGAACATTTATTTTGTTTACTGACTAGAACATAATTGATACAAAAAGATATCGTTATACCCATCGACGTTGAGGCCCTACCTTTGAATTAATTGTAAAAGGCTAAAGAAGTAAAGTACCCTTTAACAATATAAGTATTAATCACGAGAGGATAGTGGCTCCTTATCTTTATATACGAAACAAAGCCTGTTCAGTTACACCATTTAACTCCTGGACTGACTTCGTCTGACAGCTAGAGGATCTTGTATATCATCAGTGCTTTAATAACTTATACAGCCCACTCTAGAGTCTTCTTCCGCCTCACATCAAAAAAATTACATCTTCAATATTCTTCGATTTGTTGTAGTTGTCCCCATCCCCAATTGTAGAATAATTATGATAAGACTTCCGTGGGAGAGTCATACTTGGACACAAAAGTGTCGGCTCGATGATACCACAGCCTCACAGAAAACCGGTGTTTAACAATTATTTCATTGCTTTTCACCGAGTGAGTGAGAAAACCCCTCCTCCCCCTGGTCCAAAGGGCAACAACGCACTTGTGACTTTAGTTGCAGCTGTCCGGGGCGGGGATATTTACTTATTAGCAGATGACCTATCTCGTTTGCCCTCTTATACGAATTTTCATTATATTTAAAACTGCACAAAATGCATTTCGTGTAATCATATATTGTGTATATCACAAAACATGGACAAAATATAGAACTATAGCTAAAAACGCAGTCAGGACTGTTTAACGTACCTTGGCACCAAAGCAAAATTGACAATCTGCACTTTGACCGATGTTTCTGGTGTGTACTTCGGGTTCGGAAGCTTCGTCGTCATATAAAGGCGGAATCCGGGAACATATGGGATCAAGGAATCACCGAGTTTAAGCACTAACTGTCCAGCTTGACGAAAGTATTGACGCTGGAAATAATTTACGATGATTCTGCTAAGACATAGCTACGTCTTTTGGTGGATGGAGGGGATGTAGACAATAGACGTTACATGTGTTATTCGAATACACAAGCATATACTATTATACAGTTTCTAACAGTTTTCAAAACATCACTACCAATTTCAGGTCTTAAAGAGCGTGGCTAAAATTAACGCTGTCCACCTTTGCTGTCCAGCTATATATTATTATCCCTTCTTCTTCTATAAATAGCTCTCTCCTCTGTGTTCAATGGCAATCTATCTTCCCCTGGACAATGTCAACTTACCTTAAGTACAGGATCCAAAGCGGGATCTAATTCTTTTCCAACGTTTTCCAACAATACAGGTTTGCCAAATCTCAGTGCTGACTCAAAATTTCTGAGCAAGTCGCGATCATTTGGCTTGCATACTATTAAACCTTCAATTTTGCCCTGTGAATTGAAAAATTACTCATGAGAAAAAGCCAAATACTTATGTATTTATTGTTTGGCTTAGGAGTCATTTTTAGTGAGGCATTCTAATATAAGCTTTTAAGTAGTTTTAAAAGTAAATTCAAAAACTAACACTGATAGTCACTAATTCAAATACCGGTAACTTAAAAGGTATTTCTATTTGCATTGGTTTGTTAGGTGTTTCTTTCTATAATACGTTCTCTGAAGTATGTTTCTCTGCATTCAAAAATTCTTAATGTAATCTTACATCACACACATCAACAGCCTTTAATAGTCCACTGCTGGACATAGGCCTTTCTTTAGAAAGGAGGTTTTGGCCTACTTTACCACGTTGGCCAGACGGATAGGGTTTGTGTCAAGTTCTTCTTCTCTTTGCAGTGCTGTTGTCTTCCGAACCTTAGTAGGCTTAGTAGTTTAAGTCTGAATAAGAGGTACGTAGTAACTGTCCGCACAGAGCCACATGCTCACAAAGAACTGGTCTAATTCACTGTCATAAGTAGTCCAGACAATACGTTAAAAAACGTGTTAATTCTTGTCCCCTTGTTCAAATTTTTCATTAATATTTATTAACATAAAAAAAATGTGTGATATACTGTCTTTTAGCTATCTATTTTCGACGTTTAATAAAAATATAAATAATGGAGATAGAAGAGACCGGATGTTTTATATATTGAAAATGTTTTTTCTCTTTAAGTACGTTTTTAACAAATATTGTAAAATATTAAGTTTTTGAGTTATTAATGAGATTTTCTTTATATTTTGTTAATAACAATTGCTTTTTATGTGCTAATAAATGCTCGAGATACCTTTTTCCAAACATTATTCCGAAGTTAATGAGCTTTCGCACTTATTTTTATGACCGGAAACAATCATTAACATGGTTTTTAACTGACTTGACTGGACTACAGATACTTATGTTATACTGTATCCAATACCTATAATGGTAATATGGTTGCCTAGCTTATCCTGATAGTCTATAATGTGTGCAATATATCCAGGAGTATTAGTTAACTGCACCAGGGACTTCCTTTCTAGGGTTTCCCCGGCTATTAGTACCCCAGACGGCGTGCGGTTTTAGTCGGTTCGTGTCCGGCATGCCACCGATAGCTGGTATCCGAGGGGATTTCCGCACGGAAAAAAAAAGGAGTATTAGTTAACTAAGAATTGTTTCCTGCATCTGTAGATTCGTGAGATACAGCAAACACTACCACTTAAGTCAGATATAAGTTCAGCCGACTACTAAGTCCAGGATAATCCGCAACGACTTGTATGTTCTAGAACTTGGTAGAAACATCGTCAGCCTTACCATCGCTCTGATCCACTTGTTGGCTTGCGTCTGCGGGTCGATGATAAGCGGCCACCGACGTGAGTTTGACATTAGCACGGCCGACTCCACGGACATCGGGTCCCGCGGGAGACCGTACATCTGCCATGTTCTACAAAATATTTCCATTAACGAAGCAGGGAGGAGATTTTTGCAGCATAACACTAGGAATTGTGAATGGTGATTTTGGAACATTTTTTTCTTGCGTTTTAAATGTGGATTTTGTATTATTTTACTTTCTTACGTAAACTCATTTATTCATAAACGTGAATTTTAATTTGATTTCCCAGGCGCTGTCGAGGTGGCATGTGTTGCCCCCATCTATCACGCGATGGACCCGGTGAGCCCATGGAGCGCTAAGAAATAGGTCTATATCTGTATAGAGTTTATATGCATATGCACGAATTTTGAGAATTGTACAATTTAAAACAACAACCAAATAATAAAAATATATCTAGCTTTTCAAATAAGTGTTCTAAAAACAGTATCACAAAATATAAAACCGTATTTATTTGGTCTTTCTTTAATAACAAATAATTATTATCGTTATAATCAAGTTTGTAAGAAGTATGTATTGAATAAAAATTTAAACCACAGCTTAATCACATTCAAAGCACAGCTCACAGTACAGACTAACCTGATCTGCACTGCGTCACCCAGCGTACTCAGCGGAGTGGCGCCGTGGGTGTGGGGCACGTTCACTTCCTGGGGGTGAGCATGAACACACATATACACACATATATCTTGCCTTCGTAAAGTACACGATACTCTAACAGGCAAAATCCTGTATTTTGCCTGTTAGAGTATCATGTACTTGGGCGTGTCATTAAAATATACTGGCCTAGTGGTTCCTCGTAAACCTCACTCTCTTGGTTGAAGAGTAAAACAAAATAATTGCATAACACCAGTTTTCTATTGTATTAATGTCGTATTAAATATCATATCGTTCTTTTCAAACTTACCTAAAGAAATAAAATTATTAAAAACAATTAGTGCTCCGAGGAATTGTTCGGACTAATACCAGCCGTAAATTTCCGCCATCGTTCTACATGTCAAAATTTTCATCCTTATTACCTGGATAGTTAGCGTTCCACTACTGTGCGCTTTTCGAGACAATTTTTGCCCCGCACAACCACTCTGTGGAACGGGTTATCGTCTGCGGTTCCTGACCGATACGACCATCAAACCTTCAAGAAAAGAGCGTACTCCTTTCTAAAAGGCCGGCAACGCGTTTGTGACTCCTGAGTTGCAGACGTTCATGGGCGGTGATGGTCACTTTCCTTCAGGTGACCCGTCTGCTCGTAAGATAAGATTTAGAGGGGCTCGTGTTTAAGTGGAAACAGAGTAGGTTAACACATTACAAAGTTAAGCAATCCTAGTCAGGTCAGTCTATAGATGAGTGACCATTTGTTCATATATTGAACCGCCTCCATCAATCCTGGCAATCGATACGAGGAGTCAAAAATTGTGACAGCAGTAGGTCTGATGGCAGTCGGGGTGCTAGGCTAGGAAACCTCCACGTGGTGCACCCTGGAAACGTCGGCGGTGGCGCTGTTTCTTCCTCCGCTATTTGGGGAACAGCATCACCGCCAACAGTTAATATTCTAGTACACACTACCCTGCCGCAAACCCCGGTGGGGTGACGGCCCGAGGGGGATTCCACACGTAAAAAAAAAAAACAAAAACAAAAGGTCTGATGGCAGTCGCCGTATCGTAGTAGACATTTATCCGACCCCAACCTAGTTTTGGAAAAAGGCTTGGAGGATCGAAGGGTTAGATTATTTAAGATAGGATTCAGGCACGTCTAAAATTATTATTTTTATTGAAAAAACTTATTTTGTACAAACCAATATATGTTGTATCCATTCTCCTAACAGTTCTCTTCTAAACTCGTCTGTGAACGGTGTTATATATCCCACGGCACCTAAACAGATACTAGGAGTTCAACAGAAGGGTCCAATTTATAGGGATCAAATTTATTAAGTGCTAGCTTTTGCCCGCGGTTCCGCCCGCGTGTATATCGCTAATCACGGTAAAAAGTAACCTATGTTACTCGCTGATAATGTAGCTTTCCATTGGTAAAAGAATTTTTAAAATCGGTTTAGTGGTTTAGGCTTGAAAGTCTAACTAACATATAACAAACTCATCATCATCAACAGTCTTTAATAGTCCACTGCTGGATATAGGCCTCTCCTTAGAAAGAGGGTTTTGGCCTTATACAATGCTGGACAGACGGGTTGGTATAGGGTTTGTGTCAAGTTTTCCTTCTCTTTGCAGTGTTGTTGTTCTGCGTAGTTTGCTCCTTTAGTCGGCTCTTACGACACCCACGGAATGAATAGAGGTGGTGACACTCTGTATTCTTAATCCGTCACATCACGGACAAAACTCACTTTCACATTTAAACTATAAGTATGGAAGTTTAGATCAATTTTTAAAAATATTATTCATTTCTATCAATCATCGTGGCCGATGTCTTTGTTTTATTGGCCTCTACACAGGACGAACAGACGTATAAAAAAGTTTAAGTACTCATTTTCACGCAGTTGGTTATTCTATCTTTTTTCCAATAGTTCACTTTTTGATTAGCATCAGTTTTCTTCTGCCAATTGAAGTTGGGTTTTGTTCAAACTTGTTCAAAACAGGTCCAGAAAAAATAGGACAGATATCTAAGGCATTACTTACACGCACTAAGTAATATATCGCCGATGATGTTGATAATGTCCACGTCTAAGTCCTTGATGGTTTTGATCCATCTCACTCGCTCGCTTGATAGACCGTTCAGTAATCTGAGAAACTCTTCGAATTTAATATTTATCGTATATATAAAATAAATATCAGCTTATTGTCTTAAAGATATTGTCTTAATATCTGTTTACATCCAAAATATATCCAATTAGTCAGTTTCAAAACAAAATTTCTGCATCAAAAATCTCAAATTATCTTACAATTAAAAATAAATAATTAATTAACTTATCGCACCTCACACACGGCCGTCTGATCCCAAGCTAGGCACAGCCTGTACTATATTAATCAGACTATTAGTGTAGTAGTGGTGATAACCACTTAAATACATACATATTATAGATAAATTACACCCAGATACAAAACAAATGATCGTAATCATCATCATCATCAGCCTATCGCAGTCCACTGCTGGACATAGGCCTCTCCCATTGCACGCCACTTAGATCGATTTTGGGCTTCTCGCATCCAGTTCCTGCCAGCCATCTTGCGAAAATCGTCACACAAATCATCATCTTACTCATCACACAATTATTTGTCCGGGGTGGCAATCGAACCCACGACCTCTGGTATAACAGTCAGGGTCACTAACCACTAGACCAACAGGCCAGTCGATCTGTAGATATTACTACATCATCCATGTTATATGTGTTTGTTATATCATAGTTGTTACCGGTTCGCGCGGTCCATTCTCGCCAAGCACTGATTAATGTCTTCCTCCATTTTACGCTTCTCTTCTTCCTTCTCCGCCAAGTACGCGTTCAACTTGGCAATACCTTCGCGCAGAGCTTGCATCTTGGCCATGGCGTTTGCCAATAGGGCTGTTTTATAAAATTGAAATAAAATAAAATTGGGGCTATTGTTTCCAGCAATAGGCTAGTTGACTCAATTTGAAAACTTGGTTAATTATATACTTTAATATCTATTTGATCCCAAAAAACCTATATTTTAAATAAAAAGCAATATTTACATTAGGTGTTTTGTATTTGAAAAAAAATAATTTAAATTGCCCTTGAAAAGCCTAAATAGTGTCATGGCGTCTTGAATGACGTCACAGTCTGCGAAACAAAACTGTTTACATCTGTGTCCAGTGTCAAATGGAACTGTATGAAAGTGAGAAAGTATCATAAAAACTAAAAACAATAGGGAGTAACCTGCTCTGTTGTATGAAAACGTCAACAACAACAATGGTATTTTGCGTGGCGTGACGTAACACTTTCTGATTGGTGTTCGCTGTCACGTAACTTAATGCCTATTTTGTTCCAATTTATTTTTTAGAAATATTAATAATCTTTAACTTTTATAAGAAATAGACTAGAGTTTTTTCTAATCTATGTCTCTTCATTTATAATTTGAAACTATAAACCACGCAATTTGTTTTTAGTGGACCCAAACCCGTTGTTCCTAAATAGTTATTTCCAATTTTTAAACATAGTGTTAACTCGTGGATTATGTAAATCGTAATTATAAACGTCGTATGGGCATTAAATAGACATGTATCTATTATATACAACAGGATTATGTGTGAATTGGATACTAGACCACTTCAGCCACCACTAGTTAGGGTTCTCAGGATTCGTTTTGACGAGTCCAAAATATTGAGTCTGATGGTAATGATTATGACCAGTTCCCTTGCAGACAGAAGCATCAAGGTCGTTATCGACAGTGCACAGTGCGACTCCAAGTCTGTTAATGTTTCATCCATTGCTATGCGGATGTTTTTTTTTTGTTCTGGAATAGGGGCAAACGAGCAGACGGGTCACCTGGTGGAAAGCGACTACCACCGCCCAAGAACGCCTGTAACTCATGAGTCACAAGCGCGTTGCCAGCCTTTGAGGAAGAAGTACGCTCTTTTCTTGAAGGTTTCAAGGTCGTATAGGTCCGGAAATACCGCAGCCGATAACTTGTTCCACAGATTGGTAATGCGCGGCAAATTGGTAAGCGGTAATTAATTGGTAAGCGCACAGTGGTAGAGCGCCAATTATTCAAGTGGGGGAGATGATGATTTTTGCCGTGTGGAACGATGACGGAAGGTAGCACGAGAGATGCCAAAATAGAAAAAGAAGGAGGATATTCAGTCTTTTTTTTTCACTCTTAATTCCATCCACTATCACAGCTAGTCTTTTAGTGTCACCAAACTATTACAAATTTTATTACACGAAATATTAAAAATTAATTTCGCGAGCAGTTACCTTCCACAGCGGCGAGTTCTGCCCGAGCCTTTGCCAGAGCTTCCTTCTTGGGCTTGACAGCCTTGTTCACGTGGTAGAACTTGTACATGGCGTGGACCCACATACACAGCGACTGACACGCTTTTGACACCTGTCGATGGACAAGAGATGAACAAGTTTGACCTAAACAGACTTGTTTCAAATGGGTCACCTCATGTCAAGAGTCAAAAATTAATTTCAATTTAATTACACACAATATTTCATGCAACTGCCTGCAACTTAGGGTCAACGCACATTATCAAAGTGACGGCGAAGACACTACAGCGACATCAATTGAAAATAAACTTTGTAACGTTAAAATACGGTTGAATTTGTTTTAACCAAACATAATTACTCCGTAGTCGTCAAGTTTTATTTTGAGTTTTTTTAATGTTTCACTTCACTTTCTCTTTTATTGGTATTTTTTCTTAATCATACTTTTCTCTTTATTGTCTTTTTACCTTTTAGTCCTTAATAACGGACATACTGGCACACATCAAAACAATGTTGTGGTATATTTAATAATGCCATTGTATCTATCTGTGAATTGCAAAAGAGTGGCCATGAGTTTGTTTGCCCTTTCTTCTCATAAAGCTCCTTGGAAACGGGCGGTTGTGGATCGGCACAGGCATATCATAGATTTTTTATAAGTTTAGTTCAAAACAGAGATTGTTGCTTTTGTGCGTGTTGATTATGACTTTAGAGTCTACATAAAAGACGATTTTAAACAATTTTTTTTTATGAAATAAAGATATTTTGAGTTGTTTGACTTTGAAAGTTTTCTTTTATGAAACTAATCTACTATCGCCAAGAACGTCCGCAACTCAGGAGACACAAGCGCGTTGCCGGCCTTTGAGGAAGAAGTACCTACGCTCTTTTCTTGAAGGTTTGAAGGTCGGTCGTTTTATACTTTAACAAACAAAAAGCTTTTATTGTTGACGACCGGATGGCGTAGTGGTTTGTGTAACGGACTGCTATTCCAAGGGTCGCGGGTTCGATTCCCGCTCAAGTCAAACATTTGTGTGCATGAACATTTGATGTTTGATTTGGTCTGGGCGTTTCTATGTATAATATGTATGTATTTACAAAAAAAAAGAAGTATATATGTATTTATATCAGTTGTCTAGTACCCATAGTACAAGCTCTGCTTAGTTTGGGACTAGATGGCGTTGTGTGTATGTGGTAGAATATTATTATTATTATTATTAAAAAAAAAGATTTATAAATTATGTACTTTCAAAATCTTCATGGGGTCATAGTCAGGATTAACAATGAACCTCTTGAGTTTCTTGATCATGTCTTCTGTGATGGAATTCTTGTCAAACTTCATCAAAGACTCGAGGAACGCGCCCGGGTCCGCGAGCATCATCGACCCTGGCTTCCAATAGTTCAGAATCTTTTCACCGAATGAGGCACCAGGTTCCTGTTAACAAATTACGTTTATTAACCGACTTTAAATAGTGGGGGTTACCAGTTTGGAACATAAATATATAGTAGATTCGGATTATACAGACTTATCATATGACCTCGATGTAGATTACATAAAATGTTGAAAAAAATTACTGGTATAAGACTCATAAATAACCTGAAAATTAACGGATAGATTTTTTTTCATTTCTTTTTTTAAAAGACAACTCCCGCATTAGGAATATTTCCCGTATCGCGGGGAACTTTACAGACATACATGAAACGAACACAAAGAACGCCCAGACTTAGTATAAAAATTCGTGGATCACACAAAGTGTTATCCCATGCGGGGATCAAACCCACAACACTCAGCGCAGTAAGAAGCGGCGAGGTGACCGCTCAAACCACTACACCATTCGTGCAGTCAATATTATTTATTAAAGACTAGCTGACCCACGTGTTTGAACATCACTATTTTAGTAAGTTATTGTGTCACGTCACTAAGATACACTGCACTATGTACATACTTAACTACATATTTTGACTGCCTCGGTGGTGCAGTGGTAGCATATGCGACTATTCTGTCTCGGGTTCGATTCCCGTGTCGGATCTAATGTTTGTATGATCTGCAAATATTTGCTTCGGAGTTTGGGTGTTTTGTATGGATAATATGTATGTATTTACACAAAAAAAAGTGTTTAAGTATTCTATCAGTCAATCCAGCTTTCATAGTACAAGCTCTGCTTATTTTGAAACTAGATGGCGTTGTAAATACATACATATATACATAGAAAACACCCAAACTCCGAAATATTTGCAGATTACCCAATTAACATTTGGTTAGACTCGGGAATCGAACCCGAGACCTCAGCGATAAAAACTAAAGTATTTTATTCCAAAGGCGTTTCCGTAATAGTACAATTAAAATCATACTAAATACCTTGATAGGTTTGATGTCAAAGACGACACAAAGCGACTCTATGACCAGCACGACCCCCTGGGGGGGTTTCTTCATCGCCTTCACTTCCACTATGTCGTTACGGTTCAACTCTTGAAGAGCTTGTTCTGCCGCTCGCAGGGCAGGCATCGCCTCCTCTGTGATAACAGACTACACTTAGGACTAAGGATTTTCTCAGAATGGATTAAATATTTTTTTGTGAAAACTTCAACAATTAATATGTCATCATCAACAACAACAAGAGTCTTTAATAGTCCACTGCTGGATATAAACCAAAAAGTAAATAAAATGAAAAATACACAATAAACGTAAACAATAAACGCCATTTTTCACCTCACAAGGTGATAATTCGTGACTTAAGATAATGAAGGTCTCCTGAAATTTCAGTCTCGTCCTTATATAAATACAAAAGTAAGACTGTCTGTTAAGATTTCACGGCTAAACCGCTGAACCGATTTTAATAAAATTTGGAATGGAGATCATTTCGATTTTTGAGTAAGGATAAGCGACATACACGTGGGCGGAGCCACCGGCGAAAGCTAGTCAGGAGGGGGGCATCTACACGCCGTAGATGGCCCGAGGTACGTTGGAGTACCAGGATTTCCTTTCTAGGGTACACCTGGTTCCCCGGCTACTGATACTCGATACGGCGTGCGGTTTTTGATCGGTTGGAGTCCGACGTAACCACCCCACCGGTGGGTGGTATCCGAGGGGATTGCCGCACATATATACTGCACTCACATTGTTCTCTTTAACATTGTACACGGACTTAAAAAAAAGACACCACTGTGATTTGTTTCTAGTTGTAAAGTTTGACTCGTAAAAATATCAGAAAAAAATTACTTGCAGAAATAAATATCATTTCATCATTTCATTTCATAGAAAAAAGCAAATGCCAGTAACTGCAGAACTTGCCTAGATCTCTCATGGCGTCCTCAGCCATGGCGGTTGTCTCGGTAGCCATAACTTCAGCGATGGCTTGTTCTTTTTCTACTTTCACGCGAGCTTCCTCAGCTATAGCCTGTAGAAAAAAAAAACTAATCAACATCACAGAGAACCTGTTCTTTGAAAAAACAACATTAGATTCATTGACGTTCCTGTTGGTTTAGTGGTTATTGACCCTGATTGCTAAGCCACAGGTCGAGGGTTCGATTTCCACCAGATTAGTCGTAAAAAACATGATTTTTGCGCTTACATTGCAAACTGGCTAAACCTTACTAGATAGACCAAAATAATGTACTACGGACTTGTATATCTTAAAAAGATTTGAAAAAAAGTTTAGGGTGGTATAATAATATGTCTATCTCTTAAGGATAACCAATAGGAACCATTTTTACCTTTTACATATTACAAAACATTAACGTATTATGTACGAAGCTATTTTGAACATTACAGTATTATTCCTTATTCAATTAAATACGTTAGATACGTTGTACATTTCATTTCATTTCAATATCTGAAAAGATATCAGAGATTTAAAATACGAGGGGTAAAGCAGCCGTCGTCGGGCCGTACATTCGTACCGGGTGGTAGCGGTAGGCAGGAGGGTAGCGTATAAATATTGTGTATAAATATATCCTGAACCATTATTAATGTCATTGTTAATGCCTTATCATAATAATAGTATAATTAATTACTCCACACTGACACCACATTAATAATATTAGTAGTATCTACATTGCACCCTTGCGAATCCGGGGTGCATCGCCAGTTTATCTATAATACGTATGTGTTTAGAAATATATAAGTACGTTTATCAGCAGTCTGGTTACCATAGTACAGGCTCTGTCTAGTTTGGGATCAGACGGCGGTGAGTGAGGTGTGTGAGGTTATTATTATTACAATGATTATCATTGGTAACAACACTTACAGTGTCTATGGCGATTTGTTCAATGACCTTCCTGGTCTCCTCGGCTGCCTTCTCCATCATCGGTTTTAGCTCCGCCAATTCTATCTGCAGTTCTTTTACTTCAACTTCTGTCTGGTTCAACTTGTTTAAGCCTGTTTTAGCCATAACGTAGCGTTTTCATAAAACAGTTTGAGGGGTAAAAAGGTTTAGCCATTGTCTATTCGGGGTTTTTTTTTTGTTTTTTAAAAAGACAACTCCCGCACTAGGAATATATTATTCTGTGTCGCCGGGGACTTTACAAATATTTATGAAGCGGACACAAAGAACACCCAGACTTAGAACAACGATTTGTGGATCACACAAAGTGATGTCCCATGTGGGGATCGAGCCCACAACACTGTAGCGCAGTAGGAAGCGGCGTGGTGACCGCTTAAACCACTACGCCATCCGTGCAGTCAAAATACGACAATATTCATTTATGTGTATATATTTATTTATATGTATGCATTAATGTTTATAAATATTTATGTATCGTGCGTGTTAGTGTCATTATTACTTGTTGTATATGTATTTTTTATTAAAAATTATTCTAATGTAATTTATATAAGTACTCCGCGTATATGTACTTTTACACATTTTTTAATTTCCGTGCATCTACCATGTTTTAGCTCTGCATTGCCCGAAAGTCGACTGCGAGAAAATGCGTACGGCATTAAGTTCGCCTTTACCACTTTTGTACATACAGAATAAATAAGAAAAAAACACAATGAAATGGCTTTTTTCCCAAGACCGGGATGGTTGGCGCTCTTTGGGGGGCAGCCACGTTCAGTAGTGAACGGAAATAGGCTGAAGTAAAAGCTTTCGTGTATTTTAGAAATAAAATATGTTTTTTCTTCCTTTCTTTCACTTGTGGCTCTTGAGTTCCAGGTGTCCATGGGCGGCGGTAGTCACTTACCGTCAGGTGACCCGTCTGCTCGTATCCTCCCTTATACCATAAAAAAGAGGTGTAATTTAGTTATCTGTGACAGCCACTAGCCTGGTAAAGAAATACATTGACTCTGATGACAACGTAACAGTAACATAATTCAGTGACATCTACCGAAGACACACCGAACTACGGGGTAATGGCTAATCCTGTAACGCGATATGAAAAGTTCTCACGTCTATTAGCATATACACAGTGTGAGGGACGTCGTAACGAATACTGAAATAGTGTATTCAGACCATCATTCCGAGTCGAAAATCATTCGAATTTTCTCCCGGAAAATTCATAATTACGTATACAACTTCCCAACATCCCGAGGCCCGATGATCACCTCACCTGGTCGGAGGTATCTCCCTTTCTGATTAAGGGACATGGCACCTATTCCTCTTTCTCCTACTGTACAAAAGGTGATAATTACGTACCGTTCCTGAGAGCGTTGGACTCTCCGAGTATGGCGTTCCTCTTCTTCCTAAACATCTCCGAGTACGCGTTCAGCATCTCCATGTAGGACATAGGCGTGACGTAGTTGAGTCGGTTCAGCTGCTGCTCGAACTTTCGGCTCGCGTCCACCACGCTCTGGTGCGCGAAGCAACACACGGACTGGTGACAATATTCAACATTTTAGAATTGTTTTTTTTGACTTTAATAAAGAGAATAATATCATTTAATATTTACAAGACTTCGCCAGACGGAGATTTATGTATTTCGATTATATGTATGTATGTTTCTGTGGCAGTTCTGTTGTCTAAACTGTTCGATAGATTTTAGCTTAAAAGGTATCTTTGGATTCGTCTTAATTCTGAGAGTAGCACTGGGTATATGCAAATTTTCAATATTAAAATCGCCGTTTGTAAATGTTTGGTAACTATAGATTTTTGTCTTATTCAATAATTATCATGTTTACTCGTCTTTTAATTATAATATAATATTTTCTTATAATATACCGTAACGTAAGAAGTCGTCAAGACTCGTAAGTTTTACGTTAAATAACGCTATTGTATCGACATTACCGTTAAATTTAAGATCTATTTTCCATCAAAAGATTCTTCACAAGTCTAATGAGAAAATTAAAAAAGCAGCAAAGTTAAGGAATGCTAGCCAGATCAGTCTATGGGTGGGTGAACATTCTGAATACTATTGAGACCCCTCGATACCTCGAAGATCATGCTAAGCTGTCAGCCCCGGTTGTCATACCAACATCTGTGGCAATCGTTACGGGTACTTGGAGCCCTAACAAGTCCGACAACAGTCTGTCTACAGGACTTCGATATCGCCTAGTACTTGGGTTATGAAGGTCTGATGGCAGTCGCTCCGCGTTTCAGCCATGTCGTAGCTTGGAAAAGGAAGGAAGGAAGTCTAGTATACCCTTCATTAGACACTAAAGAATTCTTACCACCATAGCATCGATGACTTCATTAGACACGGTTTGTAATTCTCCCATGCCGGTGAAGAAATGTTTGGCAACTGACTCCAGGGCCGTCTTGGGCCACTCGCTGAACCAATCTATTGTGCAGCAGTTCACCAACGACGGGAACTGGCGGAGGCGGGCGCGGAACACCTGGACGTAAACAGACAGGAATTAGGTCCAACGGCTTACTGCGACCTTTACTACTACTTTACTAGGTCATCGGACCACCTGGTGGGAGCCTACCTACGCTCCGTAACATATTACATACTAGCTGAGACCCGCGGTGTTACCCGCGTTTGTTGTTATAACCGCGGGCAACGCCGCTGGGCAAAGCTAGTCTAAAAAAAGTAAGCCTAAGTTCATCCTTATGTCATCAGCTATCTGCCAGTGAAAGTCCCGTCGAAATCGGTACAGCCGTTCCAGAGATTACCCGGAACAAACAGACAGACAGACAGACAAAAATTGAAAAAAATGTTATTTTGGCAATGTACCGTGTAAACATACATATGCATTTAGTAAAAAGCGGTTATTTTAATATTACAAACAGACACTCCAATTTTATTTATTTGTATAGACTATATGTTACAAAAATTACATATTTGTCCGGAAATTCCGTGTATTGTAAACGACACCACTAAAAACACCACATTTTTTTACTAACGACACCGCTGCTGTCTAACGTGTGTCTAAGTGTTGTATAACGTGAAATAAAACAATTCGCTACGTGTTAATTTATTGTGAAAACTTTGAAATTATTTTAGTTCACAAGGGATTATGGACTGGCCTGTTGGTCTAGTAGTTAGTGACCCTGACTGCTACGCCAGAGGTCGTGGGTTCGATTCCCACCCAGAACAAATAATTGTGTGATGAGCACGGTCATTTGTTCTGTGTCTGGGTGTACTTTATCTATAATATGTATGTATTTAGAAATATATAAGTATGTTTATCAGCAGTCTGGTTACCATAGCACAGGCTCTGCCTAGTTTGGAATCAGCCCGCCGTGTGTGAGATGTGTGTGAAATATTATATTAAATATATTAATCAAATATAATCTATTTATAACAACTAAAATAATTTATAAAAGTTGTTCCGATATTATACAAAAAAAAATTCCGTATTTTTTTTTTTCACTTCATCTGCTATCTTTCAAGCAACTTCTGCTAAATTTCTGAAGAAGCCTTTTTAAATTTCATCATCATCAACAGTCTATACTAGTCCACTGCTGGACATAGGCCTCTCCTTAGAAAGGAGGTTTTGGCCTACTATACAACATTGGCCAGACGGGTTGGTATAGGGTTTGTTTTAAGTTTTCCTCTTTGCAGTGCTGTTGTCCTGCTTAGTTTGCTCCCTTAGTCGGCTCTTACGACACCCACGGGATGAATTGGGGTGGTGACAATTTGTATTCTTAATCCGTCACCACACGGACAAATTTAATTTTAAAATTACGAATGAAAAATTACTGATGTCTATAAATGCACAAGTTTTGTGTTAGAACGTCATTACAGTGATGTCATTACCAAAAAAAATTGTAAGCGACACCACAGTGGTATGGTTCTGTGTTGTCGCTGACAATAAAAGAGAAATTTTGAGTTAATCTATTCATCCTAACAAAATTGGCAGGCCTTTTTGGTCTAGTGCTTAGTGATTCCCACTGATGAACCAGTAATTGTGGGTTCATTTCTTACCCAAAACATTTAGGTGTGCAATAAGGAGTATGATTTGTCCTGTGTCCAGGTATAAGTAACTTATCTGAAGTCCATCTGCGATCGCCTACGACCCACCCCTAGTCTACCCGTGATCCACCTATATTCTACCCGTGATCCACCTATAGTCTACCCGTAATCCACCTATAGTCTACCCGTAATCCACCTATAATCTACCCGTGATCCATCTATAGTCTAACCGTGATCCACCCCTAGTCTACCCGTGATCCACCTATATTCTACCCGTGATCCACCTATAGTCTACCCGTGATCCACCTATAATCTACCCGTGATCCACCTATAGTCTACCCGTGATCCATCCGTGATCACCCATGATCCAACCATGTGATATTGGCGAAAATTTAAAAACAACTTACCTCACCGATAGGACTCATAACTATCACAATATGAAGGTTACTCCGCACTCTTCGTTGGTAACACGAGAACAGGTTGGTCTTTGTAGCGGCCAGGTTCATCTCCATCACAGCGTGACGTACAGCCATATAGATTTTATCGAAATCTTCAGGCTCATAAATGTTGGGGACGTCGCCAGAGCTTAAAATGTTGTTTAGATCTTCGAGGAACGATTCCATTTTAATCTGTTTAATAAATAAGGTCACGAGTCATGCAGAGGTTTTTATGATAAAAGAGACAAACGAGCAGACGGGTCAGCTGATGGTAAGTTACTATCGCCGCCCGTTGACACCTACGAGTCACAAGTGCTTTGCCGGCCTTTTACCGATCCAGCTTCCCCTCCCCCACCAGAAATAGAAGGGGGTTTAGGCTTCAGTAACGTCACCTCAGAAGCCGTGGTATCACTTCGATCGAGTCAGTCCATTTACGCAGAAGCGTGACTCGCCCATGGTAATATATTTACGCAGTCACATATTACATGGTTTTACATCAATGTATGAATAAATGCAATTATGTAACTACAGATTATATCATCATCATCACACGGCCTTGGACACGGCTGTGGACAGCTGTAAACAGGCCTATCCTTAGATAGCAGGTTTTGGCCTACTATTCCACGCTGGCCAGACGGGTTGGTATAGGGTTTGTGTCAAGTTTTCCTTCTTCGTTTTGCAGTGCTGTTGTCCTGCGTAGTTTGCTTCACGACACCCACGGGATGAATAGGGGTGGTGACACTGCGTATTCTTAATCCGTCACCACACGGATTATGAATAAAGACATTTATATATATATATATCATTTGCTTTGTGCACCTCACCCTCTATCAAACCAACCCGCTAGTAGCTCAAGTTCATTTCAGTGTTTTCCATTGTGTCCGAAATCTTACAATGAATTTTTAAAGTACCAGCTCCGATGTAAGCTATGTTACCTGTGCATCGGAGAATAAGAACACGACCCCCTTGTTGTCAGCGCCAGCTTTGAGCATGGTCTGCTTGAGGTCGTCGCGCCACTCCGCGTTGCCGTAAGTCTTCGTGATCTCGATCTGAATGCAGAGGAGCTCGGCCATGTGGGCTGCCAGTCTGGAGAGCGACTGTCGACCTACAATTTATATTAGGGGTTAAAAGTATGAAATTGCCGATTTGTACTGAAAAGTTAAAACTCGTTGTTTTTCTAAGATGTAACAATAATGTAAAAAATCGAATGTTGCACATTTAAAAAAAAAGGTATCACGTGAAATTCAAAGTATCTATTACTATACAGCGGAAAGTAGTCCACTGCTGGGCATAGGCTTTTCCCTAGAAAGGAGGTTTTATCCTACCGGTTTATACCACGCTGGCCAGACGGGTCGGTGTAGGGTGTTTCAAGATTTTTTCACTGGCTAAATAATTATAACTTGACTCATTCCACACACGGCCATATAATCCCAAATTAGGAAGCGCTTTTACTACGTACATACTCATCACAGTCGAATGTATCGACTCTACCGTTAGTCCAGTGGTTAGTGACCCTGACTGCTAAACTAGAGGTCGTAGATTCGATCCCCACCCAGGACAACTATTGTGTGACGAGCACACGATCATTTTTGGTACAGGGACACATCACCACCCATACATTTACCATCATCGTTACCATATATTAACCACTCCTCGTGATTGTTTGTCACTGAAAGACCTGACCCTATATAAGAAAGTGTCATGTTGACATACCGGAGCCGCCCATGCCCAGCAGCAGTGCGTTGGCCATGGGCTGGCGCATGATGCGAGCTATGCGGCACAAGTGGGCGATGGCGTCGTCGAACAGCACCAGGTCCAGCGGTGCAGTCGTAGATATGTTGTAATCGTATAAGTAAGTACCGAGTACATCATCCAGCTGAGAAATGCAGAACAAACGTGTTCATGAAGCTAACGTACCCAAGTCTTAGGGCCATATTTTTTTTGCTAATTATTTGCTACTAGCTGAGACCCGCGGTGTTACCCGCGTTTGTTGTTATAATCGCGGGCAACGCCGCGGGGCGAAGCTAGTCTAAAAAAAGTAGCCTAAGTTACTCCTTATGTCATCAGATATCTGCCAGTGAAAGTCCCGTCGAAATCGGTCCAGCCGTTCCAGAGATTACCCGGAACAAACAGAGCGACAGACAGACAAAAATTGTAAAAAAAATGATATTTTGGCATATGTAACGTGTAAACATACATATGCATTTAGTAAAAAGCGGTTATTTTAATATTACAAACAGACACTCCAATTTTATTTATTTGTATAGATTTTTTTGCCATAGCCATTTCCGAAAAACAATGGTCCTGCTGACTTGAGACTTAAGCCAGCGTAGCCAACACTTTATCTCCGGTTCCCTTACACTTGTCAAAACATGCTTTGTGGCATATTTATTGCTATTTTTTTTACAACATAATTACTTCGAATAGGCGAACATATTTTTACTTATTGCATAACGAGCAAACAGAATACCTGATGGTAAGTGACTACCACCATCTATTGACACTTATAACTCAAGTCACAATTGCGTTTCCGTCCTTTTAGTCCATCCTCTCCCCAGCATCGAAGGGAGGGGTGGGTTAGGCTCCGGTGTCCTCACTCACTGGGTGAAAAGTAACGGGAGAATAGCTTAACACCGGTTTTCTGTGAGACCGCGGTATCACTCCCAGTTAACTTGTAACTTGGTATTAAAACTGTCCTGAGATTAAAAATCCTAAGATTGTGTGATACTCAGTCCAACGCAGCGAAAATATATTTCAGAGCCATCTATCGTAGACCGGCCGACTTACGTCGTAACTACTATTAATAAGTAAGGCCGCAATTCGACGTTCCAGTCATCTCGTTTGCTTGGAGGACCTTCAAACCTGTGTTGTGACATTAAGTCCACCATTGTATAATTTAATTTTTGCATAAAGTATTAAAAAAGTAACAGGAAACACAGCAATATTATTTATTTGTTCAGTCACCTAAAATGGTGAAAATAAACTAGCACCCTGGAAACTTAAAAGAAAAGTATTCATTTTATTTAACCCTACGATCGTATTGGTGATATATCGCACACCTATTTAATCATCATCTCATCATCTAGTAACCGAACAACCCACCTCCTCTCTGTCAGTGATCTCGATATACTTCCTGTCCTCAGCACCGATATCCATGAAGTCACCGAACAGCATCAAGCGCCCACCCACAATGTCGGTGGGGTTTTTGCCAAAATCGGTACGGATTTTTTTGTGTAATAAACTGGAATCAAAAGCGTTCATTTTGTTGTGAACGTAGGTCTGACTACTTATACACACATTATTTTAGTATAGTTATAATATACTATATAATATTTAGTGTATAATACTGTGCAGTGGTAGCGTATGCGACTGCTGTGCTGAGGTCTCGCTTTCGATTCCCGGGTCGGACCAAATGTTTGTATGATCTGAAAATATCTGTTTCGGAGTTTAGGTGTTTTCTATGTCTAATATGTTATTGCATATAATATTTTCGGACATCTGACACACAGCGCCATCTAGTTTCTAACTAAGCAAAGCTTGTACTATAAAAGCTAGATTGACTGATAGAATACTTATATACTTTTTTTTGTAAATACATACATATTATACATAGAAAACACCCAAACTCCGAGAAAATATTTGCACATCATACAAACATTTGGTGCGACCCGGGAATCGAACTCGGCACCTCAGTACAGCAGTTGCAGACGCTACCACTGCACCACCGAGGTAGACAAAGATTCTAGCACCTATCTAAATCTTGTGTGTGATAGGTGATAGGTACTTACCATCAAGTGACCTAGACTATAAAGAAATACAGATTTGAGGGGTCCTGAATGTAGATATGTATCAAAAATAAAATTAAGAGGATTTTGATTTTCGAAGGTATGTATGTAAGTGTCTTTGCCACTCTGTAGCCTAAACGGCGCCTGTAGTCACATAAAGTCCACTGTATCAAAATTACCACTTTCATCATCATCATCTCAGCTGAAAAACGTCCACTTCTGGACATAAGCCCTCTCCACAACAACCGGTCCTGTGCTGCCCTCATCCAACGGTTTCCCGCCAGTTTAACCAGGTCGTCGGACCACCTTGTAGGGCGCCGAGATATTATAATTCTAGTTTCAATAATAATTGCTGTCCAGAATTTGGGTGTATTTATAAGGCATCCTAAAGAATAACTCAGGGCCCGACTAATAGTCGTACCATCAGGTAGTAGGTCCAATTACTCACTTTTTGAACCACTGTCGGTCTTCATCGTTCACGAGCCGATCCTGGTACACGCGCTGATGCTCGTGGTACCACAGACGTATCACGTCGTTTTCGTCCTAACAACCATGGAAAAGGAGAAAAAATAAAGACTATGGGAGAGTTTGGGGAAAAGGTAAGAAGAAGAATATGGTATGGCAGAATTTCAATCAAAAATCCCTGCCAGAAATCCCCCGCTGCACTTGTCTGACGGCAGGCAGTTAACAGTGCTGACAACACCAAGATCTATATGTTTTTGGGTCTGGCAATTATTGTTTATTGTCTATGTTTAATATATCTATGGTCTATGATCAAAACGGTAAGTTTTTGAACGTAATGCCTTTATGTACTGTAAATAATTAATATTACTATGAAGGTTTTAAAATACATTTTATATTTAAAACAGAACTGAATTTTTGTAACTGTATTTTTATTTTGGCGCAGGTTCTTTTATTCACTTCGATGTTGACAAGCGTTCCGTGCAGACGTGATCCACTACTGTATTGTATGTTATTCACTCCAGTTACAACTACTGGGGTCAGAGGACGACATGAGAATAATCTTTGATATTCATGATAATCCATACGTATGTTGTTCTTATTATTCTTATTCTTGTGAGGTTATTATTATTCTTCTAAATATAAACACATTAAGTATTTCAAATGTAATATGTTTCCGTGCGCCATATTTTTTTAAAGAGACGAAGAATTTACTTATATTTACATGTGAAAGTAAGTTTGTTTATTTGTAACGCTTTCACGCCTAAACCACTAAATCGATTTAAAAAATTCTTACACCAATGGAAAGCTACATTATCAGCGAAAAACATGCCACATGCCAAGCGGGCGAATTCAAGGGCAAAAGCCAGTTATATTATAAATCCAGTATAGATCAAAACGAAGAAGAAGATTAAGAAATAACAGAGTAAATACAAACTTCTACTAAACCCGGATCCGTCATCAGCATTCCTTGGAAGACTTTGCTGAGGTCTCTCAAGTTGAAGGTGTAGTGGGACTTGACGGGAGTGGGCAGCAGCTCCACCACCAGCTGCGTGAAGATGTCGAGGGAGGCCGTCAGGAACGGAGCTTCGCGCACTACCACTTTCGGGCTGATGTTACGCGTCCAGGACTTTAGGATTATGCTGAAGATCAAGTACTGTGAAACGAAAGGAAGCTCTCGAATACAGCTTTTACAATCTGTATACTGTTTAAGTGTATATTTTATATTAATAAATACACTTAAACAGTATGTATGCTGCACGGATGGCGTAGTGGTTTAAGCGGTCGCCACGCCGCTTCCTACTGCGTCGAGTGTTGTGGGTTCAAACCCCACATGGGACGACATTTTGTATGATCCACAAATTGTTGTTCTGAGTCTGGGTGTTCTTTGTGCCCGGTTCATGCATGTTTGTAAAGTCCCCGCGTTGCGCATGCATGTTTGTAAAATGCGGCAGTTGTTTTATAAAAAGAAATAAAAAAATATTTTTTTTTTTTTCTTTAAGCAATAATATTAATATCAGACGACCGTGTGCGAGATTTGTAAGGTTATTTTTATTCTTCTACATATGTATATATATATATATATGGATTACCAATAAATATATAAACAAAATGTCTTATTACTTCAGTTGTAAATGTAAGAAAATTAAAACAGCTTGTAAGTTACGTAAAGAATAAAGTGTCTCATTTTGTTGATCAGTTACCTTACTGTCGAACTCCATTTCAGTGAAGGAGATGTAGTGGAAGTGGCGCATGAGCCTCATGGTGACGGGGTTGCGCCCCCCTCCCGGCGGGCCCATCGCCGCCACGATACCCACGTCCACCAGAGTTCTGAATTCGCCGATATTCTGTCTGTCGTACCAGCCTGTTATAAAACAAGTAATAGAATTAACATCAAGTCTGACTATCTAGAAGGACAAGAAAGAAGACCGACTATCTAGCAGACGGTTCCTACCGTTACTGTGTAAAAAAATACGCTACGATTTTAATAAAACCCTGGAACTTGTTGTGAGTTCACTTATTTTCTTTTTTCTTTCAAAGTCTCATCTTCTAAAAGTAAAGGAAAGAAAGAATAGATGTTGAAACATTATAGAAAATATTTTTTTTCTAACCCATCATTAATAATATTATTAGTACTATCGTCTGTCTTCGTTTTGAGGACATTTCCCTAATACCCTTTTTTTTTCTTTTTCCCGTGCGGAAATCTCCTCGGATAACTCGAACCGACTAAAACCGGACGCCGTCTCGGGTACTAATAGCCGGGGAACCAGGTATACCCTAGAAGTTTCCCTAATACCCTTGAGGAGGAACGGGTGTCATGTCTCTCCAACAAAAAGGAAGGTTCCTTCGACCAGGCGAGGTGATCATGCTTGGCGGGCTGCGGCGCTACGGTTGATGTTGGGAAGTTGTGTATATGCTAATCGGCGAGAGAATTACTCATGAAGCAAAAGAGGATTAGCAGTTACTTCATAATTCGGTGTGTCCTAGTTAGATGGCGCTGTAGTATGTTTTTGTTTTTCTGTATGTGTAAGTCGCCACACGTATAATCATAGTGAAATGGAATGGGAAAATCGGGAGTATATTGAAAGTAAATGTAGATACATAAAAGAAAACAAATAAAAGTGGTATTGGTTATAATAATGAATTAGGCAATGTAAGAATAGCTCGAGCTACTGTTAAATTCATATCACTTACCAGAAAAATCCATGAACTGTCTCAGCAATTCAATAGGTGGTTGAGCTCCGTATACCTGAAAATGTAGAAGGCAAATAGATATTGTATCACCGTGGGAGAGCCATGCTTCGGCACAAATGGCCCTGTGCAGGAACGAGTGTCATGTCCAACACAAATTCTCAGACCAGGCGAGATGCCTTGCGGGCCGCCGCCCACCGGTTGATGTTGGGTAGTTGTATATATGCTAATCGGCGAGAGAATTCTTGATATCGCGATACAGAATAAGCAATTCTCATTTAGAACTTACTCCATAGTTCGGTGTGTCTTCGTTAGATGGCGCTATAGTATGTTTCTGTTTCTTTGTTTGTGGGAGTTGCCACAGGCCGGGTCAACCGAAGTGATACCACGGCCTCACAGAAAACCGTTATGAAGCTATTCTTTCGTTACTTTTCACAGGGTGAGTGAGGTAACTAGAGATTGAACCCCCTTTAGTAAATCTGGCGGGGAGGACACTCAGAGAAGGTGCTCGTTAGCGTCAGTAGTCACCTTCCATCAGGTAACCCGTCTGCTCGTTTGCCCACATACCTTCTTCATCTCTTCTTATCCCATTATTTTTGGGTCGGGTCTCATCACTTTCCTGCACCAAGTCAAACGATCTTGGGTTGTCGTTTGGTGCAATTGAGCTTTCTGGTTCGGGTCCAGGTTTACGGTTTGCCCACACACCATAAAAAAACTTTATACATACATACAACTTAACGTTGGGCTTCTTACCTCCAGTGCGGGCATGTTCAGATCATCAATAAAGAATACTTGTCGTTTAGTGAGAGGGGGGCCGTACACTCCTCGCCGGCGACGATCCAGTTTGCTGTCTATCACGTCCTGCACGATAAACGATTCATGATACGGGTACAGGGGTACGGAGGTAGGACGAGAATGGGGACGCGTAGGGGGGCGGGTGGGGGTCTCTGTACAGGCGAGGACTCAGTTTATCTATAGCGTTATATGTCATTAGATAATAGGTTTGTACGGCTTACGGAGACAAAACCAGGTGTAAGTTCAACTGTCATCGTCTGATTATTGTACTTCTTCTACTTTGAACCACGACAGGTCAATGTCTATATTTTTGACTTTCGTAGTTTTTTTATGTATTTATTTGAGGTTCACCAACAGTTGTTACTACTAAATGCCAATGACTATACATCATCATCATCAATCATCATCAATAACCATAATAGTTCACTGCTGGACAAAGGCCTCTTCTGAGAAAGGAGGTTTTGGCCTACTATACCACGCTGGTCAGACGGGTTGATATAGGGTTTGTGTCAAGTTTTCCTTTTCTTTGCAGTGCTGTTGTCCTGCGTAGTTTGCTCACTTAGTCGGCTCTTACGACACCCACGAGATGAATATGGGTTGTGTCACTGCGTATTCTTAATCTGTCACCACACAGACACTGAGTTTTCACATAGTCTATTCAATTCATAAAACATATTTATATGTTGCGTGATATTTTGCGCTTAAAGGTGGTACACTTATAAATATATAGATATCAGTTCGCGTACGCACTTTAAGTTAGCAGAGGTTGTGAGTGTGTAAACAGGCGTAACTACACGTGCAAGTTCGACCTCCCCTCAGAATTAAAGAGAGGGGAGGTTTAGGCTCCGGACTGCGCAGTTTAAAAAAAAATTAGGCTAAAATCTGTTGATACGAAACTATCAATTTTTTTTTAATGCAACTTCCGCATTAGGAATATATCCTGTGTCGCTGGGTACTTTACAAACATACATAAAACGGACACAAAGAACACCCAGACTCAGAACAACAATTTGTGGATCACACAAAGTGTCGTCCCATGTGAGGTTTGAACCCACAACACTCGACGTAGTAGGAAGCGGCGTGGCGACCGCTTAAACCACTACGCCATCCGTGCAGTCATTTTTATTATTGATTATTATTGATCTTAAAATTGTACATAAAATCTTAACTCTCACTCTCTTGCTGATTACCTGTGTCTGATTAGAGGATGTTCTAGCAGAAAACACTATAAACTCGCATATATACTTCTTATGCAAGCCATGCGATAGCTTGGCTGTGATGGTGACCGTCTTGCCCGTGCCGGTGGGTCCCACGCATATCACATGGTTCCAGTTCTGGATCTTGTACCCCAGGATCGCGGCGCTTCGTACATTGTCCAACGTTGGTACTTCAATATCTATATAAATGATTCACTTTTGAAAGACTTAAATGCGGCTGCATTTAAGCATGCATGCTGCATTGAAATCATCAACAGCCTTTAATAGTCCACTGCTGGACATTAGCCTCTTCTTAAAAAAGGAGATTTTTGGCATGCATTGGAATGAACTATGTATATTATATATTCCTTAATTCATCATCATCAACAGCCTTTAACAGTCCACATTAGCCTCTCCTTGGCAAGGAGGTTTTGGCCTACTAAATTGGCCTACTATATATATATATATATATATATATATATATATATATATATATATATATATATATATATATATATATAAATATATATATATTCCTCAATTGAATGGAAACAAAAGGGTGGAAACCCTTAGGGCTGGTACTGAAACTGCCCGTGAATTTATCTATCTACAGTCTATTTGTCCATGTAAAGGTTGCCTGTAAGAGATTGCTTTTTAGCGATAAGGCCGCCATTTGTACATGGTCAATATACTTGGTATACCATTGTATATATATATGATGCATTAAACTGGTGTAGAATAAAGCTTAGTCTATTCAATTTTTTCTTCAAATTTTGTTGTTTTTTTTAAAGAACCGAACTATGATCCTGTGTCGCGGGAGACTTGAAACGGACAAAGAAAAAACACCCAAAGTCGGAACAACAATTTGTGGATCATACGAAGCGTTGTCCCATGTGGGGTTCAAACCCACAACACTCCATCATCCGTGCAGTCATTTAAATGGGATTAAGCAGGCTGGCAGTCATCATCATCATCATCATCATCATCAGCCTATCGCAGTCCACTGCTGGACATAGGCGTCTCCCATTACACGCCACTTAGATCGATTTTGATTTTTTTAAGCAGGCAAGTATACCCCCGAAATTAAAATGTAACTGATAAAGGAACCTCCTCTGCTTTTGAAGTCGGTGAAAAATATGTTTAATTAAAATATAAAGAAATACAACCACTGCAGCAAGTTAGTCTTTTCTCTTACTTAGCAGTCCAGGTCAAAAACCACTAAACCCAACAGGTCCGGTCCTTTTTGTTGTAAAAAATGGTGTACAAGAAAGTTTATTCTGTTCTTTATTTTTCAGCTTTTTAGAATCCATAAAATAGTTTGTCCATACCCGCATACTGCCATTCAGGGTCCACCTCGTACTCCTCCATATTGGCCATCCAGTTGTACCAGTAGGGGGCGGCGGGCTCGCCGTCCTCCGTCAGGTCGGTGAAGCCGCCATCGTGGAGACTACGTCATCAGTAAATCATAATTGAAATACCTATCACGTGTGTTTCAGGTAAACTACTGGGACTATCCCTGACAGTAAGTTAATAAGTTATTTTACACATTGATCAAGGGCTATTGGGTCCAAGACACCCAGATTCAGATCGGACACCAACACTCATCTCAGTAGAAAGCGGCGAAGTGACCGCTTAAACCACTACGCCATCTGTGGAGTCCATATAATCTATACTAATATTATAAAGCTGAAGAGTTTGTTTGTTTGTTTGTTTGTTTGAACGCGCTAATCTCAGGAACTACTGGTCCGATTTTAAAAATTCTTTCAGTGTTAGATAGCCCATTTATCGAGGAAGGCTATAGGCTATATATCATCACGCTAAGACCAATAGGAGCGGAGCACCAATGAAGAATGTTTCAAAAACGGAGAAAATTTATTACTAATGAGAGACGCAGATGAAGTTGCGCGGGTCAGCTAGTAATATTATAAAGCTGAAGAGTTTGTTTGTTTGTTTGTTTGAACGCGCTAATCTCAGGAACTACCGGTCCGATTTAAAAAAAGAAGTTGCGCGGGTCAGCTAGTATTAACATAAACCTCTGTGACCGGAATTCATCCAGCCTATTCTACTTCATGTTTCTTTTTTCAGGGGAAATTCCACAAAAAAATGTACCTTGTTAGATATCGGCAGGGTAATGCTGTTAATCTGTTTGTAAATCAAATCACCAAGTACACAATCAAGCATCATACTAGATGCATTCATTGATAACAAGACCGTATTAGCTTAAATTACTTACGATTGACTTCTAGTGCATCACATCACATCAACAGCCTTTAATAGTCCACTGCTGGACATAGGTCTCTCCTTAGAAAGGAGGTTTTGGCCTACTATACCACGCTGGCCAGGCGGGTTGGTATAGGGTTTGTGTCAAGTTTTCCGTCTTTTTGCAGTGCTGGTGTCCTGCGTTGTTTTGCGCCCTTAGTCGGCTCTTACGACACCCACGGGATGAATTGGGGTAGTGACATTCCGTATTCTTAATCCGTCACTACATGGACATTCTAGTGCATAAACTAACTAATTTCCAAAATATTTCTCCAAAATATAACTCACTACGCAACGTAACTACAATACAATATAGTACAATGAACATTAGAACCTGAACTAGGCCGAGTCTGTGTTTCAGATGCTAGTTTCTTCTGAAGACATTGGTGCTGATTCTGTTGTTCGAAAACTCTCTAAACCAAACTAAAAATCACTAAAAATTTGTTAAGTCCTGTCAAACAACGTTTCCTATTCTGAAAACGTAATATTTCTTCTGTCTGTCTGTCGTAATAATAAAATATAAACGTAATATTTTTAATGTATTCGGAAGAAACTAGCGTCTGAGATACAGAGAATAATTATTAATTTATTTTGTTATTATCGTTATAGTACCTTGGTGGTTATTTAAATATTTCCTAACACATACAAACTATCAATTTGTAAACAGGATAGCCAAAGCTTTATATAATGAAAGGTAAAAAAAAAAAAGTGGCACTACGGGAGAGCCGACAGAAGTAAAACCTTGAAAAGAATTTTTGTTTTTTTTCGATTCGATAAGTTCCGACATGAATATATATCTATGTTGTTCGTGTGTGTATGTTTATATTATATTTAGTTATATTATCAATGTATTTGAACCCAAACTCAACTCTCATGTAAACTTGGCTAATATATGTGGATACTTATATAGAGGTGTCGGTAACGGCAACAGTGTCGCGATTTCAATGGTTTTTTTCTATCTCAAAAATGTGTTTTTTGTTAAACCGTAAAATATATTATTTTGTTTCTTCGTGTTCAAAAATTCCCAACCGCCATAAGTGACATGGGTTACCATTATACAGTACAGTACAGGTTACAATATTATGGGCCAGCTAGACTGGAGTGCTACCATGGCCTCACAGAAAACAGATGTGAAGCCATTCTTCTGGTGGTTTTCACCGAGTGAAGGTGGTTACAGGATCCCCCTGATTCTGGAGTGAGGACTCAAGGTCCGCACGTACTTGTGACTCAGGTTAGAGTTACGTATGTCCATTGGCGACGGCCGTAACTTACCATCAGGTGAGCAGACTGCTTGTCTACCCCAACATACCATAAAAAACATAGTTCACGTCGGTGTTGGACGGAAATCGAGCTTGCAACAACTTTACCAGAAGTCCGACGCTTCAAGCATTACGCCAATCATCACGAACACACAATTATGGCAGATATATGTATACTAACGTATAATCGTAGACCCTGCCCTTCGCAGGGAAAAGGGGCTTCAGGCCAGCTTCAGCGGTCTTCTGACGTATGAAGTCAGAGAATATCGCGCGGCCGTTGTGGTCGCATGTGGCTCCTACCGACCATATCACTGACCAAACCACCCAGAATGGCGCTAGGCGAGCTGTAACACGGAATTACAAAAATGCAATACATTCAGATATCTATACGATATCCTGTGATAGTCTACCGTGGGAGAGCCATGCTTCAGCACAAATGGGTCGGCTCAAGCGGAATAACACCACGTCCTCACAGGAAATCGGTGTTACCGAAACTTAACACAAACCCTCCCAAATATGGGGGGGGGCTGACAGGACTTGGGATATTTAAATTGCAGGTGTCAATGGGCGATGGTAATCACTTACCATCAGGTAACCTATCTGCAGATTTGCCACACCCCCCTCCCTATTTTGGTGACGGGGTGGAAAATCCCTTCGAATCTCCGGATACAGGAGCCAGAAGTATGTGGTGTTTCCACTAAAAACCAAGCCGACGGCCAGTCTTAGGCGCTCTACTCTAGGGAGGACCCGGGTCATGTGAATTTCAGGTCCTCCCCTCAGGTCTAACTAGACAAGGGAAGAAAGAGGCTGCCCCCCACCCTAAAACATAAAAAAACTATACATAATAAAAAAAAAAAAGTATTTTCTAGCAATATCTAACAGCCTAAATTCAATGCGTCTAAATGTTTACACGGTTTATTTACAAAAAAGTAATAATCAAAAAAATAATCTTCTTACACACGGCAGACAGATCCCAAACTAGGCGGAATCTGTGCTTGCTGATAAAAGTTCTTCTATATTTCTAAATACAGATAAATTAAACCCAGACACAGACCAAATGATCATGCTCATCACACAATTATTTGCCCTGGGTGGGAATCGAACAGTCAAGGTCACTGGCCACTGAACGAACAGGCCAACAAGACCTGTGTGTTTGTGTTCATCACACAAGCTCAAAAACAAACTTCAGTCACTTGACACTTACGCATTGTCGCTATGAAAGCTGCTGCAGGAGGTGGTTTGTCATCCTTCCCCGTCAGCGGCCTCAACCTGAAGTCGAGCAGTTCGAGGAACTTCAGCACCAGGGAAGAGTCGATGGACACCACGATCTCAGTGAGACGGTCGCGTAACAACTCCAATGCAGGGTATAAATACGTTTTGATCAGGCCGGGTAGAGGCTTGCGGATGTTGTCTGCTAACTGTAACAATTACTTTTAACGTTAAAAACGAAAAAAAAATAAAAGGGAAACCGTTACCATAACTCAGCACCTACACTAAGTCGTCCGATTCCGACACACCACCCCCCGCAAACCCCGGTGGGTGAAAAAAGACAAATAATAATAATAACTTACCGCATCCCAGTCTGATCTCACACTAGTCAAAGCCTGTACAAACCCCTTCAAAGATTGTTTTTATCTATTTTTCGCGTCAGTTTTGTTCTTCATTTCCCATCAATGCAACCACAATGAGCCACAGTCGAGTGTGGCAGGGTACAGCTAGCTTTAGATAAATAACATCCAGTACTCATCGCACAATTATTTGTCTTGGGTGGAAATCAAACCCACGACTTAGCAGCAGTCAAGATCACTAACCGCTAGATCAACAGTACACACTAACCGCTGGAAGGCTACTCTTGAGCCATGCGTTGACTAAGGGTGGCAGGCCCACGACTTGCGTGTCCAGGTAGACCATGCCGCAGCGCGACACCGTGGCGGGGGAGGCCACGGCCAGGTCCGCCACCTCGAAGATCATGCGTTGTCGATCAGTCAGCTTCATTATCTCGCCGCTCGACAAGCATAATTTTTTGTTGTCGTCTAATACCTAGAAATATAATTATTTATTTTTTAAACTATCATTGCATCGGATTAAACACTGCATTGAGGTGGATTCAGCGGTCACCTCGCTATTGCCAACACTGTGATCCACAAATTGTTATAATAATAATAATAATATTCTACCGCATTCACACAACGCTATCTAGTCCCAATCTAAGCAGAGCTTGTACACTTTTAGTAAATACATGCATGTTGCAAATAGAAACAACCACACCAAATCAAACATTAACCGTTCATGCAGACAAATCGAACCCGCGACCTTTGGCCATCCAGTCGTCAATTGTTGTTCTGAACCAAGGTGTTATTTGTGTCTTTGTATGTTTGTGAAGTCCCCCGCGACACAGGATATATTCCTAGTGCGAGAGTTGCCTTTAAAAAAAAACTATATAGATTAGCAGTTATTGTCTAAGCGCATTGACGACCGAATGGCGTAGTGGTTTGTGTAACGGACTGCTATTCCAAAGGTCGCGGGTTCGATTCCCGCTCAAATCCAACATTTGTGTGCATGCACATTTAATGTTTGATTTGGTCTGGGTGTTTCTATGTATAATAAGTATTTATTTACAAAAAAAAAGTATATATGTATTTATATCAGTTATCTAGTACCCATAGTACAAGCTCTGCTTAGCTTAGTTGTGTGAATTTAGTACAATATTATTATTATAATTATAGACTTTGTGTGTAACGGAACGCATCGTTTTATTGACAGTTACTACCCATACTTTTTTACTTTTACAATATTTTTAAAAATGTTAAGGCAATCCATCACAAACTATTGTAGTATATCTTTACACAAGAAATAAAATGTTCAAGACAACTCCCGCATTAGGAATATATCCTGTGTCGCGGGGGCCTTAACAAACATACATGAAACGGACACACAGACAACGGATTTCTTAAAAAAATGACAACAAATCAACCGCGATCGCTGCTAGGTTTTTAGTGATCTTTGCTAGTATTGTTAGAAGTCGGTTCAACTATTTTAAAAAAGGATTTATATTTTCAATAATATTCAGGATTTATATGGTTGGGATATCAAGGCCATTAATTGGAATTCCAACATACTGTATTCATGTTTTCAATCCACACAGCGTCAACGGGCCCATCAAAGACATACCAGCGCTTATCCATGTCTTCAACAGCTATGCCGGCTCGGACCAAGCTCGATAGGATACCATCCGTCCTGGATAAAACAAATGTCATGATGATAGGATTGATATTTTTTATATTTGATTTTGATCATCACTTGAAATAAACTACTTATAAGTCTAAAATAATGGCAATAAATAACGTAAGCAAATACAAGTATGAAATATATAAGAATCCAATATGGTTTCTCAATAAAACACTATGAAATTTGCTTTATAGGAAGCGTTACCACAAACTCTTTTTAGAAGTAATTCTGGAATCTCTTTAAAATATTATTCATCTTTGAATAGTCTTGGTGACAATGCATAACAACCTAACATGACATGACATGACATAGCATGATATGACATGACATGACATAGCATGACATAACATAGCATGATATAACATCACATGACATAGCATGACATCACATCATAAAACAACATGACATGACATGACATGACATGACAATATGACATGAAATAATAAAACACAGTGACAGCTAACTTACCACTCATGCGTGTTTATATCGAACTCGCCATACAACTGCCCCATGGTAATGGACTTGGGGTTCACCACGAACGTGTGCACCGGGGTGAATGGGAAGCCGTCCGGAGCCAGTTTGCCTTTGATTGCTGTTAACGCATCACGGAGCACTTCGTAACACTGAGACCAAATAAATATTACAATAAGTTTTAAGTCAAGAAAAACTATAGCAACCAAACTGATGTACGAAACGACGTGTCTTGGTGGGAACAGTGGCCTAGTCAAGTCTATATCACAGTTCTTCGATCGTCACGGAGACCGCGTTCGGTGTTGTAATTCGCCCGAATTCAACTACAAAAAAAAAGAGCGTACTCCTTCCTCAAAGGCTGGCAACGCGCTTGTGACTCCTGAGTTGCAGGCTTTCATGGGTGGCAGTAGTATATACGGTAATACCATTAATAATACTTTAGCTATAGCGTTGATTAGGTTTGACCAGACTAATAATTGTGAAACTAGTGCAGTCTCGCTGTTCTGGTTTAGTGAGGAGGCTACTGAAGGTTCCTGGAGAAAGTCCAGCAGTAGGATAGTACTTGAAGCTCACCTTAGTCTTGCCGGCGCCCGCAGGCCCGACCAACATGAGCCCGTGACGCACCACCGTCGTCTCGTACAGTTGTATCACTTTGAATATGAACGCTGGAAAATTATATTCCTCATTAATTTATGGTATAGGGGGTGGCAACAAAAAGACCGATCACCTGATAATAATTGAGCGTACAGTTGTATCACTTTGATAAGAACGTTGAAAAATGTCATTGGTAAGTTATGGCATCCAAATGAGGAGTTACGGTATAGGGGAGGGACTAACGAGCAGAAGGGTCACCTGATTATAAGTGACTAACATTGCCTTTTAAACCCTTATCCATACAATAAGAGGGGGAGGAACTTGGCCCTTCCAAAGTAACGGAAAAACATCAAGCCGATAAACAAAATCAATATTTTAATCATAGATTTTAGCTGATGATGATGATGGTATTAGCTTTATTATTGATGCTACGCCAACAACCGGTCTGGCCTCCGCTTTGAATAATAATAATAATATTTATTTAGATAAAGTGTACAATAATTTATAATAAATGGTTCTCTAATTAATAAATTAAATACATTTGTTGGTTGTTTGCCCGAACTAGGTTGAAGCTGTGTCTCGGGCGCATGAATGTTTCACATCAACATATGATCATCATCATCATCATCAGCCAATCGCAGTCCACTGCTGGACATAGGCCTCTCCTAATGCACGCCACTTAGATCGATTTTGGGCTTCTCGCATCCAGCTCCTGCCAGCCATCTTGAGCAAATCGTCACTCCACCTGTCCTGTGGGCATCCTACACTACGTTTGATACACAATAAATATTCTATGACCTAATGATCAGGACAGAAATACTTAAAACTAAATAAAGCATGCAAAAACTTACTATACAGGTCATCGTAGCCTCTCTTGATGAGCATGTTTCTGATTGACTGCTCCATAATACCGTAGTCCACTATGGGGATTTCCACACGTGGGAATAAGTCCGATATTATTCCTAAACATAAAAAATATTGTGCTAGAAATCGACCTTGAAATATCAAACTGACAGAATTATATTAAATAAAAGATTGTATGGAGCAAGATTAAACAACCACGCTTTCGCCGGTCAAAACATTTATATAACCACTAGCTTTTACCCGCGGCATCACTTGCTTCAATCTCAATTTTGTCAATCATTCTCCTTAATAAATTATTGTAAAAAAACCGTCAGCAAAATAAAAATGTAAAGTTGCTTAAAATTTACAAACTGCTTTTCATTTTATAAATTTCAAATATTCAGTGTTACTCTTACAATTAAGACGAATCTACCATCTCTCAAGCCAAAATCCATGAGAGCCGTTTAAGCTGCAGGGCGTTCCAAAGAAATATACATACATAACAAAATATAACCCTTCTTGTGGCGCCAAACATCAACCCCAGAATTTCCGTTTCAGGTATATACAGGCGTCACTCATTATCGGCCAACATTCAGATCCTCATAAAGCATGCATAAAAATATTTTCATTAAGTATGAATAGAAACTCGTGGGTTAGAATACTCTGGCACCGTGCCAAGAAGTCCACGACGGCCAGCTCACCATTAAACAGCAACAAGTCGTCAGCTAAGAACTTGGGCACGTTGACGTCCCTCAGGGCCCTAAGTACGATCTGCCTCTCGTCTCCGTCGGGCATCTGACGGATGAGGTTGCCGGCCACCGTGATCACCGTCTTCACGGCACGCATCCCGAAGTCATAGTGGTCCTTTACGAAAGTTACGATATAAAATGTTTAAGTCTAGAAATTTCTATTCACACTTTGAATTAAGTAACTGGAATTAATTACTGGACTAAGAACCGCAAATATGCCTTTACATTAAACACATCTTTACCGATAAAACACATTGGAGTTGAAAAGCAAATTTAGTTTAGTTTTATACAGAAACCTTATTTTGAAAAAAACAAAACAAGGACGATATTTTAAGGATTTACACCTATTTTAATCATAAAAGAAAAGATTATTATGGTGACTGTCAATCTAATTTTTTTTTTAATAATATGGATCTATAAAAATGTGAGGAAGTTTATGCTTTTAAAAGTATAAATATATCAGCAATAGAACTCTTCTTTTGCAACAATTCCCAATATTTTGCTAACTAAATTATGGTACTTTTAAATATGATGATGATTTAACAACAACAATAGAAGAATAACAACAGGTGGATCACCTGAGAAGACAGCTGTTCAGAACTGAGCCTGAAGGTGGTGGTGATCTTTCCAGCCAGGATCTTGGCCTCGCCAAACCCGAACGAGAACAGGGAGATTTCTGCGATCAGCGCATAGTCTGGCACCATCATGGCGATAGGTCTGAAGAGAGCCTTTAAATTATCCGGCAGTTCTGTTCGACCTGTAATTATGTAAGAACTTTTTAGGTTTTGGTCTTACACCTGTCATCATCATCATCAACCGCCTTTAATAGTCCACTGCTGGACATCGGCCGCTCCTTAGAAAGGAGGTTTTGGTCTACTATACCACGCTGGCCAGATGTTAAACTGACCAAGGTTGGTATAGGGATTGTTTCAAGGTTGCCTTCTGTTTGCAGTGTTGTTGTCCTGCGTAGTTTGCTTCCTTAGTCAGCTCTTACGACACCCACGAGATGAATATGGGTGGTGACACTCCGTATTCTTATTCCGACGCCACACGGATCTGTACTTACACATGTAGGCCTTCATAATACTGTAGTAGTCTAAGATCTTTAACGATAACATTCAAATCATTATTAAATAATAATTTGAGACATCTCTTACACTGCTATCTGATCTCAAACTAGGCAGAAACTGTACTATGGTAACCAGACTGCTGAAATATATTTGCATAAGTGCGTTACCACTCAAGAACAAAATCAACAAAGAGAAAAATACTTAACACAGATTTTTTGTAATTTATATAGCAAGTATCCCTTTACTTCTTCTTACCTTTAAATTAACTTTTAATAATTAATCCCATCTCTAATGTCAAAGTCCTCGCGTGGACGGCTATAGATCTTTTTTTTATGGTATAAGGGGGCAAACGAGCAGACGGATCCCCGATGGTAAGCAACTAACGCCGCCCATGGACACCTGCAACTCAAAAGTCACAAGTGCGTTGCCGCCCTTGGAGTCCCAGACTTGCCATTTACTTGTATTACGTGAATGTAAACGAATTATAATTAGAAAAAGGTGTATGTTTGATTCACCTTTGCCTACCCATTATAGAATACAGGTGTGAGTGTATGAATGTAACGTACCTGCATAACCAGGGTTCATGGTGATGAATACAGAGCAAGACGCCTTCAGCGGCAAGTCCACACCTTCGAACATGAATCTTTCTTGTTTCGCTGTCTGAGCTTTTTGGATTGTCACCACCTGTTAAGGGTGGAATACTTCCTCAGGTTAAAAAAATAATGAACAAGGTAATTATTGAAAAGAAAAACAAAAAACCCGACTGCGGTAATTTTTTTATATATTTCATATAGCCATTGTCACTCGTAACAATTAAGAATATAAAGATACATCTTAAGCCAAAATCTGTTTAGACTACAGATCATGCAAAAGAAATATGTTTACGTTAATACTTGCACCTTGCCATGCTTCACTGTGGCACATTGTGGCTTGTTGCCACAACTGATTTGAAAAATAGATAAGAAATAATAAAATATTATTTGAAGTGGATTGCAAACCGTGTCAGTCGGTGCAGAACTTTTTGAGTTTATGAAGCGTTCACAAGGGGACTTAACATTTTAATCTAATTCAGATACATATATTGGACACAATCGGCACAGCCCTCCTTCTGGCGCAGTCGGGTAAAAAATATGTAATAAAAATTATGTATTAGGTAAAAAAATATTCGACGATAACAAAGAAGGTGCGATTTAATGTAAAGTTCTATAGAAAGTATCAGTATTGACGTTTTAAAGACGCAGCTTCCTACCGCGCTAAGTGTTGTGGGTTCGATCCCCACATGGGACAACACTTTGTGTGATCTATAAATTGTTGTTCTGAGTCTGTGTGTCCGTTTCATGTATGTTTGTAAAGTCCCCCGTGACACACGATATATTCCAAAAGAAAGAAGCTAAGTTAAAATAACAGATGAATGCTGCATTATTTTGAAAATTGGTTTATATGACCATTTAAATAAAAACCCACATACCTGCTGTGCCACCACGGAGAGTACTTCAATATCAATTCTGTTGAATTCGTCGAAACAAGCCCAAGCGCCAGAACTAGTAGAAAAGTTACTTATTAAAAAATAAGATTTAAAAAAACAACTGCCCTGTCAAACATGAATTTAAAAAAACTAAAAGAAAAACCAGTATCCTCCAAAGTCTATTTGTGGTCGGCGCGAGTATCACAAAATATTTTGACTCGGTGCTTGTAGTTTTCGGGGAGGGAGTAAATTGAGGTAAGTATTAGAGATAGGGCGAGAGAACAACAAGTCAGAAATACCAGTACGGGTGGAAAATGGGACAGAAAAGACAGTGTCAGTGTACCCCCCCCCCCCCCCCCATCACCACCAAAGGTAGGGAAAGTTAGGCCTTAGGGGCAACCTTACTCACTCGGTTTGAACATAAACGAAAGAATTGCTCAACACCGGTTTTCTGTGAGGCTGTGGTCCGGTCCGATCGAACTTGCCCATTTGTGCCGAAGTACGGCTCGTCTCCAATGGCAAAACGATTTTAATGATAATTTATATATAACTAAATTTGATCAAGTATTTTGAAGTTAGTAGAATGTCCTGAATATCATGTAATCTCCTGTTAAATTTAAAACTATTATCAATTGCTCATACGCGCTTTTGTAATCTCCCCGGCGATATTAAATCTATTTAATCAAATTTCGATATAATGTACTCACGCGGCTAAACCTTTAAAGAATTTGCCCATAGCCATAAAGTCCAGCTGATCGGAACAATTGAACACAACACATTGTACTGCCAGGGCCTTCGCCAAATCCTGGAAAAAACCTTTTTTTAGAAAACAGTAAGTAATATGTACATATACGTATGTACTATATGTATGTATCTAACTCAGCAAATATATATATGTATGTGTATCTCGGTATGTATGTAACCTAATTTTAATTTCATGCACCTACTCAGGCATTTCCCCACCACCCAAAGGTAGACTGGCAGAAAATGCCTTTGGCATTAAGTCCGCCATTGTACTATGATTTGTTGTTTGTGCAAAAAGAATGAAATAAAATAAATAAAAAGAATAATATATTCCATGACTACCGTTTAGCTTAAACAAATTAGTTTGGTCTAATATTGGGTTCGCCCAGCAACATTATATTGTTTTAGATTGTTTATTGTTGGTTTTTGCAAAATTGTTTACATGGATCTGTTATACTACTTATTACCTTTTTTTATTAAAATTAAGTTTAAATAATATATCTATATATATATCTCACATATCTCACACACGGCCGTTTGATCCCAAACTAGGCAGAGCCTGTACTATGGTAACCAGACTGCTGATAAACATACTTATATATTTTTAAATATATACATATTATAGATAAATTACACCAAGACACAGAACAAATGACCGTGCTCATCACACAATATTTGTCCTGGATGGAAATCGAACCCACGACCTCCGGCTTAGCAGTCAGGGTCACTAACCACTAGGCCCGTCCAAAAAAACGTTGTATGAATTATGAATTTGAATCATTACCATTCAGAATTCTAATTCCCAATTATTATTTTGTCATAGTACCGATTCTTGGGCATTGTTGGTCATATCCATACTTTTGATAGTAATAGCACCCAAGATTCCGATCTATAGTTATCAAACAAAATAGAACACCGGAACTGAGAACCTCCTCTTTTTTTAATTCATCAAAATATCTTCATGTAATAAAGTTGTAAATGTACCTTGGTGGTCTCAGTCTTGCCAGTCCCGGCGGGCCCGGCCGGGGCCCCTCCGAACTTGAGGTGCATCGCGCACATCAGGGTCAGGTAGCAGCGGTCTGTCAGTGGCGTTATCACTAGCCGACCGCTACACATAAGTAATTAACTAGATTAATATCGTTTTATGGTTTATCCACCAATATCCAATTTTATCCACCTGTTCTTACTTTTGGAATGGCCAAAAGTAACAACAGGTGGATAAAATTGGACATCCTGGAACAACGATGATAAGATGCTGACCCTTTGCAGGTTCGTAACGAGACCCACCAAAAAAGACTTCTGCAGAAAAAAATATAGGCAATGAAAATTCCACGAAACTTGGGCGGCTCGATGGAACCTACATCACTTACAGTTAGTGAACTGTAAGTGATGTAGGTTCCATCGAGCTGTAAGGAATATCGTTTGTAAGAGTTTTAACCACTGTGAGAGCAACTCAACCAAATGCAGATTTGTCACTGATGTAATTTTTAACGTCATAAAAAGCTTTTGTAATATAAGTCGTGATAATGTTCACAACTGACCTGTTGCCCAAGTATTCGTTCTGGTACGTAAACACGGAGTTAAGAGCCCGCACGTCACACGTGTTCTGACTGAACTGCCGATAGTAAGCCGACGTGTCCAGGCGATCCTCATCTTGGTAGATCTCGGGCAGTTCACCAGGCTCCAGGGGGTACATGGCCTTTACATTTGAGTAGTATCTGTACCCCAATTCAAATAGAAATGTAATGTGAGAATCATAAAGGAGTCAGTGCACAATGACAAACTGAAAATATTATAATACTACTAGCTAACCCGGCAAACGTTGTTTTACCCTATAAATAATTTATAATGAATATTTTGGTAGTAAAATAAAAAATAACCAACTTATTGTAAGTATGTGGGGACAGGGTCTGACTGAAAGAGGAATGGTGCGCTGTGGCCGATGACGGCTTATCAAAATAAAAAAAAGTACTAACCATTCATGTCCTAAATTAATGTTATGTTATCTTTATTGTTATATTCATTCGTGTGGTGACATATTAAGAATACGGAATGTCACCACCCCTATTCATCCCGTGGGTGTCGTAAGAGCCGACTAAAGGAGTAAACTACGCAGGACAACAGCACTGAAAAGAGAAGGAAAACTTGACACAAACCCTATACCAACCCGTCTGGCCAGCGTGGTATAGTTCCCAAAACCTCCTTTCTAAGGAGAGGCCTATGTCCAGCAGTGGACTATTAAAGGCTGTTGATATGATGATGATCTTCCAGTCACATATGACCCTTTAATGTCAGTTGACGAGGACCAGTACCTGAGCTGGCAGATCCACTGGAAGTCTGACACGTGGCGCACGCTCTCTTCCACGAGCGTGTTCGTGACGTCACGCGCGTGCACCTCTATCACGATAAGAGCGCACAACACTTCGCGCTGGAAGTATGTCAGGTCGCTCTTCACCAAAGCGCGGAGACTCTCCAGCTTCATGGAGAATACAGTTATAAATATACACTTTTATATTATGTAGGTATTTCCACTACCGTACTACTTAACCAAATCGTCGTCGTTGGGCGGGGGGGAAGGGGGGGGGGGGGGGGTGAGCTCCGGTAATTTCAGTTTACTTTAATCACTTAACTCAGGTTTCTGTGATATAGTATAGACTAGTTTTTGAATGTGTATGTCGGTTAAAGCGGTAAAATCAAAGTCCTCCAGAATTCCTCAAGAGGTTCAGCGGTTACTGATTTCCCATACAAACTTCCAATCCCCTTTTCACCCCCTTAAAGGGTGATTTCTGGGATAAAACCGACTACTACCCGATGTCCTTTCAGGGGAGTCAAACTATCGCTATACGAAATTTTGTCCAAATCGGTTCAGCGCCTTTAATAGTACACTGCTGGACTATTAAAGGCTGTTAATAATGTTGTTATTGTTGCTGATGATCGTACTTATGACACAATTCTTTATCCTGGGTGGGAATCAAACCCACGACTTCTGGCTTAGCAGTCAGGATAACCACTAGACCGACAGCCAGTAATATGTTATCAACGACATTAGCTTATTAATTCTTAAACTCAACAAGTAAACTAATTAAACAAACCTGTTGCAGCATCTCTTCGAAGAACTGGTCAATACGAAACTCTTCGATGCCATGTTCAACGCCGGCAGTCCATGCAGTCTGCGACCCTGCGATCACCACCTGTCCCGGCCAACGCAGCACCCACTGCTCTCGTGGTATCTCCCACAGTTCTTCCAGACCAGCGATCAGCGTGAGACGGACTAGACACAATTTAATACAAAAAGTCCTTCTATTAGCGCAATACATTATATTAAGGATACTTTTTTTATGGTATAAGGAGTAAACTAGCAGACGGGTAAACTGATGGCAAGCAACTATCGCTGCCCATGGACACCTGCAACTCAAAAGTCACATGTGCACTGAGCCCTTCAAGTCCCTCCCGCTCGAGTCAGCGGGAGGGGGCATTTGGGCTCCAGCAACCTTACTCACTCAGTGAAAGGCAACGAAAGAATTGCTTAACACCGGTTTTCTGTGAGGCCGTGGTATCACTCCGGTCGAGCCGGCCCATTCGTGCCGAAGCAAGGCTCTCCCACAGTTAAATATTTATAATTTGATCTTTAATTTAGTCTCCAATCGACATACAGGAGGGAGTGGTTATTTAATAATAATAAAATAAAATTAGGTATTTAAAAATTAAAATAAATTAATTTTAATTATGTAACAGTACACAACATCTTAAGAGATTTCAGAGATTTCTCAGATGATTAAAAAAGGTTTTCGGTCTGTTTTATAACAATGAATATACGCCGCAATCTTGTATAAAGGCATGCTAAACAAGTGCGATGAATAGCAAACAGCTCACGTGAATTTCATGGAGAATTGTTTAAATTACATGTTTATTGTAATAATTCAAAAAAAATCCTCCCTTATAGCAACAAATCTGCACGAATGGAGTAGTGGTTAAAGCGGTCACGTACTGTCACTGCGCTGAGTGTTTTGACAACACTTTGTGTGATCCACAAATTGTTGTTTTAAGTCTGGGTGTTCTTTGTGTCCGTTTCATTTGTTTGTAAAGATACTGCGGGAGTTGTTTTTTTTAAATATTATTAAATCAAACAAGAATACAAACATACTGGAGTGCCTCATAGTATCTTCTAACAACAGGAGCCACTGTTCCACGTTAGCCGTAGGGTAGAATTGGTACTTGAGCTCCACGATCTCGCCCTCGCTCGAGTGCATGTGAGTTATCTTCAGGTCTGGTTGGAAGGTCACCTGCATTATCAGATCGTTGTTTAATATAATATTTACAACTTCTACACCATGTAAAATAATGTAATAGTAGGTGTGGATATAACATGCCGTGAGAGAGCCATGCCAGAGCATACGGCAGACATTGGCAGGCTCAACCAGAAAACCTATGTTAAGAAATTCTTTCTTGACTTCACTGAGTGAGTGATGATAAAGGAGGCCTAACCAGTCTCCCTCCCTCTCTCTACATCACCAGATTCTAGAGGGGTCGCTCAAAGGACATCAAAGCACTTGTGTCTGACGAGTTGCGTGTAAGTGGGCGGTGGTTATCAGGACCCCTTCCACTTGCAAGTCTGGTTTATCAGAAATTCGTTAAGGTTTAGTTTAGAATAACAGTAGGTTACGTATATGTATTTTATGTAATATGTGGGACAAAACAAGTACAGAGCGTTTTAAAAAAAAAACCTGTCCGCCCCCAAAACTTAAGAAACTCGGCCCAAAAACCTAGTAAAATCATTTGTCGTCGTCGTCTGTGAACCCCTCTTACCTTGGCTATGTTCTCGAAGCACTTCCTGAGATGTGGCTGCACAGCGCGAGGGTTACGCGACTGCGACAGGATCTCCAGCAGCTCGTCGTCGCTCAGGAAGAAGAACCGCGGGAAGCGCAGCCGCTTCAGCTCCATGTAACAGTTCAGGCCTCGGTACACCACGTCGAGGAGGTGGCGCGCCTCCACCAAACTATCTAGGAGGCGACTATCTGGGCAGATTATCATTATCTGCGAACAACACGAAATGGAACTATAAACCAACAAATTACCGTGGGAGAGTCATGCTTCGTAACAAGTGAGCTGCCTCGACCGGAGTGATATCATAGCATCATAGAAAACCGGTGTTAAGCAATTCTTTCGTTCTTTATTTTATGGAAGAGGAGGAAACGAGCAGACGGGTTACCTGTTGGAAAGCGAATATCCCGCCCATAAACGCCTGCAACGCAGAAATCACAAGCGCGTTACCTTTTAGCAAGGAGTACGCTCTTTTCTTGAAGGTTTGAAGAGCGTATCGGTCCGAAAATACCGCAGACGATAACTTGATCCACAAATTAGTTGTGTCTTGAAAGCGCACAGTATGTGGCGTTGAAAGTGCTTTACACCGAGAGTTAAGTTACCGGAGTCCAAGTCTTCCCCCCCACCCCTCACCTCCTTCCCTCGCCAAGAGATTTTGGGGAAGGGATCCATAAGGCGGTATCACAAATGCTACTCTTGAGTTGCTTGTGTCCATGGGCGGCGGTACTTACCATGAGGCGCATGCTTGTTTGAACCCTAAATCATAAAAAAATATTTTTTGGTTTTAGACTCTTAAGGTACCTTAGGACAAGCTACAGCAGCAGTCATGGTCCGGCGCCAGATTCTTTCCATGGTGTTGTACTTTTTCGCCTCCGCTGGAAGCTGTCGAGATATATCTTCAGAACTAAAGATCGGTTCTAGATACATCCATTCTCTGTAAACATACGCAGATAATTCTACACTGCATTCATTTAATCAATCACTAGGATACGTTCATATAAATTAAAGAATTCATATTTTTCATAATTTATTTCAGAAATGAAAAACACACACGGAATAGAGACCCAAGGACGTTTAAGTACTCACTATGGCACTTTTTTTTATAAATAAATAACCTCACCCATCTCACACACGGCTGTCTGATCCCAAACTAGGCAGAGCCTGTGCTATGGTAACCAGACTGCTGTAAAATATATGTACAAGCAAGTTGCACATTGCGAAATGCGCTACGCAATCGGTATCATAAGCTGACATACATATATAATCAGTGTAGTTATATGTAATAATTTAGTACAATAAAAGCATTCAACCTTACACGTTGTCTCAATATCAAGTACTCATAACAACAAGCATTTCATCACTAAATGCAGAGAAACACCTCTACATTATGGTCCTTCGATTTATTGGTTGAAAATCTATCGAGTGTATTTTTGTGAAGTGTGTATAGTGGTGTGTAACGAAAGTAGCGAATCGGTTGGCTGGCCTCCCACAAGCGGGTCTCACCAGTTCAATTGAGAAGGCGCATAATACTTTCGTGAGACTACGAGCACACACGAAGCAACAATTCGGATTGGGACGAAATAGCAGCCTGACCGTTTGATACACGTACCTCGAAAGATCAATCAAGCAGCACCAGCATATTTATCATTATCAAGCACCAGTGAACAGTCCTACTAATTTCTTATCAAGCAGCAATCATTTTATTTTTGACTGAGCAATCGTGTCTAAGACAATATCAAGATGAGTTTGTATGAACAGCAAGTCGAAAAGCATCAAGAAATAGCAAGAATCAAAACAAATTTCAATAAAGACAGTGCTTCGAGGAAGACTGTCGACTATTATAAAACTCGTCTGGGGAATTTAGACTCCTTATGGGAGGAGTTCAAACACAACCATGACCGTATGTGCACCGAAGAAAGCAGAACCCATCAATACTTTACCGAAAAGTGGTTCGAGAGCACAGAAGAATGCTACAGAGAAGTACGAGCTTTATTGTGGCAATCCTATCAACAAATGGTAGCTCCGTTGGTAGCAGCCTACGAAGAAAAGTCAAAACTTTCTTCATCAAGCGAGCAAGATGCAGTCAAACAACAAGAGCTAGATAGCAAAATATCCAGGTACAGTGACGGGAGTAGTCACTCTGGTTCACAAAACCAGCATTTGACAAGCACAGGTACTAACAGCAAATATCAAGACTTACAACATCAGCAGCAAGTGAACTTCAAAGCTCTCACCAGAACAATGGAAAACATAGTTGTAGAAGACATCAAAGAAAAGTGGGAGTTTGAAGATGCCATAAAGTCTCTTCAGTCTCGATGGGATACCATTGATAAACTCCATTGGGAAATAGAAGCACTTTTCTACATCAAACCCAAGCTACGACGCACTTTTTGTCAAGTTTGAAAAGAGTTACATGGAGATAAAGAGATCAATTAACAAAAAAATGTGGTCAACATCGCATAGAGAAAAATCTACACCCAAAATAGACATTCCAACATTTGCGGGAAATTACAACCAATGGATGTCGTTTAAGGATTTATTTCATGAAGCAATACATAGCAACCCCTCACTATCGAATGCACAAAAAATGCAATTTCTTAAAGGGAAACTTCGAGGTGAAGCCGAGAGACTCATACAGCATTTGCCTATCAGTACAAGCAATTATGAAGTTTGCTGGGAGATTCTCATGAACAGATACCATAATAAAAAACTAATCTTCACTTCTCACATATCATTATTACTTGGAATTCCAACCATGTCAACTGTATCAGCTTCCCAAATCAAAAAACTGCATGACGTAACTCAAGAATGCTTAAACGCCATCAAGAACTTGGACGTAGACATCAGCAATTGGGACCCACTCGTGGTCCACTTACTATCACAGAAGTTGGATACTGAAACTTTCACTGATTACGTGGAATCGCTCAAAGATTCGCGGGAGTTACCGGTCCTGAAAGAATTTCTTCACTATCTAGAAAACAAGTTCACTGCATTAGAGTCTTCCCGCCGCAAGCAAGAAGTCGGCAATACGAAGAACCGGTACCAGTGGGACAGCCACCAAGGTACAACATTTAACAAGAATCGCTATCAAGGGGAAAATCATCAAGCACCAACAATAGGGGCGAAGTATCAAAAATCTAATCAGCTCAAACAATCATTTCCAACATATCAAGCACGTTCACAATTTAAAACGAACAAATTCCAATGTCCCATCTGTAATCAAGCTCATGGAATTTTTCAATGCCAGCAATTTTTATCTATGTCAAATAATGCTAAGTGCAAAAGTATTGAGCAATTAAAATTATGTAAAAATTGTTTATATTCGCACAACAATAATGCATGCATATCGCAAAAACGATGCCGCGTGTGCCAAGGCGATCATAATACAATATTGCATGAAGCATATTCAACAAATACTATGAGCAACCTCAGCGATAAGTATAGCGGTAGCTCCGGAAACGCGCACGTGGCACGAAGGCCGGACATATGTGAAGTACTACTCGCTACAGCCTTAATCAAAGTACGAACTGCGGATGGGACTTACCAAATCATGCGAGCTCTCATCGATCAGGGGTCTCAAACATGCCTTATCACCGAGAGGGGAGCACAATTATTAGGTCTTACCCGCCAAAAGTGGAAGGGAGTTATCACTGGAGTAGGAGAGAAAGAGAGTCAGTGTAAAGGGTCTCTTACACTACAATGTATGTCAATGGACGCTAACTATACATTCTCGACATCTGTTTATATCATGAGCAACCTTATCAAAAACTTACCGAGCAACACGTTAGCTAAGCCGAATTGGGATTTTTTGAACAGTTTACAATTAGCCGATCCCGAATTCTATATCTGTCGCTCAGTTGACCTACTGCTGGGGGCGGAAATATATTCAAATATTATACAAAGTGGTATATGTCGTTCTGAACAGACACCTATAATCGCACAGCAGACAAAACTCGGATGGATTCTGTGTGGAGCAATGACGCCATCATTGCAATGCAACGTCATTATGAATAACATTGAGCAGATTGAACGTTTTTGGCAGATAGAGGACATATCCACTGAGTTGAGTCTGACATCGGAAGATCAATACTGTTTAGACTTTTATCATAAAACTACATCAAGACAAAAGGACGGCAAGTACGTGGTCAGACTTCCGTTAAAACAAGATTTTGAACATAAAATTGGAAAGTCTAAAACAAAGGCAGTGGCGCAATTTTTACACTTAGAAAGAAAATTGAGTAATCAACCGGATATTTCACAACAATACAATTCGTTTATTAGTGAATATATTGCACTCGGACATATGAAGCCATCAACTACATCAGCAAATATAGAATGCTATTTACCGCACCACTGTGTATTGCGCCACGATTCTACAACAACAAAATTACGCGTTGTTTTTAATGCGTCAGCAAAAACTTCGACTAACATTAGTTTGAATGACGTTATGATGCGGGGTCCAAATCTACAAAAGGATCTCATGTCATTGGTTTTGAAATGGAGGCAGTATAGAATAGGATTTACTGCCGACGTCGAAAAAATGTTTAGGATGATCAATTTACATGAAGATGACCAAAACTTACAAAAAAATATTTGGCGGTTTAAAGACGAGTTTTTGGTTCAGCGGCTTCAAGGAAGACATTTAACCGAGCAATCTCATAACAATCTACGTGAATATCAACTCACAACCGTCACGTATGGTACAAAAGCAGCGCCTTTTCTGGCTATGTTAACCCTAAAGCGGTTGGCCGAGGATGAGAAGGACACGTACCCGGAAGCTGCTCAGGTCGTAAAGGATTCGTTTTTCATGGATGATATTTTGCACGGCAGTCATGACGTCACACACGGACTTCGATTGAAACACGATTTAATTAACTTGTTACGATCGGGTGGGTTCAACCTACGCAAGTGGTCATCGAACGTCCCGGAATTAGTACAAGGTGGTCAACAACAAAATAACAGTTTCGAATTCAAAACGGAACAAAGCCAGAAGGCGCTCGGCCTTCGGTGGAACCCTGCCGACGATGTCTTTTCTTTTCAAACAAAAGTCAATAGCACACAGTCACTAAAAACAACAAAGCGAGAACTTTTATCAGAAATCTCCAAATTATTTGACCCACTGGGTTGGCTTTCTCCTTTCACTATGAAGCTTAAACTTCTTTTTCAAGAGGTTTGGCAGAGGGACATACAATGGAATGATCAACTGCCAGAGGATTTACAAGCAAAATGGTCCAAAATAAAAGCAGACATACATCATATCAACAACATTAAAATATCAAGATGGATGAACACAAACCCGCAGCAAGAGATCGAATTACATGGCTTTTGTGACGCATCAAGTAAAGCTTACGCGTGCGCAATTTATTGCAAAACTAATTATGAACAAATACGAATTATTTTAGTTGCAGCAAAAACTCGCATTATTTCAAAAAAAAAGATAATCACATTACCGAAATTAGAACTTTGCGGAGCACACTTACTATCAACTCTTATGGAGCGAGTTTTACAATGTTTACCAGGATACAATATCAAGCTATTTGGATGGGTGGACTCTACAGCTGTCCTAGGGTGGATACAAGGAGGCCCAGAAAAATGGAAACCTTTTGTAGCAAGGCGCGTAGCAGAAATCAGTAAAATAATGCCGCAGGAGTGCTGGCACTATGTACCGTCCCATGAGAACGCAGCAGATTGTGCTAGCCGAGGTATTACAGCCTCTCAATTGCTAGAGCACCCACTGTGGTGGCAAGGCCCCTCGTGGCTATCGACTTATAAAATAGAAACAGATAAAATTTGTCATTCCTTCGAAACCAAAGAAGAGTTAAAAATTCAAAAACAAGTTAACATTACAAGTAGTACCGAATGTATATTCGAATTGTTGTTGAATAAATACAGCAGTTATCAAAAATTAATCAGGGTACTCGCATGGTTGAGACGAGTTCTAATTCCGAAGCAGGAAAGGAAATCATTCCTTACTCTAACTGAAATCAAACGAGCAAAAATTTGTATTTACAAACATTCGCAACGGATGGAATTCGGAGAAGAAGTATGCAACTTAGATCAGGGTATCAGGATTAAATCTAAGAGCAAGATTCTTAATCTCAACCCCTTCTTAGATGATCAAGGGCTGCTCCGAGTGGGCGGGAGATTGCGAAATGCAAACCTACATCCCGAAATGAAAAATCCTATCATCCTTCCGCACAACAGTCGTATAACAGAGCTTATAATTGACTACGCACATCAGTTAACCTTCCATGGAGGAGCCCGTCTCACTATATCATTTTTACGCAAGAGATACTGGATAATTGGAGGGGTACAAGCAGTCAAAAAACGCCTTCGAACATGCATAAGATGCAAAAAACATAACCCCAATATGAATAACCAAATAATGGGGGATCTCCCCGAATCAAGATGCAACCCTTCCAGACCCTTTTATCATACCGGGGTGGATTATAATGGGTACATCGATATCAAATCGAATAAAGGCCGAGGAATCAAAACCACGAAGGGTTACGTGGCTCTCTTAGTATGTATGGCGACTAAAGCTGTCCATCTAGAACTGGTTTCCGATCTAACAACTTCAACATTTATAGCAGCATTACGTCGGATGGCTGCCAGAAGAGGCACTCCGGGACACATATACAGCGATAATGGCACCAACTTTACAGGTGCGAATCATGTGCTGCAACAGCAGTTCCAAGAACTACAAGAGCGGGCTATCCCTGCTATCACGGATATGGAGATACAATGGCATTTCAATGCGCCGTCCTGGCCATCAGCAGGTGGACTCTGGGAATCTGGGATTCGGAGTTGTAAGCATCATATGCGCAGGGTAATCGGCGAGCAAAAGCTGACTTACGAAGAATTAACTACCATCTTATCACAGATAGAAGCATGCTTAAACTCCAGACCGCTTTGCCCCATGACCGAGGACCCCGAAGATCTCGACGTTTTAACTCCATCACATTTTTTAGCAAGCGGACCAGTCCTAACCATTATAGAAACCGAAAAGGATCAACGAACACGATGGGAATACACTCAGAGAATATTCAAGGATATTTGGAAAAGGTGGAATAATGAATACCTCACCCAGTTATCACAAAGATCAAAATGGAGGAAAGTGCAAGAAAACATCAAAATCAATGACTTAGTAATGATCCACGACGCTAATTTACCACCCGGGAAGTGGGCAATGGGCCGCGTAGTCGAAACTCACCCGGGTAAGGACGAATATGTACGTGTGGTAACCTTAAAAACAAAAAACGGCTATATAAGGCGTCCCATCGTTAAATTATCTTTATTACCTATCAAGACATCAAATACCACACATCATAATCAAAATCCGAAGCAACTCGAGCTCGACCTACATAATCAGAAATTTACGATGAATAAACAAATTATTGCAACTCCAACAATACCTAAATCCTCAAGACTGAAGCTTTCAACTATCACTATGATGTTACTTTATTTTTTGTCTATTTTATCACCGTCGCAAGCGACAGACATCAACTCGCCTCTTAAGAAGAATCAATCTCTCTATTTGGATCCCATAGCCAAGATGCAGCTTCTTCAGGATAAATGGACCTTAGTTGTTTACTACGACATGTCCCCGTACTGGGAAGGCATGCAAGCATTTGAGAAAATAACCGAACACTTGAACAGTTCATGCATAAAAACGGAAAACAATAACTGCAATATGATACTCCAACAGCTGATACACGAGTATAATGAACTGCGGTATTATAACAACCTTTTACGGACACAACAATTCAGTGGGCATTCCCCGCACGCTAGACAGCGTCGCGGTCTTATCAATGGAATTGGATACTTAGCGAATAGCCTTTTCGGTGTATTGGACGAGCGATTCGCTGAACAGTACGCCAAGGATATCGCACTATTAAAACAGAATCAAGCACACTTAGCAAAATTTTGGAAAAATCAAACATCAATAGTTGAAGTGGAATCGAATTTGCTACAAAGAATGACGGCAGTCATGCAAAGGCACCATAAACATATAAATAAACAATTGATGTCTATCAAACAAAGCAACACCATATTACAAGAAGAAGTAAATCGCCTATCAGTCATTCAAGACTTTACGTTAACATCATTATCAGCAAGTAACTTGGTTCAAAATTTAAAAGCTACGCAAAACAATTTAATAGATGCAATCTCAGATATTTACCACGGACAATTTCAATTACACTTATTAACACCCGAACAGTTGCTCCAGGAGTTGAGTATAATATCAGGACAAGTCTCAGATGAAGTGACTTTACCTATCAATGATCTACAAAATAATGTAAGGCAGATATACAAACTGATAACAGTAAAAGCAAGAATGACGGACGAATATCTACTATTTGAAATCATAATTCCATTAGTTTACCGAGATAATTTCAAACTATACCGTGTAATTTCTGTCCCACAACAGACGAACAAAATCATGGTCACAGTAGTACCGGTCGCAAATTACATTGCTGTAAACATCGCCAAAGACACCTACATTACAATGACTCACCAAGAATTATTATCGTGTACAATACATGACGAAATTTATATGTGTTCCCAGCAAAGGCCTGTCTATCAACTCGTCAACAGTAATAACCTTTGCAAGTTAGACCTGGATACAAATCAGTGCAAAATACATCGAGAGTTGTGTCATAACATATGGGAGTCATTATCAGTACCGTCACAGTTCCTATATTTTTGTTGTAATAAGTACTCCATCAACTTAATTTGCGAAGAAAATGTAACTCCATTGCAACTCAGCCAAGGTGGAATTATATCAATCCCACCAAATTGCGTCTTGAAAGGGAAGGACTTCCGGCTGGCGTCGCACCGACACTATCAAAACCATATCAACATCAGCGCTCCTATGTTCATACCCAAGATCGACAATATTAACCATATAATTCGCATACCCGTACCTGAAGAAGAAATTAACGAGACGGACTCCGGGGAACTAAGTTCAACTATCGACCAGCTGAAACAGCAAATTAAAGATTTAAAAGCCAGCAGCAGCTACCTTGATTATGACCTGTCACCACATGACATCCAGCAGTACGCAGGCATTTCTATCTTGTTCGTCGTTTTCTTACTCGTAGGAGGAGCTTTCCTGTGGAAAAAGCAGCAATGTACTCGACGAGGACGCAGAGTCATCACCCCGGACATCGAGTTGCAATCTACACGGAGTAGCGGGAGAAGAAACACCAACACCAGAACCAACAGAGCGTGTTCGCCTATTAATTTTAAACGATTAGATTGCCCAATTTAGAATCAATTTTTTCTTATTCTGTATTATTTTTCTCTTTTTCTTTCCGCGGGGAATATGTACAAGCAAGTTGCACATTGCGAAATGCGCTACGCAATCGGTATCATAAGCTGACATACATATATAATCAGTGTAGTTATATGTAATAATTTAGTACAATAAAAGCATTCAACCTTACACGTTGTCTCAATATCAAGTACTCATAACAACAAGCATTTCATCACTAAATGCAGAGAAACACCTCTACAATATATATGTTTCTAAATACAGCCATATTATAGATAAATTAAACAGACACAGAACAAATGACCATGCTCATCACACAATTATTTGTCCTAGGTGGGATTTGAACCCCTTTAGCTTAGTTGTCAGAGTCACTAATCACTAGGAAAACTTGATACAATAGGCCCGATAGATAAAAAATCGATTATAGGAATCAATGGTTACTGGCAACACCAAATATTACTTACGTCCCTGGCTGAGAGTCAGTTACGAGCCTTTTTAATAGTAATCTAGTAATTTTAATAGTAAATGATTGAAACATTGATTTCAGAGGTTTATATTAAATTTTGGTTACCGATAATATTTCTCTGTTATATCTGTCCGTGTGGTGACGGATTAAGAATACAGAGTGTCACCGCCCCTATTCATCCCGTGGGTGTCGTAAGAGTCGACTAAGGGAGCAAAATACGCAGGACAACAGCACTGCAGAGAGAAGCAAAACTTGAAACAAACCCTATACCAACCCGTCTGGCCAGCGTGGTATAGTAGGCCAAAACATCCTTCCTAAAGAGAGGCCTATGTCCAGCAGTGGACTATTAAAGGTTGTTGATGATAATATTTTTTCTGCTCAATAATTCTAAATAATATATTTACACCTACATTAGCTTGACTTTTACATTAAGTTATACCACAGACTGCACGGAGTAGTTTAAGCGGTCATAAACGCCGAGTGTTATGGGTTCGATCCTTCGAACTCTTTGTATGATCCACAAATTGTTATTCTGAGTCTGAGTCTTCTTTGTGTCCGTTTCAAGTCCCCCCACTACTCAGAATATATTCCTAGTGCGGGAGTTGTCTTTAAAAAAAAACATATGCACTAACTTCTGACACTCTATCCACTGTTCGACAACTTTCTGTGTGAGCCGCAGTTTATCGTCCCACTCCTGGATACGCAGCTCGAAGGCCGCTTTGAAAGGGCTGAATCCCAACTGTTGGGTTATCAGGAGATGCTCATCCAATAATTGAAGAGTCTCATCCGCTATCTTCATTATATGTGTACCTGGTGATAAATTATAATTATGATGATTAAAATTTGCAACTTAATGAAATAATGAAGCCAAGAGACATTAAATATGCTGCTATTAAATATGCTAAGAACACGCCAAGGCGTAGTTTAATTGGTCTCACTTCTTAGTTCTGAGCATGAAACATATCAGAGCCGTGGCAGAGCCATGCTTCGGCACACAAAAATCTGTGTCAAGCATTTCTTTCGATTCATATCCCCGAGTGAATGAGGTAACCAGAGACTTAACACTTATATTCCCCTCCTCCCTTCTCTTCCACTCTCCACTTATTATGTGGGCCCGGTGGTCATTTACGACTCTTGAGTTACAGGTGATGTCGCTATCCGTGTGGCGACGGATTAAGAACATAGAGTGTTCCCCCATATTACCCCTATTCATCCCTTGGGTGTCGTAAGAGCCGACTAAGGGAGCAAACTACTCAGGACAACAGCACTGCAAAAAGAAGGAAAACTTGAAACAAACCCTTTACCAACCCGTCTGGCCAGCGTTGTGTAGTAGGCCTAAACCTCCATTGTAAGGAGAGGCCTATGTTTCGCAGTGAACTATTAGGGGCTGTTGATGAGTTACAGGTTCAACCGTGGTCGGCCTCACAGAAAACCGGAATTAAGCAATTTTTTTCTTGCTTTTTACCGAGTGAGTGAGGTTAGAGGAGCCCAAACCTCACCTCCCCTGGACTTGTCTCTTGGGTTGTATGTGTCCATGGGCGGCGAGTGCCACTTGCCATCAGGTGACCCGTATCTTCGTAGGCCTTCATATCAAATACAAAAGAAAAGAATTATGACTTAGTTCTAGCACAAAATATAGTCAAATACTTTACCAGTATTCTTATAAGGCGAGAGCTCCATAATCTTGGTGGCCCAATCTCCTTGCATCTTATCCAGGGACTGCTCGATGACGTACTCTTTGGAGGCGAGTTCGCCGATCTCCGCGATCAGCTCCCCGTGCTCAGCCACTCCTTGCTTCAGGCACATTTGGAATGTTTGCTTCTCGTTCATCGTTACAGTTATGCCTGCAACCGTCATGTCATCATACACAAATTCTTACATAACTTCATCTGCAACTCCTTCATCATGCGTTAATATTCAGATTATCATCACCTATTCCCCTGTATCAGCACTCGCATTCTTGCCAGCCAAGACTGACAACATGACGTAAAAAATTACTTTTCGTAATTAGTCCCTGACCTAATTATTTTGACGGGCTTGTTGGTCTAGTGGTTAGTTACTGTGACTGCTAAGTCGGAGGACATGGGTTAGATTTTCACCCAGCTCAAATAACCCTCCCCCCCTACCCCTAGCTTACCATCCGGTGACCCGTCTGCTCGTTTGCTTTCTCTATCCCATAAAGAAAATAATATATAATTTGTGCTGTCCAATTCATTCATTCACTCTCAAAATCTTACCCGATTTCTCCATAAACTCGTTCCAGTGCCTCTCCTTCATGCCGGGGTTCCTCACGGCTTGTAGCACAGGAATTAAAGGTCTAAACTCATCAATAGCGTCCTATTTTAGGTGAAAAAGATAAACAAATGTAATGCAAATAATTAAAGTTGATAACCGATACAATACAAGAAAGACAAAGAAAGGTGGTAAAACCAAAAATTAATAACTATTACGGAGAGGGAAAGACTAAATATCTAATCCATAAAATATTTAATGCAATAGAACTCTTAAGAACAGAACATAAAATAAGGAAAAATATGTCAAAACTGAAGTTGAAGGATCTAGTGCTTGGCGAAGGTGACACTTCTATCAGTGAGGTCCGTTAGCGCCAGGCAGTCGATCCGGATATTGAGTTATAGGGTATTTATATATATATATAGGTTAGTACTTGTATATAGAACTTATGTAAGGTGTTTATCATCATCATCATCATCAGCCTATCGCAGTCCACTGCTGGACATAGGCCTCTCCCATTGCACGCCACTTAGATCGATTTTTGGCTTCTCGCATCCAGCTCCTGCCAGCCATCTTGCGCAAATCGTCACTCCACCTGGCCTGTGTTATTAAGGTGTTTATAATAAATATAAAATTGTTCAAGAGCGTATCTCGCCAACAAACTTGGCGAGGAAGTTATGAATGTTAATATTGTTTTTTTATGAATAAATTATATCCTAGCAGCTGTACGTGACTGTACCAAAAGTGTAAAGTACATACGTAGTTTAATACATTGTAGACTCGATCGTCAGTCTTTGTAAGACACTCTGTGTACGAATCCCGAACAATAAACACGAAAAAAATGACTAAAAACGTTTACGATGCAGTTATGGGTGAGGATTTGTTGGGCAATATAATGGAATCAAAATTTGCATGAAGTTTGATTTAATGAATCGAAAAATTTGGTATGTACGCTTATTTTTTCTATACGGAAATCCCCTAGGATACCACCATGAGGGTTACGGCGGACTCAAACCGACTATAAACCGCACGCCATCTCGGGTATGGAAGTCGTTCAGCAACCTCCGGTGGCTGAGCCGTCTGCGATACCTGTCCCGTCCCGGGCCTGGCGGACCGGGATAGTTCTAAGCCTCTCTCGGTCCCACTCCACCGTCTCCTTCGCAGGTATAACTTTCCCGCAGTATGGTACCGAGCGAGATAATTGCCACTCCGAAGGTTTCACGAGGTCACACCTCTGCTAAACCCACAGTGGGTATTCTGCCAGCATGTAAAGCGCCACTGTGATGGTGTGACTGTGTAGTCCGATCATCACAGTGGTAGCACTTAGGCGTTGGCTTGTGAATTAAACACAGATGCTCTCCGAAGCGTCTTTTCCCGGTGATCACCTACGTTAGCCGGTATGAGAGAGGGTCCCATGATGCTTCTCGAGCCAATCCTCCATAACGGGTGTTACCGTCGGAATAACTGCTATCCTACCTTATCACGTAAATAATTAATAAGGACTCACTCGAATGGTATTTGCGACGGACTGCACTTTAGGAAGATCTGCGAAAGTCCGGATGCACTTCACGATCGTTTTGTAATATTCATTTATTGACGGTTCTATTGAATCAGCGTCTACATACATGAGGGGGTTGTCGAACCATACTTCGCGGGACTTTAGGAAATCTGAAAAGAAAAGGACAAACAAAGTTGACACCAGTAACAGGTTTCAGGCAACTTTTTAAAGACTCTTTCAGCGAATTATTTGGTAATAGTTTTATTTTCTTTTTAATTAAGGCACATAATATAATAGGAACTCCTAGTTAGATTAGAAAATTTCTTTGTACACTTGATAATCCTGATCTTGAAGAAGATAATAATCAGGATCTATTTACTTTTTTTATTACCAATAAACTATTTCGGCCAGACTTGGACCTGTTAGTCTAGTAGTTAGTGGCCCTGACTACTAAGACGAAAGTCGTGGTTTCAATTCCCACCCAGGACAAATATTGTGTGATAAGCACGGGTGTAAGATATGTCTGGGTGTCATCATCAACAGCCCACAATAGTCCACTGCTGAACATAGGCCTCTCCTTAGAAAGGAGGTTTTGGCCTACTATACCACGCTGGCCAGACGGGTTGGTATTGGGTTTGTTTCAAGTTTTCTTTTTGCAGTGCTGTTGTCCTGTGCAGTTTGTTCCCTTAGTCGTCTCTGACGACACCCACGGGATGAATAGGGGTGGTGACACTCTGTATTCTTAATCCGTCACCACACGGACGGACGGTCTGGGTATAATTTATCTATAATATGTATGTATTCTGAAATATTTATAAATAAAAAATGGTAGGAATTTCTTCGTTAAAATTTATTTATAATTTGAAGCAACTAACTATTGATGAAATTTGCAGATGATATTAAAAAAATCAAAGTACAGTTGAACATATATATGGATACCTGATGCAGTCACCCACAAGTTCCTGTAGGGCTCAAACTCTTTCACCAACCTGTTCAGGTCAGCAAATGGGACAATAGGCTGTCCGAATAGTTTTTGGCGCGTGTTGAGGACACGTCCCCAGTCCTGTGATTCTTTCATGCCTTTCCACGCTTTCTTTATGTCGTTAGCTATTTCATGAACCTGAATAAAAAGAAAAAAAAATCGGACATCTGATACAACGCCATCTAGCTTCAAACTAAGCAGAGCTTGTACTATGAAAGCTAGATTGACTGATCTGACTCTCTTGACTGATCCTTATATACTTTTTTCTGTAAATACATACATATTATACATGGAAAGCAACCAAATTCCAATACAAATATTTGCAGATCATATAAACATTTGGTCCGAACCGGAAATCGAACCCGAAATCGTAAGCAATCGCATACGCTACCACTGCGCCTTTTCGTTTTCTGGCAGATGGGTTCATATCCAGCAACAGACCCAATAATAAGTTGTTGGGTACGTTGCTAGATATGAGCCCCACTTCCTATGAGAAAAGTTGGGCATAAATAGTATGTAATGATCATCAACAGCCTTTAGCAGTCCACTGCTGGACATAGGTCTCTCCTATGAAAGGAGGTTTTGGTCTACTATACCACGCTGGCCAGAAGGTTGGTAGAAGGTTTGTTTCAAGTTTCCTTCTATTTCCGCTATGTACTGATCGCCTAAGGAATATTGAGCGTACACAAAATCTGCATTTCTGAATATCTAAGTATGCACATGGAATATTTGCTTGAAAAATTAATAAAAGTCGTATATATTTTTATTTTTTTATGTTAGAGGGGCAGACGAGCAGACGGGTCACCTGATGAAAAGTGCCTATCGCCGCCCATGAACGTCTGCAACTCAGGAGTCATGAACGTGTTGCCGGCCAAAATACCAGATTTTTTATTAAAATGACAACTATTTTTCCAGCTCAAGTATAAAAGGGAGTAAGTGGCCTAAACTCACCCTTGAAAAATCGGACTGCAAGGTAAGTTGCATGCACTGAGCAGTGAAAATGTCGATCCTATCAAATAGAGTCTGTTCATCTTGTTGGTGCAACTTCCAGAACTTCTCCTGTTCCTCCTCCAGGAATAGAGTGGTCTCATCCACCTATGAGTTTTGGATATTAAAACATTGTACGTTTATATTTACACCTTTTTTATTACATAGATATAATTTATTAAACTCAAAATATCTTTGTTTCATAAAAAAAAATGTTTAAAATCGTCTTTCATGTAGACTCTACAGTTGTAGATCAATACACACAATAGCAACAATCTCTGATGTGTTAAATAGTTAGCAAATAAATCTAATAAAAATTAAACTTATACAAAATCTATGATATGCCTGTGCCGATCTACAGCCGCCTGTTTTTAGAACAAAACGGACACAAAGAATACCCAGAGTCAGAATAACAATTTGTGGATCACACAAAGTGGTGTCCCATGTGGGGATTGAACCCACAACACTCAGCGCAGTAGTAAGTGGCGTGCAGTCAATATCACTTTACAAAAAAAATCATGCTGCAATAATGTTTCACGTTAAAGCTGTATTCAATTGACGCTCGACTAAAGAGACACAGGTGGTTTTGAGATGCTGACGTCTTTGAGTGGCGGTAGTCACTGACCGCGAGGTAAGCCTTGTGCTCGTTGGCACCATTAAAAGAAATATTACTTTGAAGAAAAAAAAGTGATATAAGGAATATCGAACTAAGATTGCCGACCTGTTTATTTATTTGTTGAGGCCAGCCCACAGCTTCCCAAAGCGCTCTGAAATCTTCGTTCTCCAATGAATAGAAAAACGCATCGAGGACTTCATAGTTCTGCAGATAAAATAAATACATACACGTTGATCCATATATACCTATATAACTTATTATTTCCTACTTTGGAGTTGGTGAGTATCGCGGATGAGGGAGAGCTTCCAACCCCAGCTCTTGCAGCTTGGAGACTGTCTGTTGCGCAGTATGGGGTCGCGCGTTGTCGTGAAGGAGCAGTGGGGACGACCGATTGACCAAAGCTGGTTGCAGATGTGACCACCAGAGCTTGCACCTACCGACTATTACTTTTTCCAAAATTTAGACAACTTTTTAGTGGGTAAAAAATTCAATTCCCGAGTGGCAGTTCAAAATACCTTTGAAGAGTTTGTTGCCTCCCGTAAAGCTGATTTTTACAAGAAGGGCATCAATAAACTGCCAATGCGTTGGCAAAGATGCGTCGATTGCATAGGTGATTACTTCGAATAACAGAAAGAAAAAAGTTTGAAAAAATTAGTACTTTCACTTATTGCATACAAAACGGCAATTTCATAGGTAAAGACCTATTATATATAAATAAAAATACTGGACTATAAGGAGGTGTACTATCAATGAAGGTAATTTCGCCATCTCAACTAGGTAATTATATATACATTCTTTTTAAATGTGAAACAGTTTGTGAACATCCTGATTTCAAGTGCGAGCGCATTCCAGACCAGCTTGCACAAAAAACGAAGAGTTCATGAAGTCGGAGTTGTGGGAGGGATACGGGAGGAGCAAATTATTTGTTGAGCGAAGATTTCTTTAGTGATTAGCGGATAGGAAACGCAAATACAGATCAAGGCAAGTTGGTGAAAATGGGGAGTTGAGGAATAAAAAGAAAGAAGTCAGCGCTCGCTGATAACGGCGCAGGCGAATCGGTAACCATTTTAATTGGGAACGTAAAGCAGACAGGGTTTTATCAGGGTACGTTTTGAGTGATTGACACCGGCAGTCTATTACTTAACTTTCGACTTAAATATAGGTACTTTTTCTGACATTCGTCAAATTTTCATCAAGGCACCATCATTTATAATTAATTATTTTGGAAGAGTTATTATTATAGGTAGTTATTATTACACAATAATTTTTAGACCGAAACCAACAAGTGCTTTCACCGTGTTTAAATATCTTATAAAATATATTATATCTATTTTATGATCCATCAGACTCATCATCATCGTAACTTTAATGTCTTTTGCCCAATTTTTTGGGGTCGACGTCATGAGTAACATTGAAAAAGGGATTAGGTTGGTTTCTTTTCAGCCGCTCATATGCCTGACGCCAAAACGTCTTGGGAATGTAAGTATTATCAGGGGGGAGATAAGTCAACGATAGATGGTTTCCGAGGGGATTTCCGCACGGAAAAAAAGGGGGGGAGATGTGCAGATCTTAATGTATGTCTCCAGGGTGATAATACTGACATTCCACAAGGGATGCCGCAAACACTGAATGGGGAAACGGGACTCAGACGGGAGAAGACACTTCTCGGAAAGATAAGGGGCGCATACTCATATGACTGTCTTATGATTGATGACGCTACCATGTCAGGGAAATCAATGCGCAATAGTATTCATTATTAAAAGGCAAAAAAGAAGTTACAGGAGGGCGTTATTTACACGCCGTAGATGGCCCGAGGCCCGAGGGTATCAGGGATTTCCTTCCTAGAGTACACCTGGTTCCCCGGCAACTGGTACCCGAGACGGCGTGCGCTTTTTGGCCGGTTCGAGTCCGAAGTTTAAATACAAGTCTTACCGTGTGTACTCTCTTCATAATGTCGTCTTGCGTCTTCAAAGCAAATGGTATCGACTCCATCCACTCTCTGATCTCAAACACATGCTCAATAGTGTTAGGTTTCTCGCCTAATTTACGCATAATATTTTTGTAAGCCTGTAAAACGTCGTCCACCACCAGTCGCACCTCCTCACTCCACATCACCAAAAGAGCCTTCATTATATTCTCTCTCTTTGTCACTAACTGTTGCTGTAAAATAAATTAGTAAATGTGTGCAAAAGTTTTCCACAAACACGTTGCATAATTTGGACACCCTGTGTATTTTACACCAATCTACTTAGTAAAACAAAGCCGGCTTTGTATGGTATCAACAATAATAAACGTAAAAGCACTTTATTATAATAATAATATTCTACCACATTCACACAACGCCATCTAGTCCTAAACTAAGCAGAGCTTGTACTACTAGACAACTGATATAAATACAAAAAATACTTTTTTTTGTAAATACATACATATTATACATAGAAGCACCCAGACCAAATCAAACATTAAATGTTCAGGCACACAAATGTTTGACTTGAGCGGGAATCGAACCCGCGACCTTTGGAATAGCAGTCTGTTACAGAAACCACTACGCCATCCAATACCACGTCGGTTTCAAACCAATAAGTTGCCAACATCCATAGGTGTTTCCTATGGACTTGCAACTCTAGAGGACTCGAATGAGTGCTGCCTACTCCTAAGAAACTTGTAATTTCACTCCATTATTTTCTTTTTACGGAATGGGGATACCCCCAAGAGTTATACATTACTTTAAGAACTTCAAACCTCGGCAAGAAGTTCATTCAAAAGCCTGGAAACTTTTAAATAGAAAAATCTAAAATGATAAAATACGATTATTTTAATGGTTAAACTTTTGATAGCTGAACTGTCCGTGTGGTGACAGTTTAAGAATACGGATTGTCACCACCCCCAATCATCCCGTGGGTGTCATAAGAGCCGACTAAGGGAGTAAACTACGCAGGATAACAATACTGCAAACAGAAAGACACCTTTAAACCAAACCGTCTGGCCAGCGTGGTATAGTAGGCCAAAACCTCCTTTCTAAGGAGTGGCCTATGTCGAGCAGTGGACTGTTAAAGGCTGTTCATGATGATGATGAATAGTTAAACCATTTTATAGATTTGTATCACATCAAATCATCACATCAACAACCATTGTCCATTGCTTAACATAGGCATCTTTTTCAAAAAGTTTTGGCCTACTATACCAAATACTATGCTATTTTTATGTTAAAATGTTAATCCTTACCTTAAGTGTGTCCACGTTGATAGCAAAAGGTCCAATGCTAATGTATTGGGGTAGGCGCCATATTAGCTCCTGCTTGGCGTCGTAATGAGACTGAATTTCTTGTTTCGTTTCCGATGCAGAGTGATTCTCTGTACGAAATTCTCTAAAACATAATTGTTGTTTTAAGAGTCGGGTTAAAAAAATATATATAATATGAATTTTTTTTCAATGTTTTGCACGTCAATAAATTTTCTGTCGGCGGCTACACGTAAATCTCCTGTTTATAATCTTAACCTTAACCCCGTTTTAAAATAAAACTATCATCATAAATCTTGGGTAATGGTGTGTATCAAGAGTAGTTTCAGAGAAATACAATCAAAACTGGAAGCATTTTCATAGGAAATTGTTTTATTTAAGCCTTATACCTAAAAACAATTATATTATGTAGGAACTTGTATAAAGCTTTAGAAAAAAAAACCTTTTTATCACTAGCGTAAAAGTGACATTAGATTGGCACGAGATTCGCATACAAATCGTACTAACAGAAAATATGAGTTTTTTTTTTTAATTTCGGACATCTGACACACAATGCCATCTAGTTTCAAACTAAGCAAAGTTTATACTATGAAAGCTAGATTGACTGATAGAATAATTGAATACTTTTTTTTTGTAAATACATACTTATTATACACAGAAAACACCTGAACTTCGAAACAAATATTTGCAGATCATACAAACATTTGACGAACGAATGGCGTAGTAGTTTCTGTAACGGACTGCTATTCCAAAGGTCGCATTGTCCAAAGGTCGGTCACATTTAATGTTTGATTTGGTCTGAGTGTTTCTATGTATAATAAGTATGTATTTACAAAAAAAATAATTAAGTATTATATCAGTCAATCTAGCTTTCATAGTACAAACTTTGCTTAGTTTGAAACTAGATGGCGTTGTGTGTCAGATGTCCGAAATTAAAAAAAAAACTCATATTTTCTGTTAGTACGATTTGACTAGATGGCGTTGTGTGAATGTGGTAGAATATTATTATTATTATTATTTGCTCCACTGCGCCACCGTCTGAAGATTATAATAAATGTACTATAAAATGCTTGACTAACTCAACATAAGCTTCAATATCCAACTTATAAATATCCTTGTACTCTTCGAACTGACGCTTGTACGCTTTAAGAGGTATTATCGCCTTCTTATAGGCTAACTTTAGCCTCTCCCAATAGTCCACCACATTTGGCTCCAGGAAACCTGATAATAATCATCAATAATAAATATATAATCTCATAGAAACACTACGGGAAGCAATGCTTTCGTTGCTATTTAACCTCCGACGCAAAAACGACGGGACGAATAATTTGACGTGTCTGTGTGTGTGTGTCTGTTTCTGGCATCGTAGCTACAAAACGGATGAACCGATTTTATTTTGTTTTTTTTTGTTTTGAAGGTGAATTAGTCGGGAGTGTTCTTAGCTATGTTTGATGAAAAATGATCCAAGATGGCCGCCGCCACCAAATGGCGTATTACATATTTTTTCACAATTCCCTCAATATGGGTATCAAATGAAAGGGTTTGACTAGTAAAATACTATACTATACACTATGACAAATTCCAAATCCAAGATGTATGTCAGGGTTTTTTTTTTTTTTTTTAATTTATTATCGAGTGAGGTTACCAGAGTGCAGCCTTCTCCCCCCTGATTCCTGGGAGGGGGGCAAGAGGCAAACGGCGGCAATGCACTTGTGACTATTAAGATGCAAGTGTCCACGTCGGTACACTGGTCATGATTCGAACCCACGACTTCTTGATCGCAAGTCCAATGCCTTAACCACTAGGCTACCGCCGCTTATTACACTAGCAATTGCAACAATCTGTCTAACATTGTCAAGTATACTGAATCGAGGGGTAGAAAATAACAATAACGAGGGAAAAAGCTAGTTTTTCTTTGTGTAATAGGGGGCAGACGAGCAGACGGGGCACCTGATGGAAAGTGACTATCGCCGCCCATGAAATAATAGAATAATAATAATAGTTACGTAATAGAAACTTACCAACAGACGTAAGGTACAGCTCCTTATCAAACACAAGGCCAGTTACGATCATGGGGTGCACTTGTTTTATGAAGTGACACCGATACAGCATCTCTTTAAACAGCTTTTGGATCACGATCTACGAGAATTACGGTTGTTAATGAATATTTCTGATAATATTTTTAATATTTCTGACATCTTACACTCAACGTCATCTAGTTTTAAACTAAGCAGAACTTGGACTATGAAAGCTAGATTGACTTATAGAATACTTATATAACAAAGAAAACACCCAAACTCCGAAACAAATATTTGCATATCATACAAAAACTTGGAATCGAGCCCGAGACCTCAGCACATCAGTCGCATACGCTGACATTGTGCCACAGAGGCAGTGTTTTAGAAACCGAGACAGAATATTTTCATTGCCTGAGCTTGATGAATCCAGTTTCAAAATTGGGCAGACTTAAGGATTACACTTAAATTAACTTCGTTGTTATTTGTATAGTCTTTATGGCATAGAGTCACCTGTAGGCAAGTGACTGGTGAAGTAATCGTTGGAGAACTATGCTTTGGGGCAGGCTCAACCGGAGTGACACCACGGCCTCACAAAGCTGATGACAATCATTGCTTTTCACCAAGTGAGTCGGTCACCGGTGGCCTAAACTCCACTCAAAGAGCGTCAAGGCACCAGAGGCTTTTCAGTTACAGATCTCCATGGACAGGAACAGTCATTTGCCCTTAGCAGTGCTATTCTCTAAGGAAACAGCATGCGTCAGACATCCGGACCCCTCCTGGCGCCTGCTCGCAAAGCGTGCACACCAGCTTCCGGTGAATTCTCTGTTTAGACTACGTACGACACACGCGCACGTTGCCTCCTCGCGGGTTTGGCCACTATAGCGGATGGAGGGGAAAACCTGTCTCCGTCCACCCGCGGCCACACTCCGGCATGAGGTGCTGGTAAGTGCGCCTCCGCTGCCCGGTTCGCCGAAGACGAATTGGGTCCGAGCGGAGGTTGTCCTCCCGAGCCTTCTCCGACGCCTCCTTCTGCGAGACGACGTCTTCGCAAAAGGATGCGACCGCGGTAAAACATCTGTCACTACCGGCCATGGAGCGTATGACGGCTGCTAGCGAGAGGTCCCCTGACCCTGCGCGCCCAACCCGGGCAAATTTCCATGCCACATGAGACAATACCTTGTGTGAATGGTGAGTCTGATTTGTAAAGTCCTCCGACACATATCCGACACATTTTTAGAAGTCTTTTCATACATATAACGTACTCACCCAAAATTGATCTGGCTCTGTAGTATAATAAGGACCATCGTTAGACATCAGGATGTAAAAATAGAAGAGGGTCACGACTGAACGGAAGGGGGTATTGATGAGGTCGCTGGGATCCCACTCGTAGTCGTCTTCACACACATAGGTGCATAAGCACGGTGTCTCGCACATACTCACGAACATAGTCATTGACTGTTCGATGCAGTACCTGAGGGCGTACTGTGGAAGGCAACATTATGTAAAAGATTTATGAATGTATGTGGGTATGTGTGTTCGTATGTCCAAGACACGCCCGCGGGTGTTTCTAACTTTAAAAATGACGAATTTCCACACAACCGTTCATCCCTTATTTTACCCCTCTTGAAGGTGAATTTTACAAAAATCCTTTCGTAGTGAGTGCTTAAAAAATTTATATATGTATAGATCAAGGGATTTATAGCCACTATCATTCCATTGACACGCTATTGAGATGCCATTAACATCGGTCAAAATATCGGTATTCTACTAACATAAATTCATAGTGTCGATGGAGGAACAATGGCTCAACAATGGTGATATCAACAACATTGAGATATCTGGAAAATTAAATATAAAATTTCCTTGTAAATTTTATAAATATAAATTTCTGTCAGGGGCAGTAAGTCATTCGGAGGCCATTGGTCTTACATAGTTGGTAGTGTAAAAAAAAGTGCTAAACTATTCAGACAGTCTATTGATATAATATTAAAATAGCAGAATTGACGGCCGGGCCATGGGGTCAACAGGAACATGCAGGTAAAATACAGAAATAGATAATTGATTAATTAATTATTGATAATTAATTCAATGTAAGTGAATTCTTTCTTAAACTTTCTCAAAGGCCGGCAACGCACTTGTGACACCTGAGGTACAGGCGTCCACAGTCGGCGGTAGTCACTTTTCATCAGGTGACTCTGCTGTGTCTGCTATACTCTGCTCGTTTGCCCTCTGAAAAAGTTAAATAGAGCGGACTAGAAAATGGACCGCTTTAATCAAATATCACCACAAGAATAAGTTAAAAAATAAACATATGGTACAGCTTCGCCTTGTAGCTAGCTTGTAGATGGTAAGGTAAGGTATAATTCAAAGGTGTAAGGTCACTGCTATTTGTAGATACCAAGACTACAAAATAGTGGTATTCAGTTTAAGAACGACGTATTTACCTCCTTAGACAGGAGGCTTTGGCCTACTATACCACGCTAAGGAGAGGCCTATGTCCAGCAGTGGACTATTACAGGTTGTTGATGATGATGATGTATTTACCTGCATGCGAAACCTGATAAGTTGCATTAGTCTTGACAATTTGCTAACGCCGTAAAAGTCCCAGTTCTTCTCGTAAATATTGTACCAACTGACGAAAAAGGGAACGCGTTAAATATGAGATAACGTTAGGTTAACTCGTTTAGTTTTCTCAAGTAGTTGAAACCAGTTGTTTTTATAACTGTGTGTGTAACATACCCTTTGCCAACATCACGAAACGACATCCTGATCGCATGAGCAGTGTTGTTCAGCCAAGTTATGTTCAAATATTTCAACATCTGAAACGCGGAATCTCACTGAACTCGAATATTGGAAAGAATATAATAAAAAAAAGCCTTAAATTAGCAAATATACAAAGTCGCACATTTAGATATAGGTACCCAATATTACTTAATATTAAATTTATAACGTTCCTATAAAATATCATGTAAAGGAATCGGAAACAAGTTGACCCGTAAAAGTATTAACCTACTTTTTTGTTTATTAAATGCACAAAACACATTACAATAAATTAAAACATAAATCATAAATACATCTTTCGGAACTGGATCATAACGTAACTCATAATAATATGTGTACAAAGAAAAACAATTAAGTTTTTTTTTAAAAGTCATGATAATATTGTATTGTACAATCAGTAACAAAGTAAGTAAGTAGCTAATGTGATGTAGAGATTTGGATGCTAATCCAAACCTCACTATGGAGGATGACTTTCACTAATTTACTATATCTGTTATAGTTATGATCAAAAACGTCTAGTAATTTATTGATTTTTGAGATATCATTTTATTGACGGGCCATTCTTGTTAATGGATTATAGTAGGAAATAATGTTGGTGTCATTAGCCCTACGGGCACTAAATTTAATATTGAAACTGATTTCAGAAAGTAACTGTGGTGAATCAATAATATAATGTATAATTTTCCCTCCTTTCTAAGGAGAGGCCTATGTCCAGCAGTGGACTGTTAAAGGCTGTTGAGAATTTTAAGGAATTTTCTCTGAATACGTTCAATATCATCAATATGGACCTTGTAAATAATTAACTAAAATTATGTTTTAAAATTTAGAAAATATTGATACGCAGCTTTGCAAATGCTTCTTACGCGCATTTGTAATCTCACTGCCGATATATAATATCTGACATCTCACCTACTAACCATCTGACTGCCAACTCTAGCATAGAGCTGGGGAATCACCCCCAAAAATAACAGGAAAGCAAGATGCTACGAATAAAAAAGAAATAAATATTCAATTGCGATACAATGAAATCTGTCCTTCTCTTAACATAACTTTGAAGTTAAACATTATTATGTTGTTGCGTGTTAATCAGCATACATAATAATCCATTTTAATTTTTAGAAAGTTTATTTTTAAGTGGGATCTTTTAAATTTAATTAGTCATTGAACGTTATTGAATAAAAACGAAACAAAATCTTTTTACAAATTAATCAATAAACATTACCATACTTGTACAATGCTGCTGCGCTGCGTCAAACTCTACCAGGTCGACATTCCTCCCGTAGTTAGCCGTGAAGAACAACATGGTCTCCACCTATCCATAAATTAATAATTATACATGCATTAGCAGGAGAAAATAATAATAACTTGACACATCTCGCACACAGTCCTATCCTAAATACCATCGATCTGGTAGAACAAGAAAATATCATAATCCGGGGAACCCTGACGGACCCTGGGCCATCTACGGTCTGTAGATGACCCCCTCGTGTGTGGAAATCACGGTGTTTCCATTCTACAACCTAAAGGGCGCGCTCGTTCCACAGCGCGTCGCGCCGCCAACCCCGTTTGCGTTTGTTAGGGTGACAGATGCCGTCACCCGTCTCCCCCAGGCCTGCGCTTATGGAGGACGGAGGTCGTTCTTCAACCTCCGGCACCTAATGTACCTGGCCCGTTCTCGGGCCTGGCAGACCCCCCCTTAAGCTTGACCTAAAGCAGAACAATTTGTCGATTTAGTTACACGCGCTAATCTCAGGAATCACTAGTACTGATTGATAATTGAAAAATTATTTTAGTGTAGGATAGCCTATTTATCGCTGAAGGCTATATAACATTACACTACCAACAATAGGAGCCGAGCATCAATGAAAAATGTTACAAAAGAGGGGGGGAAATATTCCTTTTGAGAGTCGCAGATGAAATTGCGAGGGTCTGCTAGTTTTATGTATAAATGTGTAATACGACACATTCTAAACACCATGGCACTAAGCTTCAGAACCCGCAATAAAATAAACAGTATACAAGTACCTTAAGACACTCATCAACGACCATGTGGATGCAGGATATCGCTTCGCGGATCACATACAAAGAGAACCACATGTTGTGCTTCCTACGTCCTGCAAAATCTTCCATGATGCATGGATATCTGCCTGTCATCAGAGATACCTGGTTAGTGCTTGCTAGTTAATGCTTAGGCTCATATGGACCGGCAGGACCGTAGTGATACCACTGAGTGACTGAGTTAGGTTAACGAAGGCCCAAAATCCCCTCAGAGCCCCCTCGGCCCTGGCAATTTTTTATTGGTTCATACGGAAATTATATACCATGAAAATAAAAAAGAATGTTCTGAATCGGTTTATGAATGCCAGAGTTTTAAGATCCCAAACTTAATAATAAGAATAATAGTAAAAAGAAAATAAAGAATTGAGAAGCTCGAACATTGACACTTCAGGATCCGAAATAAACAGTATATAAATATGAGTATCATAAGGTATCATAATATACTGTTTATTTCGGGTCAGTTGTTGACCATAAGTTGATGAGCCAACGACCTTGTGCTCAACAACTTTTCTTGAAGCCAGTTAGACGTTAGTTAGCCATACGCCCACCACTGTAACTCCTGTACACCAGGATCCACAGTAGTGATCCACAGTAGTGACAGAAAGTTGATCGGAACTGAATTGTGACCGAACTTTTATTACGAGAATTGGCCTTCAGCATTGGGACTAATCCCACCCACACACCCACCACTGTAACTCCTGTACAGCAGGATCCACAGCAGTGACCCACGAACACACCGAGTTATGACACTCGGGAAGTCCCAGGAAGAAATTAAACTGTCTTGAAACTCGCAACGAAATTAATCAGAAGAAAATTGGAGGAGTTGGATGGAAATGGATGGATAGTTCCAAATTGCAAGTGTTATAGCCTGTATAATTACCGTAGTCCGGTACAGGTGCCACGTAATCTTTGGTAGGAACATCGATAAACTTATAGATATCTCGATGTTTCTGTATTGTGTTAATTATTCTCATTTTCCCTTCCATCTTTTGGTAATGAACTTCCACCTAGAAACACGAATATTATTTAGTGATAACACTTACTAATATTATAAATGGATACGTTATCAATCAGGAAGGTGCAAAAAAATAATATATCTTAAATCCAAGAACAATAGTTTTGAGTGTTGAAACATAAATTTTTGGCAGGCATATCAATTTCCAAACATATAATAACTACTATCTACTATGATCAACAAGATGCTGATGAGATGTGGGATAGCTGCCCGGTGGTAGCTGCCCAGGACAGCATCCCCTCCACACACAACCGCATCTAGTGTGGAAGTTATTTGTTTACAGGAGACTCTGTTTCTTGGGGATCTAAAAGGACGGACTCGTTAAACCAAACTTGTGGCTTGGCTCCAATTTCATACGTTCCGAAGGTGGAGATCGAAGTAACCGTTCTAGGAAATCAATCCAAGAACCTACGGACCCTGGGTCAACACCCTCCGAATGTTGAATTCCGGCAGTACTTCTTGATCACATATCGGTTTTAGTCAAAGCGGTGTTCGAAAACAGTTTGTAACTTCTCTGATTGAAGCTGCCGAAACTTGATTCTTCCACGGCCTAAAGTTATTATTTAATCACTAATAGGTACAAAAATGCGCTATGCAGTTTTCTGTATACCTCATCATACCTTAACTAGTCCACTGCTGGACATAGGCCTCTCCTTAAAAGGGAGGTTTTGGCCTGCTATACCACGCTGGCCAGACGGGTTGGTATAGGGTTTGTTGTTCAAGTTTTCCTTCTCTTTGCAGTGTTGTTGTCCTGCGTAGTTTACTCCCTTAGTCGGCTCTTACGACACCTTCGGGATGAATAGGGGCGTGTACAGTCTGTATTCTTAATCCGTCACCACCGTATACCTAATGATTGTCATTCAAAATTTCATAATGATAAGTTGACCAGTGAAAGCAGTGTAGCGAAACAAACGAAAAATAAATTTAAGGATTAGTATTACGAACCTCTTTCTGAAGTTGAAAAAATTGATCCTTATGAAGTTCTTTGGCCTGACGATGGATGAGAACCAGATTCACGATTTTAGGCATAAAGTGCCGCGGCTGTATAGGCAGTCCGTGCAGTATTAGACAATCTAAATATTGATAGAATCTGAAAAACAAAACGTCGTCCTCACTGTCCTTCCTAAAGGTTATGGCTACCTTATGGCAAGAGATTATTATAGAGATTAATATTCTAGTTTATTTTTTCTCTGTTCGAGATATAAAAACATATTACATGAACATCTGATGGCCATTTACAAATATCCGCTCAGAAATATATGTGTAGCATCAAATTGTAAGTCAAAATACAGAATTTGTAGTCAATCAAGAAATCTCTTAGCTGAAATGTTTTTAAGTTTTGAAACACTGCTATTATTGCATGTTTCAGAGGCATCATGGCTTTCATCAGTCTTAACTAATTATTTTGATAGATAATTAATTATAAATGTGATTATATTCGACTGCACGGATGGCGTAGTGGTTTAAGCGGTCGCCACGCCGCTTCCTACTACGCTGAGTGTTATGGGTTCGCTCCCCACATGGGACGACACTTTGTGTGATCCACAAATTGTTGTTCTGAGTCTGAGTGTACTTTGTGTCCGTTTCATGTATGATTGTAAAGTCCCCGCGAAACAGAATATATTCCTAATGCGGGAGTTGTAAAAAAAACAAAAAGAAAAAAAAATCGTTAACTTCTCAGAGAATGAAAATTTAAAGTCATTCAGTTGCAGTCACCCTTTTATTAGGGGTCTGTGCAAAATTAAACATCTTTTTTAGGGTTCCGTACCTCAAAAGGTAAAAAAGGAACCCTTATAAGATCACTTTCTTGTCCGTATGTCCGTGTGTCACCACCGATTTACTCAGGAACGGGTAGACATAGCAAGTTGAAATTGATACCAGATTCTGAGGTTTATGGTCCCTATTAGGTGAATAAAAATCAAGGTCCTCAGTCAACACGATAAAAAGATATGGACAAATTTCGATTATCATGAAAACTTTTAAGTACCAAAATTTACCTTAGTTTTCAACTTTTTTTATTTTTCAGAATTTTCTCTTTACTTGTGCTGTAAGACCTTACTTTTGACCAAAATTGAGAATTCTAGGTCAACGGGTACTACCATATTGGTTTTCGACCCAAAACCTATATGGTAGTTCCCGTTGACCTAGAATCACGAAATTTGGCAAAAAGAAACGTCTTACAGCACAAATAAAAGAATAAATCCAAAAAATTAAAAAAGTTGAAAATGAAGATAAATGTTGGCACTTACAAATTTTCGCGAAAATCTACGTAAAATCTGGGTAGGTAGGGAACCTTCGGTGCACGAGTTCGACTCGTACCTGACCGGTTTTTTTACCTTCGGTATTGCAATGTGGGAATGGAGAGCATAATAAAAACAAACCTTATATTATTCTCAACTTCCTTTCGAAACTCCACTGCAAACTTGAGCCGCATAGCGTAAGTGTCGGGATCATCCGCTTTAAACAAGAGACGAATCCGTGGAATGCTGCGAAAATTTAGTTTACCTCAAATATCATCTCTTATGGTTTCTCTCTTTCTCATTTAATGATGTATGCCGTGCTGTGGGAGATCCATGCTCAGGCACAAACTGGCCAACTAAACCGGAGTGATACGACGGCCTCACAGAAAATCGGTGTTAAGCAGTTTTTTCGGTGCTTTTCATCGGGCGAGTGATATTGCCGCAGAGTAAACCCCCCGCCCCCTTCGCTTCTGCTTCTGGGGAGAGAGACTAAAAGGGCGACAACGCACTTGTGACTCTTGAGTTATAGGTCTCCATGGGCGGTAGTCACTTACCATCAGGTGACCCGACTGCTCATTTGCCCCCCTATAACATAAAAAATTTACTAGTACTGAGTTTTTTCTTGTTTATTACACCTTTACACGCTACCTACTCAACCAATCGCCATTTTCTTTTAAATACCAGAAAAGACCAGATGGTATCTTACAACCAGAAAATATACACACGACAAACGAAATACCTGGTCAGGTATATATGTGTATGTTATTCCGATAAGTATATGACTATACGTTTGTATTTGTGTGAATTGTAAATAACTCGTGTCTTCACTTACACATTTGCAAATATTCAAATTGCGGCAGTAGTCACCTACTATCAGATCCCTCCCCCCCCCCCCTTCATACCATAAAAAACAGCAGTTATACATACGAATATGTTCTCTTGGTACCATCCAAAGCCATAATATCCCATCTTCCAGTTGTTGGGTCATGGCCTAAAGCTGCGACGTTGGTCCACTGGAAAGGACAGACAATGCTAAACAAAGGTTTTGCCATCAACTTGGGAGTGTGAGAGTTAAATACAATAATGATTATAATACAATAATTACTATTTAAAAATTAGCACTGACTATACATCATCATGATGTATTGTAATAAACTGGACCAAACTGGATATATCCCCTTTATTTTTTTATTTTTTTTTTCGTGCGGAAATCCCCTCGGATACCACCTGTCGGTGGCATGTCGGGCTCGAACCGACTAAAACCGCACGCCGTCTCGGGTAATATTAGCCGGGGAACCAGGTATACCCTAGAAAGGAAGTCCCTGGTGCCCCGACATACCTCGGGCCATCTACAACAAGTAGACGTATGGGAACCCCATGTTCCCTCTACTCCCTGGAAGCGAGCGCGCAACGCGCTCGCCGCCACCCCGGCCTGCTTCTGCTAGGGTGACAGATGGCCTCACCTGTCACCCCCAGGCCTGCGCTTATGGAGGACGGAGGTCGTTCTGCGACCTCCGACGCCTGAGTCACCTGCGGTAAGATTCAGTGCACCTCACTTTTCCCTATCAGAAGTCCACTATTGCCAACACGCTCAATATATACTGATATTATAAAGCTGTAGAACTTGTTTGTTTGGTTTGAATTGAATTTGAAATTCTTAAAACATCACGCTACGACTTTAGGAACCTAGCATCAAAGAAAAATGTTGCAAAACGGGAAAAAAAAAATTCCTTTTGAGAGATAGAAAAAATTATAAAAAACAAAACAAATATACCTCGTAAAGGTTATTGAGATAATGGAATAAGTCGCCATTCATTGGTCGTGCGTCCACTTTGGGTATTAAAGCCAAACCTGGGCAAGGATGCTGCTCACCATCAATCAGACCCAGTGACATCCATTCTTCAGGAACACTAAAAAGTATTACGGATTGGATTGAACACATGTTTTTTTATTGAAGAGAGGGCAGAGATGGGTCACCTGATGGAAAGTGACTACCGCTGCCCATGAACGCCTACATCTCAGGAATTACAAACGCGTTAAGGAGTACGCTCTTTTCTTGAAGGTCGTATTGGTCCGGAAATACCGCAGACGATAACTTGGTCCACAGATTAGTTGTGCGAGGCAAAAAGTGTCTTGAAAAGCGCACAGTGGTGGAGCGCCAATTATCCCTGCGATAGGGATAAAAAATTTGCCGTGTGGAACTGTGGTGGCAAGTTGCGGCCGGTACTAGTGCGTATGATTCCTCGGAGCACTCTCCATGATATATACATCTTTGTATATTATTTTGAGCATGCCGTGAGAAAACCAAGCTTTAGCAGCTGCAACTTAAGGGCCGGATCTAGCGGATAGATACCACGGCCCCACAGAAAATCGGTGTTCAGCAATTATTTCGTGGCTTTTTGCCGAGTGGTTGAGATTACCATCACACAACCGTCCCCCAGTAATTATGTTCTACTAAAGACAACTCCCTCATAAGGTATATATCCTGTGTCGCAGGTGACTTTACTAACAATTTGTAGATCACACAAAATGTCGTCCCAATTGGGGATCGAACCCAAGACACTCAGCGTAGTAGGAAACGGCGTGGTGACCGCTTATACCACTACGCCATCCGTGCAATCGCAGTACAGGTAACACTAGTGACTCTTGAGTTGCATGAGTCTTTGGGCGGCGGTAGTCGCTTACCATCAGGTGACCCGTCTGCTCGTTTGCCCCCCCCCCCCCTCCCACAGCATAAAAAATTAACCCTAATTTCGTCCCTCATTAATATTCAAACGAAGCCGAGGGCAAAAGTTAGGGTTTGAAAAGGTGTTTGTATTTTACATCAGTGGTATTATTTGACTGCCTTCGGTGGTGCAGTGGCAGCGTATGCGACTGCTTTGAATTGACCAGTTTGAATGATCTGCAAATATTTGTTTCGACGTTTGGGTGTTTTCTATGTATAATAGAAAACATATATAAGTTTTCTGTCAGTCAATCTAGCTTTCATAGTACAATCTTTGCTTAGTTTGTGACTAGTTTTGTGTGTCAGATGTCCGAAAACTCACCGACAGTCGAAGTCCGTGTTGTCGAAGATGTCGAGATTAAATTTGGGAAAAGGGCTATAAATGGCATAGTATTCTTGATCACTGAGCTTGTACTCTTCCACTGGCAGTAATAAGTATGGCTCTATATCTAGACCACGTATAGTTTTCTGCAAAGGTTTCCATATTTAATCAAATGAAACGACTACCTACCGTCGCGTTGCCTACCGCTGCCAAAGTTATGGCTTCAGTATTCTGGGATAGTGAAGATTTTTTTATTGATTACATGCCGAAAAGGCAGTCTATTACTGGACCCTATTCTTCTTCTTCTTCTATTGCCGTCCTCTGCTGAACGAAGACCTGGATGACCCTTTTATGCAGATTTAATTAAAAAATGCGTGAAGTTATTAATTTCGTTGCGGGTTGTTTAGTTTTATACCTGGGACTTCCCGAGTGTCGTACTTCGGTGAGATCAACAGATCCTGGTGTACAGGAGTTACAGTGGTAGGCGTGTGGGAGGGATTAGTCCCATATAAAGAAAAGCAATTCTCTCGTTACTGATTGAGGTTACCAGAGGCACTATTCCCTGTCCCTTCCCTAATTCTAGGGGTGGAGGGAAAGACTCAAAAGGCAACAACGCACTTGTGACTCTTGAGTTGCAGGTAACCATGGGCCAGTGGTGGTCACTTACCATCAGGTAACCAGACTGGTCGTTTGAACCTTTACTATAACAAATACGTATATACATTTTTAAAACACTTGAACCGTCAAAAACTTTATCTACAGTAACATAACATTAAACCTTTATGTTAGCAGCTAGGAATTTCCTACGTAGCCGCTCGATCTTGACTAATCTTGGAAGTTCCTTAGGCATGACAATACTAAGGAACTGAAGTTTTGGCACAAATGTTTCAAAGGGGAATTGCTGAAACAAAACATTTTCATTTTAAAAAGTTTAATGTATACAAAAGGAATGATATAGTCTTACACAATTGTTCAAAAGAAAGTAGGAGCCTAACAGGATCACATCACATCAACAGCCTTGAATAGTCCACTGCTGGACTTAGCCCTCTCCTTAGAAAGGAGGTTTTGGCCTACTATACCACGCTGGCCAGACGGGTTGGTATAGGGTTTGTTTCAAGTTTTCCTTCTCTTTGCAGTGCTGTTGTCCTGCATAGTTTGCTCCCTTAGTCGCCTCTTACGACACCCACGGGATGTATAGGGGTGGTGACATTCCCTATTCTTAATCCGACACCACACGAATTAAATAATACGGCTCGTCCTAACTAGGTGGCCATAAACCCTTTTTATTTTATATATAGTTATAAAAATAATATGGATGAACTAGCTATTACGAGGCTTTGTTCACCTGATTATTCCTTATTTTGTGTTTCTAACTTTGAAAATGACGAACTTACATACAACCGTTCATCCCTTGTTCTGCCCCCTTAGAGGGGAAATTTCCAAAAAAAAAAACATATTGGATGCTTACAAAATAAAATTATATTAGTTTTACTTTATTTGTATGTATGCGAACTAGCTAGTTCAAGCACGAATAACATATTTCATTTCAACGCGGATCCGTTCGTGGGAACATTCTCAAAGAATATGCCAAAAACGGCTTATCGCGTTTTACAAGAAATCTTCAAATCGTACAAAGAAAGTGTAAATGTACAAAATATGCACATTAAAAAGACGAACAAAATGAGACTTATACGAGTCCCCATTTCAAGAAGAAAACGAAGATAAAAAGGAAAATAAGAAAGAAAAGGAGGTTATCAATTTCACGATTTTTAAGACCCATTTACCGCTAATTCTATCCAACTAATAGCTAAAAATCTATGCTGTCTACGACGATTAGTAATAAACCGTAATCTCCTTAGTTAAACTATAGGGTCCATACGGTATGGGAAACAGGCGGATGTACGGTAAAGAGACATGGTCCCTTTCATCCAGATAAAATTCCCTCAGAAGGTTACCTCAATTTATTACATTAATACTGGTAAAGTCACAGGCGCAAGCTAGTAAACTATTTTGAAATGAAACTTCTTTAGAACCTTTGCGATTTGAAACTCGATGAAATAAAAATGGGTCATCATCATCATCATCAGCCTATCGCAGTCCACTGCTGGACATAGGCCTAAAAAAAAAACACAGAAATGTATAGGAAAATGAGACATTACACATTATTTTTAATACAATTTTTGATAGTGTGAATATTTCCAAGACATTTCCAGGCAAAAAAAATTAGGGTCTTTCTGAGTTTTTTTTTTCGGAAGTTTCACTTCTGCCCTGTGTGAATTGCACACACACACACACACTTTTTTAATTTTAAAACATATACTAACAATGCTATCATCTTCCTTATAAGTTGTCCAGCGTCCTGGAGGTAGCAAAACTGTTGGCTTTTGTGGCTTCGGCAGTGACAGTAAGTTAGGCGCTAGGCTATCTGTCTTGGCCTAGAAAATAAAACTTTTTACAATAACACGCTAAGGAACCCTGTAATCCGGTAATCCGTTTTACATTAAAACCGCAGAAAATGTTTTCGTTCAAAAGAACGGATGTGTGTCACAGAAAGGCGGGCACTCGCGCCATTTAATGGCAGATGGATGACATTATTGATTTTAATTAAATCAGTTACATAGATACATATTAAGGCATGATGTAAATGTTTATTATATTGTATTTATTTATGATATATATATATATATATATATATGTATATTAAGTAGGTATAGTTACTGTATGTATGTACAAATGTGTTAATATGTATTATTTTATTATAACGCACGCCTTCCATCGTACCCTACCCCGCGCTCGCCGCCGCCGCTCCGAGGGAATGTAAAGCGATGCAGCTACATTTATGTTGTCAAGTGTTATTAGAAGTAACAAATTCTTCTATTATTGGTTTACGAGTGGTTTTAATTAAAACAACCCTTACATTATCTAATTTTACCTGTTTTATATTCAGTAGCATTTTACCTGTCAAAACTCAATGAACCTTCAACTACTACTGTCTCTCTTAAACATTTTGATCTATCCTAAGGTAGCCTGGTAGAAATTGCTTTTAGCAATGAAGCCTCCCCTTGTACATTACATGTCTGACATTTTTATGTACTATGCTATTTTGTTAAACGGTGTAAAATTAAAGAGTATCTATATATCAATTCCATTATATGCAACTACTGTCAGTGTCGATTTTTGTTTCTATAATTTGAAAGCCTTCTAAAGTCATTTTTGAAACCAGATAATATATGCTTCACATCAACAGCCTGTAATAGTCCACAGCTGGACATAGGGTTCTCCTTACAAAGGAGGTTTTGGCCTACTATACCACGGGTTGGTATAGGATTTGTGACAAGTTTTCCTTCTCTCTGCAGTGACGAAAACGACACTCACGGCATGAATTGGGATAGTGATATTCCGTATTCTTAATCCGTCACTACACGGACAATATATGCTTAAACATTGAATAATAGATTGTTTTTGGTAAATTTTACCCCCAAGATTTTTTTACGACCCATAGCACCCTTTATTTTTATTTAAGGTAACATCTATGCATGAAACATGATCTACTTTTTGTATCTTAACATATTTAGGTAGGTACCTATGTTCATGAATAATTGTTTTGAATCTGTTTATTCATGAACTCCTCGCAAACTGTTGGACCATGACCATGATGAATTATGTTTGTGTTATTTCTTAGAATTTATGACATAGGACATGACATAGGGTAATGGTGGTACACCATTACCATATGTCATGTCCAATTGATATTCTAAGGGTCTGAATAGGAAGGAATCTAAGGAAAATCTCTGAATACTTTAGATTCAAAAGAACCTTAAAGTATATAACTTCTAGCACCTGATTCATTCTAGAAATTTAATAATAATAACTTCACACATGTCACAAACAGCTTTCTGATCCTAAACTAGGCAGAGCCTGTACTATGGCAACCAGGCTGGTAATAAACAAACATTTATTTTTAAATACATACATATAATAGATAAATTAAACCCAGATTTACACAATTAGATAATTATTGGCTATGTGTCATGTCATGCGAGGGATGAGAAAAAATGTGGCAAAGAAAGTGTTAGGTATGGGAGTTGAAGGGTACAAGAGAAGATGAAGACCAAAGAATAGGAGGATGGACTGTGAGAGTGAGGATACGGCTAGGATGGGAGTAAACAGTGAAATGACAAATGATAGAGTGGAATGGAAGAATCATACATACTGTGCCGACCCTACTGTACATTATAGGTAAGATCAACTAGTAGTAAATAACTATAGTGTTAATATGCACTCATCAGAGAATGGTGTAGTTGCCTTAAATATAAATTAATAATGCAACAGACAGTCCAGACATAGTCATGGTAAGTCTTTAAAAAGGTACCTAATAGTTTTTTTTTTTATATTACCTATGTCGCTGGTGGATTTACAAACATTCATGAATTACATACAAACGGAAACAAAGAATGCTCAGACTTAGAACATTAATGTGTGGATCACAAAAAGAAGGAAGCAGGGAGGTGTCTGCTTAAATATTTTTTGTCTGAGTGTAATTTTTCTACATTATGTAATCTGGAATATATAAATATATATATTAGCAGTCTGGTTAATGAGGTATTGATCTATCCCGAGAACAATGCATTCAACACAGAATTATTTCTTTGTCTGTGGTTCTGTCTGGTTTAGAATCAAACAACCGCAGTTAAATGGTCATTCAATATTAATGGGCAAGCAGGTAAATGGAAAACAACTTGTTTATTTATGTAAACATTTTGATCGAAAAGTTAATTGTTTTCGATGGTGCATGTCTGCCTTAAAAGTGCAGGAATCAACAGCGAACGAAACTGATAACATTTTATTGGTTACATAACTTCTTTCTCTTAATCAATAAAATATATTTATATTAAATATTGAATATTTTAGAAATCACTGACTCAGCCTCAGCTGTCAGTGTAGTGTTGCCGCATTTCGCAGAGGTTGAGTGTCATTCAATCTTGAAGGGTAACTTTGTTGATATAGAAAATATTACATTACTTAGGATATGTCTAAAGAAAAATGGCATATCAGGATCAACATTTTTAACTTTTAACCTACTCCTTGCCAGTGTCAATAATAAAGCTTCAACGTCTCGAATTTTTATCAATTATTTTTATTTTCTAACAAAGTCATTTGTACTGTGAATGAAACGTTTCTACCAAGTTAAAAGAGAGCTCGCCATTGGATTTTATCTTTTTCAGAACTTCATAAATATTTTTGGAATGAAAGCATACACAAAGCTAGAATATTAAATATAATACTGCTAATGAAGAGAAGTATTAAAATTATATTAGGAAGTATTAAAATTATATTGGGACAAACACTATTACTACCGGAGTTGTAGGATTTTGCAAAAGTGTGTCAAAACTACCGTTGCCACCACTTTTCGTGTTATAGAATTGTATACTAACTCTTAATATTAATTTCATACGTTGCTGAGAAGCGACTGCTTGCGAAGGATCTTCATTAGTTAAAACAGATACCAATTCAGAATAATATCCTCTCTTTGGAATATCATCCCTTGTAATACTGTCATAAACAACGTCAAGTTGTTTTATTCTTTTTCTTCTAGTATACATATTGTAAAATAATAATGATGCCCTTTCAATTCCTTACAGATATTGAATACTGCTGTATTTGACAAATTCTTGACACACTACGTTTAGAATAAATAAATAGCAAATGGCAGGACAATGATAGAAAGAAGTATCTATTCTAAAATACTTCCTTATGGTCGCACACACCACAATTCAAAGTATTGTATGCTGTATTTACTGTTAAGTTTCAAGAGATAATCTACATATTAATAACACTGGCTACCGCTTCGAGATATAGTCCATATCATATAGAAACAAATGTTTGATACGTAAAGAAAATTCTTTAAACGCAAACATTTTACTTACGGTTACGTTACAACTGCATTATTACGTGCCTAACAATTTTTTTTCAAATTACGTCAAAGTTAAAAGTAAAGGTTATAAGATTGACGGGTTTGAATAGGGTTCGTTACAAGGTTTCCTTCCTCTTCACTGCATGCTATTGTCCTTCGTAGTTTGCTCCGTTAGTCGGCTTTTGCGACACTCACGGGATGAATAGGGGTGGTGGCACTTTGTATTCTTAATTCGTCACCACAGTAATGCCATCAACATTTTATTTTTGTTTATTTGTTTATTAAAAACATATGTTCGTGGGCCAGTACTGCCATCAAAATTTGATTTTATTGAAAATATTGGTTTCTACGCTTACTAAGCATGTATGTACACGCCAAAGCGTAGTTTTATTGGCCTCACTTCTTAGTTCACAGAGTACCATCTTAACTTTATTTATTTGATCTGAGCATGAAACATATCAGAGCCGTGAGAGAGCCATGCTTCGGCACACAAGAATCTGTGTAAAGCAATTCTTTCGAGAAAAAAGAGGCGTCGAGACGAAAGTAAATAATGTGATCTATAATTTCGAGGACGTAATCCAGGATGGTAACTATTATCATTGCGTTACAACAAGGCACAGGAGAAAATTAACTAAAAATTTTACTATAGGTATAAACAGATTAATAGAATGAAGTTAAATCTTTTATTTGCTATGTTAAGAATATGCCGTGTTTTGAAGTTGGAAGGAGAATACTGCAACTAATATAAAATTCCAGTAAAAGTTATAAATCAAATCTGTACAAGAAAAATCACATTAATTGGAAACCGACGATGATGGTGCTGGCAAAAACGATTAGTAATAAATTTTAATCAAGGAAACTACTTATTAATATACTTATGGTTTTATTTCGTAATTACTTGTGGAAAATTTAGTGCCTGTTAGGATGAGGTTGTTTTTCGTTAGTGGATTTCTGGTAGTTTTAGATGTTGAATCTGGTAGAAAGTTCATTTAACTATTGGCAGCACTGGCGTTGAGTGAACTTGAGTCTGATGATCAGTGTTGCCAGAAGGTTACATTTCTATCATTTTTAAAAAAAAAAATTTTAAATATAATTCGACACTTTGAAGTGGGTCAACATTATGTGGTTACAATAGATGCATACATATATAGCCAATAAAAGCCTGTTAAAAAGAAAATAAACATGGCTGATTGTGATTGGTTTTGATTAATGTTATTTTTTGTTGTCGTTCGACTGTGAGAAATGTACGTGAGTGAAGTTACTGTGATTACACTTATCGATTGGTAAGTAAGTTCATCGTTAAAGTTTTTGCTGGGTATTTGAATAATTTATCTTTGACCATTCCGAAGTCAATCAAAGTTCCGTAAAAGATTTAGGTTACTATTGTCAGAGCTCTAAAAGTCGTGCTATGCTATGTACTACCCATTAAAATTTGTCAACCAAGTACCTTTTTCGGAAACGTGCCGGTCCAAAAACCAAAAGTAAAGACTAAATATGCCGATTTTTTTTTTTGATAAAAATTATATACTTCGTTGTTAAATAAAAAAATGTAATAAATTTCAAAAAAAGCAATGATGTAACTTTTGCAACAAAAATGTAACATTTCATGAAATAAAACGTAACTTACTCGTACTACTCGAGGGCCTTGGCAACACCGGAGTTGACATTGATTGACGTTTTCATGTCAACTCTTCCGATGATGGATACGCCTACCGTTAGTTATTTTTTTCTTAATTTTATTTCTGGTTTCATGTTCTTATCTTATTTTATATGATAATGACTTAGATCAATCTTAGTATATTTATAACAATTATTAAGATTTACATGCTGGATAACAAGACAAAAAGATCACTTATTACGAAATACTTAAATATAACAACAAAGTATCCTTAGGATTAATGAGAAGAGCTCACCAACAGTAAGTTTTTGTTTTATAATGCCACTAAATATTTTGATTGTGAAAATAATTATTTAGAACTGCCATATATTCAAAATATTTTTTTGTAAATTTGGCATTACAAAAATAACAATGCAAACCTTCGAGAAGGTTCGTGTGTCAGTAACAGAAATAGAAATATACAACTAAAGACATAAATAAACAACACATTTTCATAAAATGAAAATTAATTTAATTATACTAGAACATACTAATTTGTTTCACATTTTTTACACATCCAATAAGTTTTACGTGGACAACGCTTGGCTCAACTTTCCTATTCCGTACATCGAGTTTGGGCTTGAATTTTTTTTTTCCACAAATGTTACACTATTATAAGCACTCACGTAAAGCTTTCAACACGCGGAGACGCATATTTTTTAAGCAAAAAAAATATTGAAAATCAATTATTATTGCGATGCTTCTGTCAAAATTGTAGTTAGTTTTTATGACAAGACAATCTTTACCAAAGATTATATAGAATTCACATCAGGAAACGTTTAGTTTCATCTATTGTTAAGTAATCATACGTTCCGTAACATTTTATTTTACATAAATTTACGTAAATAATTATATTTTGTACTCATTTCAATATTTTTCATGCACACATATATTTAACAGTTTATATATGATAAATTATAGCATTATTTTCATTACGAACTATTAAATTATTATTTATATTATTTCTTTTACCGGCTTGAGGAACAAAACGTAAAACAAAACTGGCGCTATTTTGTATTGAACTGTCATTTTCAGTCATCGTTTGTGTCCCTTGCAGTTGAGAGCGTTAATTACTGTACTCAGTGGTTTACGTACTCCTGTCGGTGAAAACAACGTTTGACTACCACCATGGCGTCTCCGAAGCACCATGTTTCTTGTTCTGCCGTGGCGTCTGATGAATCGAGTGTAGTGCAAGTATTGGACTCTAATGAGCCACTTGTTGCGAGCTCTTCTTCAGGCCCCCTGTGTAGTGTCATGCCGTCTGTAGAATCGAGTGTAGTGCAAGTGTTGGACTCTGATGAGCCACTTGTTGCGAGCTCTTCTGCAGGCCCCTCGTGTGTGCAAGTGTTGGACTCTAGTGAGCCACTTGTGCCCATGACTGTGCCATCGGAACCAGTGGCTGGTAGTTCCCGCGCCACCAATCATGGTACCGTGTCGGTACTGTCGCCTGCCTCTCCGACGTCGTCTGAGAGTAGCGTGGGTGATGCAGAACCTAGAGCTTCTGGGTCGTCTGGTCGAAGATTCCACTATTATTCCGAGGAAATAAGGTTGGTTCACTGTGTTTTTTATATAGCCACATATGTAAACTTAACAGAAAAATCTGGCAAGTAAAAAGTAGTAATTAGATTTCTAATAGAAACATTTTTTATTGTTTTAGGTCTCACTGGAATATGTTTAGAATCTATACCCAGCTCAACACTAAAGCTCTGTGTATTGCATTTGCTGAAGAGCGTAGGCTTCTTCCTACTGAAAAAATGTGTAACTATCACAGAAGACCTATGATATTAGATTCCAGCAGTAGGTGTGGGCTTGGCGTCTTCCGATGCAGGAAGAGTAATTGTCGCGTAAGGGCAGTGAGTCGCACAGCGGGAACATGGTTTGACAATGCGCGGCTGCCTATCAACATACTAATTCCATTAATGTATATGTTCTGTTACAAATATAGTTATGTTCAAGTGCAACTAGAGACAGCCCGTAATGATCAACCTGTTTTATCGACAAGGACCATATCTGACTGGTTTTCTTACTGCCGGGAGACAATAGTTGTCTATGAATTAGAGCACCAAGAATTTAACAACAAGATTGGTGGTCCCGGCAAAATTGTGCAAATAGACAAGTCAAAATTCGGAAAACGAAAATATAACAGAGGGGGGCACATTGAAGGCCACTGGGTGTTGGGTATGGTCGAAAATGGGAAAGATGACTTAAGGTTAGAAGTGTGTCCCGATAATGATAGATCTGCAGAAATGTTGGTGCCACTAATACAAAAGCATGTGGAGGTAGGCACTGAAATCCATACCGATTTTTGGAGAGCTTATGATTGCCTACCTCAATATGGATACACACATAAGAAGGTTAATCACAGCGATCCTATTAATAAATTTGTGGCACCAGACGGGACACACACACAAAGGATTCTGAGCTACTGGCGAAATTTAAAAATGATGTTCTCTGAGGATGGTCATAAAGGAAACTTCTCAGACTGGCTCATTGAATATTCTTGGCGGAGAAAAATTAAAATAGCACATAAAGATGTCTTCGAAGAGCTCATTAAAGTTATACAATATGTGTATAAAATAGAATAATAAATTATTATTTAATTTGTTTGTTTAACAACGAGACCAGATTTACAAGCAAGAGCTTTATCTCAATAAAGGGATATACTATGTACACTACTAACCATCCTTCGGGAAAAGCTCGTGGAGGAACTGCAATACTCATTAAATCTAACATAAAACACCACCCGCTTGAACCCTACTCGACCGACAAGCTACAAGCCACAGTAGTTAATGTCAGTGACAAAAATTCAGACATTACACTTGCTGCAATATACTGCCCTCTGAAACATCAAATATCAAGAGGAGACTATGAAGTTTTCTTCTCTAAGCTTGGGCGTTGCTTTATAAGTGGAGGCGATTGGAATGCAAAGCACTCTTTCTGGGGTTCTAGACTTATAACTACTAGAGGCAGACAGCTTTACCAAGCGGTGAGAGATCTTAATCTTGATTGTTTATCCACTGGTGATACTTACCTACTCTACTTATTGGTCAACTGACCCACAAAAAACTCCTGACCTATTAGATTTCTTCATATCAAAAAACGTATCAATTAATAACATCAATTTGGAATCAGACTTAGATCTAACCTCAGACCACTCTGCAGTTATTCTTAATTTGAATAATAAGATAATATTTACAGAAAGACTACCCAAAACCCACAATAAGAAAACCAACTGGAGACAGTATCAGGATATTATCACAGCGGAGAGACAGCTTACAATCTCTCTGAAAACCACAGAAGAGGTAGAACAGGCTATAGAAGGATTAAATAAATTGATTCATGACGCGGCAAACAGGTCCACACCTCAAAACAGAGCGGGAAGCGCAAAAGAACATGTGTACCCAGCATCAATCAAAGACTGTATAACGGAAAGACGTAGACTTCGCTCTGTATGGCAAAACACCCATTATCCTAGAGACAAGGCTGCCTTTAATAAAGCCTCACAGCAACAAAAGGCACAAATAAAGGAATGGAAAAATGAGAACCTGCAATCATATCTGGCAAAACTGACACATACTAGTGACACAAACTATTCCTTGTGTACAAAAAACCTAAAGCGCCCTCGACAACAAGTAACACCATTAAAAACACTATCAGGGACCTGGGCCCGCTCTGACAGTGAAAAAGCTAACACGTATGCCAATCATCTACATAAAGTTTTTGAACCACTTCCTAGCAGCAATCAACAGCTAGACAATGAAATACATAAATACCTCACTTCTCCTAATCAAATGTCACTGCCTTTGAAGCATGTTACACTACAAGAACTAAGGCGCAAAATCCTAAAACTCAAGGAAGGCAAGTGCCCCGGTTACGATCTTATTGACGCTACTAAAAAAGGGGCTACTGCTTATACTAATTATCTTCAACGCGTGTCTGAGATTGTCCTTCTACCCAAGCCAGTGGAAGATTGCCCAAGTAATAATGATACTGAAACCAGGCAAAGCACCTCAAGAGGTAGCATCATACAGACCCATTAGTCTCCTTCCGGTAATTGGAAAACTTCTGGAAATGGTCATATTGAATAGAATGAGAGAACATCTAGCAGAGATAATACCAACTCACCAGTTTGGCTTTAGGGAGGCCCACGGTACAATCGAGCAAGTGCATCGGCTGGTTGATGTTATTGGTAGAGCGCTGGAAGACAAACAATATTGTAGCGCAGTCTTCCTTGACATTAGCCAAGCATTCGACAAAGTTTGGCATAATGGGCTTCTCTTCAAAATCAAAAGAACGCTTCCACATTCCCTCTTCCCATTATTAAAATCTTACCTCGAAAATAGATGCTACGAAGTAAAATATAATTCCGACGCATCTCAAATGCATGAAATTAAGTCTGGAGTACCACAGGGTAGCATACTGGGAGCAGTTCTCTATGTTATATTCACAGCAGATTTACCCACTCATGCTTCGACCACTACCGCGACATATGCAGATGACACCGCAATCCTATCAACACATGAGAATCACGAGGCTGCATCCGAAATGCTCCATCAACACCTGACTCTGATCGAAACATGGCTGCAGCTGTGGCGTATTAAAGCCAATACAGATAAGTCGGTTCAGTAACCTTCACACTCAGAAGGAAAACCTGTCCACCTGTAAAACTTGGCAATACTGAAATCCCACATTCAGATGACGCCAAGTACTTAGGTATGCACCTTGATCGACGCCTAACCTGGCGCAAACACATATGGACCAAAAGGAAACAATTAGATTGCAAACTTCGAAGCATGTATTGGCTCACTGGTCGTAAGTCACAACGGACAGAAGCCAGTAAAATGGCTATCTATAAGGCTATACTGAAGCCTGTATGGACTTATGGCATACAGTTATGGGGAACAGCAAGTCATAGTAACGTTGAAATACTGGAAAGGTTTCAAAGTAAAACAATGAGAGCCATGTTTAATATTCCACCGTACATAAACAATCGATATGTAAACCTAGATTTGAATCTGCGAACAGTGAAAGAAGAAATAGAGTCATACAGCAATAATTATCAAAAAAGACTGGACCAACATGTTAATCAACTGGCTGCTGAATTGAGGGGAGAGGGCAGTGTTAGATTCTATCGACTGAAGAGAAATAGTATACCAGATTAAGCTATGAGATTTGCGGACAGAAGATGAGTATGGCATCAATGTAATGGGTGCTCAGCTCAGCTGAAGATAATAATCCCGATGAAAATCTGACACCATCTTAGATTATCGTTCCTTGGAAACAGATTGCTAAGTAGCAGGATATATATAAAAAAAAAAAGTTAACAGTACCTGTTAGGGCAGATAACAAATAAATTAGGTTAGGGTCAACTAATGTCACAGAACCGAATTGATTGACCCCGACTCCACGTGGTACGACTCTGTCCTACCCCTAGAGTGTTTTTATATAACCGGAGGCGCGTAGGGAGAGCAGCCTCCGCCCGCTGTAACAAATCGGATGCCTACGATTTGTTACGCAAGGGCGTAGAGGCTGCATTTCCCGCAGCGCCGGAGACGTTTCAGAAAGGATTTTTAAGTTTCGTTCCATTAGTCTGCTAAAGACGGTAAACACTACACATTTTATTTTTAATTTTAATAGCTTGTAATGAAAATAATGCAGTAATTTCATATATACAAACTTTTAAATATATGTGTGCATGAAAACTATTTAAATGAGTACAAAATATAATAATTTACGTAAATTTATATAAAATAAAATGTTCCTGAACGTATGACAACTCGTTTCAGAAAGGATTTTTAAGTTTCGTTCCATTAGTCTGCTAAAGACGGTAAACACTACACATTTAATTTTTAATTTTAATAGCTTGTAATGAAAATAATTCAGTAATTTCATATATACAAACTTTTAAATATATGTGTGCATGAAAACTATTTAAATGAGTACAAAATATAATAATTTACGTAAATTTATATAAAATAAAATGTTCCTGAACGTATGACAACTCGTTTCAGAAAGGATTTTTAAGTTTCGTTCCATTAGTCTGCTAAAGACGGTAAACACTACACATTTTATTTTTAATTTTAATAGCTTGTAATGAAAATAATGCTGTAATTTAATATATATAAACTCTTAAATATATTTGTGCTTGAAAACTATTTAAATGAGTACAAAATATAATTATTTACGAATTTATGTAAAATAAAATGTTACGGAACGTATGACAACTTAACCATAGATGAAACGGAACGTTTCGTGATGAGAATTTTATATAATCTTTGGTAAAGCTTGTCATTAATAGTGTAATATTGACAGAAGAATTGCAAAAATAATTGATTTTCAATATTTTTTTGTTCAAAAATTACGCGTCTCCGCGTGTTAAAACTTTTACGTGTGTGCTTATAATAGTGTAGGTAACATATCCGGAAAAAAAATTTCAACCCAAAAATCGATGTACGGAAAAGGAAAGTTTAGCCCAACGCTTTAATCCCGTACATTTTAAATGATACCATTTACAACAATAATCACATCCTATACTTGTTTTCACTTTTTCTTCATCATCTACTGTTGTATCTAAATTTTCTTTACACGAAGGACATTCCCATTTGTTTAATTTTTTTTTTGTCTCGTAAACTTCTACTATTTTCCAAGCATCTGTAATATTAAAAAAAATAAAAAATTTGTTTGTATGTAATTGTGTAATGTTAATGTTATCTATGTTCCAAATAAACGAATAAACTAACTGGTGGCACCACAAATCCTAACAAAACTAATAATCTCGGGCGCCAGGTGCCTTAACCTTAAATGAACACAGACAACTAACCACAAATACAATGAATGCCTCGAACAGCTCGGTCAGCGCTAGACTTTTAATCTAGGATGGGGGGCAGCTATTAAATACAAAGATGTTATAAGTCAAGTGCCAGTTTATTAACCCGTAGTGTCTGTAGAGTACATGGTATCTTATAGGTCTATAGTTACAAATGTAATTCTTATACTCAAATTAGTACTGTCATTAATGCAATCTGTTTAACTGGTTAAAACAAACTAAAATTAAATATGTTTTGAAGAGTCACATAAAGACTTAATAAATAGGAAATGAATCTAAGGGTAGTTGTCGCATCGACCTACTCCCATAATAAAAAAGATCACCCCTTGAGGCCTGCAGTATCCGATGCAACAACGCCAACAAAATTAAACCAATAAAAAAACATACCTAATGACTTTGGCTCTGTCCGTATGAAATTAGAGTAAACTTAATTCTTATAAACCTCACTCGTGCTCCCACGTGGTTGTAGTGGCGGGGTAAGTATTCCAAGGTTCCTGATAAGGGACTGCAGCTAAAGAACTTTTCCTACCATTATAGGGACGCTCTGCAGCCAACTAAATCCTTGGATCGGGCCGGTAGTGAGGTAAAAAACAATTGTAACGTAAGGACATTACAATCTAATAAGAGAATTAAACTAAAGGTTAAATAAAGATCTGAAGTAAGGTAAGAACCCTGTTATCTGAAACAACGAAAATTAAAGGTTATTTGCCTATCTCAAAAGATGAATCCTAAATCTGGTAAGATACAATAATTTACTCACAAGGGTTCCAAAACGTTTCACAAACAAAGCAGCGGCATTATGATTAATTCCTGTAACCAAATAAACAAAGATTTAAAACAACTAATCTCCATAAGCCAAGCATGAACCATGCGGCTTAACAAAACTTACCTTTACAATGAAAATAACAATTCCAACAAATAACTCGTGTCATTAACGAGACTGGCCAAACATTAAAAGATGAATTATGCCTTCGATTACAGCAAATAAATATGGATTACTAATATAAAAAAATTATATCGCTCCGCGTAACTAGTTTCACACGGGCCGATGACCAAAGTCACAGCCATGTTGCCATAACCAAAACTCCGCTCCTCACTAGAACGCGACAAAAAATGTTGCCAGAACAAGAAAAACCCAAATCGATACATTACCATAGACGATCAGCACCGACCTTTATTCTCGTCCGTGACACCGTCAATCGGAGCTCACTGAAACGTCATAAAATTCGACTGTCAAACCAAACGCGTCGATAAATAAATTTTCTGTAATGGTGCGAAATGCACCGTTACACATCGCAGCAATATTTTTTCATTAATTTGCTCACTTGCTTCACTTGCTTATCTAAAACTGCAGATGATACATTATCAGAAATTGTTTCCACTTCATCTTCTTGAATTACATGATTAGTTTTTAATACTTTAGTCACAGTTTCATTATTTACAAACCAATTTAGCATGATTG